GTTTTTTAATTGAGTTAAAAAATAAAATCAGTGCTTCTCACCGCTCAATCCATCGAAACAATCGATTTATTTTTAGCACAGCTGGATGGCGGCTTCAAGCAGGCATATTTTCCGATGACTACGAGTGGATGATTTAATGGCGCACGCATTATGAATGCCGATGGATTTTTGCCGGGTGGGTGTTGATTGATTGATACCTGTGTTGTGTGTGCGCGCGCGCGTGGATTTCAATCGCTTTGTCAGGGAAAGAACAAGACGTCGATGGTGCGTTGAGTGAGAGCGGCGGGAACGGACGCGGTTGTAATGAGAGCACTAAACGGGCGCGCTTTGTGTCCGGCGGATATCAATTGAACAATAATTTTCTTTGTCGGCGGCGCGTCGGAACTGACGCGCTGACGGGTGAGATCTTTGATCATCTCAAACACATGCGCAGCAGATTGTGTGTAATTCGATCAACTAGTGGACCATAAGCCTATAATCGAGCGTTTAGAATTTGCATTTTGCATTCCGCCTTGTATTAATTGAATTTACATCGAAACAAGCAGAAATTGTTTTATTTCTTGACGTTAAAACGTCAATAAAATTTATTTGGGGTAAAATATGTTACAGGGTGATAGTTGGTGATAAAATCGAGTATTCTAGTATTAATTATTTTTATTCTTTATATTTTATTATCGACATAAACACAACTGGACCTGAAAGTGTTTATTTCTTTAGTTTTTGACATTTACTTGCTGCCAAAGAAATTATACCTTTATTGAAAGTATTAAAAGAGTATTAAATTCCCTAAAATAATAAATTTATTACTTTTTAATACTTAAAATATTAAATTCGTAATAATTACATTAAAAGTTCATTAAATTTCAATCACCTGCAGAACCACAAAGACGAAAATTAGCCGTAAATTATGTTTTTGTAGAGCTGATTATGTGCACTCGACATATTTCGTAAAACTCACACACGCCGATCCATTCCTGCATTTTGCATGTCCGCCTCGGTCGGACAGCCGGAAATTATCCGAGACCGGGGATGCGCACCGGATCCACTTAAACTTCGCCGCGGCACGTAGGTCGAAATGAACAATGAAGCTGCTTCCATTCTTTGCGTTTTCGCCTTTTCCGTCGCCGCAAGGCGCGCAAAAAAGGAGAGGCTAATTTTTATCCCGAGCGGATAGGCAGAAGAAAATAAACAAGAAAAAGGGCGCAGAAAAAGGAAAAAAGCGTGTTATTCCCAACGCATACGGACACCATCATAAAAAACTTAATTTAAACAAAATTTTCAAACAAAAAAATTTAAAAATTTATTTAAACTACAAAAAATTGGAGACAAAGAGTTCAAATTTCCGATTATAGGATAAACGCGTCCAATTAACTGATGATATGACCCCGAATAATGGAATCACATTAGAGCGTAATCCGGTTCGATGGTGGCCGACGACATTATGTGGTGCCAAATTACCAACGTGTGAAAAATTGCCACACGATAGTCTCTAATTCCACACGGCATTCAACGCGCAAATTATCTCTCCTTGCACAATCAATAATTGTTAAAAAAGAAAAAACTCTCTTGCACGATCAAACAATACAATTCCACGTGACCTAGTTTATACAATAGTTTAAATGATTAAAATTATATTATAGGATTTAATGAAAATGTTTGTTTAATTTGTTTATCCTGTTTCGGGTTATGATTTTCTGCTTGAGCGTGGACAATAGTACTCGGAACAATAATCCGACGGTAATAATTATTATAAATTAACTTATACGCGTGTATAACTTTATGTGATAATGAAATTTCTGTATAATTCAATTTATTGTAAAGCACTTAACCTCTTCTGTACGCTCCGAATGTCAAACGACAAAACAGATAACCCAACTTTAAAAGCAATCTCCTATCTTGTTTTTGTCGGATTGAAACTTAAATGGTATTTGAATGCATTTGAATGTCGTAATTCAAGGTAGCAAAGTTTTTTTCCGATCTCATCGTGTGACTCCAGTGTGCGCACACGACGAAAGCTTATTATTTACATATTCGGTAGTCCCCGAGTAGAGATGAGTTACGAGGTAATAGCATACGAAAACTTAAGAGTATAGTTGAGAGCCGAACACGAGTTGGTACTCGCCGCGGTCGTTCTGCGGATGCGCACGCGAAGCGAAATAAAGCTTCGCAGTCGAGCGAAAATGTATGGAAAGCTCTCCGGGGAGTGTTGCCATTGAAAATCAAAACCCGGCAAAGCGTGTCTCTCGCCCAACCCCTCAGCCCCAGCACTTTCTCACTTTCCCATCGCTTTTCGGGCTTTTCTTTTCACTCACACCCTACTAACGTGCTTTGGGAGTCGAGCTTGTACGAGCATCTGAATAATCAACTCCCACATCGCATAAACAACTAACCTGAAATTATTTCTACGAGTGCATATAATCAAATAAATTCTGTATCACGAAAATGAATGGAACTTTAAACTGGTACAAAATTGGCTGGAAAAGTAAGGATTCGAGGAAATTTGTTAGCGTGGTAATAACTTTTTATGAAATCGTTCGTCGAGCAGAAGTCGGCGAGTGAATAAAAGTTAACTGCGTCCATTATTGAAATTTTTATTTTCTTCGCTCACTATTCGTAGATATCTATTACTTCAACTTCTTTTATCACATCCTACAAAATACTTACTTTGAAATAAAAACAGAAAATGCGTGCAAATTATTACCTACGGTTTAATTGTGAATCTAGGTGAGTGTATGAGTTGTTAAGAAAGGACCAAAGGATGTGCGCCTCATAATCTTCCAATTTCAATCCCCATTGTACGAGGAAATGGGAAATGGCGATAACATTAGACGTTTAAGATTTACGAAAATAGATAGATTCGACTCGCTGGCTAGACTCTGCACAACAAGTCGTCGTATCCTCAACCCTATCCATCCTGGAAACCCTCGTCTATTCATTCGTCTCACACAGCCGCTACTCTTACTCCTACACTGGTGCTAGTACCACATCAAACTCTACTACAATGACTAAATAGATATTTGTTATTGTTCCTCGTTTTCAGTCTCCAAACGTAGATTACCCATGGGCTTTGATTGTTGTATTCCTTGGGCATATCCGGGGATCATCATGTAAAACATTGTTAACAAGCTCAACTCGCATGGGACTTGCATCCGAGGAGACTCGACGACGTTTTTTGCTACTTTACTATTTTGGCGTTATCTGTGCATCTCCAAAGTGAACAATGCTGAGGAACGCTAAACAACCTGTTAACACAATATGCTAAACTAGGTTAGCATATAATTTTTTTGTTCGTTAGTGAAACTCTGCTACAATCCGATACGCAATTCGCGTGGGAATTCCACTAAGAGGATTCCGCATTACTAATTCATTTTTCTTTTAAAACAACATGCTTATTTATTAATTAAATACAAAGACTGTAAATCTGATATATATATTTCTAGATGTATTAAATGAAATAATTGTACAATAGAAATGGTTGAGAAAGCTTCCTTTGTTATTCTGAAAATAAAATAACCACCATAAAGTACAGACTATGCCCAAATGAGACCACTTTAATTAAAGCATTACAATCGCAGATTTCATCCCTTACGGACTTGCATCTGCGATTGTATCTTTTCTCTAGGGCATGAAGTGATTTTTTCTTTTCCTTCTCTTCTGGGCATTTTTCGTCATCAGTTCGGTTCTAATTTTAATTAAGAATGCTGTGCGTTTCATTAATTATATTTTTTTCTTCCGCACAGTGAAAAATTCAATTAAATTTGAATAAATACACTTGTAGGTTAGAATATTTTTAAAACATGAAATGATGGATTGTTCTTGTTTAAGTTTGTGACGTTATCATCACTTTAATGTATGATATGTGTTTATTTACATGTTTAATACACATTGTTCTTTGTAGATGTTTTTATCACTTGATGTAAAATTACCCGCATATTAATTGGGGTGTTATACATGGTTGAATGTCGCACGCCCACGTGCGTCCTATCCAGACGCAGAAAAAGCGCCTCATGTGCTATTTTGCTTTGTCTGGTTTGAGCCACTCACAAAAAGGGCTCAACGTTCATTTAAAATAAATTAGACACACGTATACCTACATCCCCCATATGCTTAAAAAAAATAAGCGAATATTAATCGAAACATTTGCAAATCAAGCAGAAAAAGCTGAATTTTGCGGTTATAAATCACAACCTCAAAATCTGCAATCTACAATTCACAAAACGTTCATAAATATTGTAATAAAGAAGCGGCAGAGCAGTGATGTGATGATGATGGTGGTGGTGGCGGTTGTGACGGCGGTGGCGTACCATTTGCCAGTTAGGAAATCGTTATGCTCGCCAACGGCGCAATCTTGAGACGATTTATTCAAAAATACATTCGCTTCATGAACAATTCAATAGCGATTTTCACCGCATTTCAGCGCTATAGGGTGTTAATAAGCAATAAGTTATACGTCATTCAACGCTTAGAATTTAACTTAACCATAAGCACAACGTGCTTTTAAAGCTTTTTGATAATTAATTAAAAACTGCAAATACGCCTGCAAATAAAATAGCTCCATATTAATTAAAATATTCTCTTGTAATATTTCACACAATTGTTTATTTAGGCCGTAATTTCATAAAATTATAATAACAATTATTATACTTACGTAAATATTCATTGTTTTTGGGTAGACTTGTTATTAAAATTAGATTTTTTTATATTTAATTTCATTTTTTAGTCCTTTTTGTTGTTTTGAGAGATGTAATAGCATATTTTCAATTAGAAACTATGAAACCAAATTATCGTAAGGTACCCTGAATACGAGTCCCTTCTACCGCTAACTTCATACGGTGCCCTGAACACGAGTCACTACTACCGCAAGCCTCACACGGTGCGCTGAATTGAGTCACTTCTACCGTTACCCTTGTACGGTGCCATGAATCGAGTCACTTCTACCGCAACCAAATGTACACAATTTTTTAGATGCTGTGATGTTATTTATTTTATTTTTGTTGCAGGTGAACGGCGCGTGGACACTGCCCAGCTTCGTTTGTGATTTTTATATAGCTATGGATGTTACCTGTTCGACGTCTTCGATTTTCAATTTAGTTGCTATTTCAATTGACAGGTACGTAAATTTTACTCAAAACCCTAATATTATTAAAAGTTTTATTTTACCCTCTCTCAACCTCAATGCAATTTACATACAAGTATTAATTACGCTCGAATAAAACAGAAAATTTGATTTTACATTTTCAGTACATGCGTGGTGCTTCAAAAATAATTTCGTGCTTGAAATTAGCCGCTTTGAAATATTCATATTTTGCAAACTTTTATGCGTTCATCATATTGAATGGACAATGAACGCACTGCTGAGCTTATTTATGCTCTATAAGCAGCAGCACCAGCTGCAGCAGATGTTGCAACTTTCAGTTTTAGATTTTCCATTCCAGGAAAAGGTAGCACGCAAGTAAATACGTGAATAAAGCGCACACAATTAGTTTGCATGGTTTTATAAAGTTGGCCAGCTTTACTAGGCAAGTTTTAATTAAATTAGTGCAACGCGAGCAGTCAATGAACGAAATAATTCACTGCGTCCGCGGATAAAACTCAAAACACTTAATACGATGCTGACTTAACCTCTAAGAGTGGCTATTAAAACGACCGCAGCGTCAAATAATATAAAACCACATTTAAAAATTTAATTTATTTTATTTTTGGTTGTTTTTTTTTCTATAAAATTAAATTTTAGTGTTATTATTAGTTGTAAATTGTTACAATTGCGTCTAGTTAGGTATTTAATATGCAAGCTTAGTATTCAATTAGCATATTTATAATTGTAGCATCAAATTTCGCTTTGATTCAATCCGCTTTAGCGGCGTCTGGACCTTAGATGCCATCGTCTATCTGATTATCTTTATCCGCAAAGCAACTGCCTCTCAAGGAGGCAGAGATCTCGTCGTAATCTGGACCAAAACCAACCCTTTCAGGATTATTATTAATGTGCAGGTCCTGCAGCCCAAAGCGGCCTTTGCAGTCCTTTGATGAGGGTACGTTTCAATTGTTATTTAAGTTTGAAGGTTAAGTTCTGCTTCCAACACTACAACGGACATAAATTATGAGTAATAAACTTCACAACTGCTATTATTCCACTGTAAAACATAAAAACAAAAAAAACTCCAGCATCATAAAACTGGATGCATCAAGAGCAAGTAAAACAAGTAAAACAAGTAGATGATATGATTGCGACTCGAGATTTCCGTGAGATTAAGCGAGTAGTAGTACTTGTAGTAATATCACGCGTACCCGATTAGTGCAACCGATAATTTGCTGAAACGCTGATACAGCAGCAATCGACGTCTCTTCGAGTGCAAGACGGGTGTGCAGGAGGGCTGCAATCAGAAATTACAACTACGCTCGATTGCGTGCGTTAAGCCGCTCGTCGTCGCTGCAGCGCGGCAATAACTGTTTCCTGGTTTCGCAATTTACAATTTACCGTTTTACGATTTCACTCGCTGCGCGAAAAGGACGTCGACCCACACACCGCCGCCGACGTGCAATTAATGACAACTCAATAATCATGCGCCATAAAGCTGCGACAATCACGACTGTAATTACGCCACAGAGCAAAAAATCCAACATGCCACTGAGCGTAAATTATCATTAGGTGCATGAACAAGTACATTTCAAGATCTAATCAACCACAACCATTCAATAATTAATTTTTTAGCATCTATTTAATAAAACACGCGTAATTATGTTTATTTTATATTTTTCTTAAAATAATCAAAGAAAAATTAATTTCGGGAGAGAATTACAAACGAGTAGAATTGCGACACGTATAGAATGGACAAAAACATTCTTTTCGTGTTAGAGAGAAGAAGCAAAGGGTGAAACTTGAAAGGGTGGCATTGTAAGCGAGTCATTTAAGTCGTGCGGTAACCGAGGCGACTGCGCCGGTGATAAATGATCGCTGTTTACAATGAAATTGATCGAAGAATGCCACGCTGAGGAGTTGTCGCGAGGGCGCTTCATAAAGAAGACGTCGTATCGCAATGAAGTCATTATCATCCTATTAGACCCAGCGAGTACATCACCACCGGAAAGCGTCACGTTTCCATTCGTGGAATTAACTCCGTGGTTGTAATTCTCATCACAAAATATCACACACTAGTAAATCTCAAATTTAATTTACTTATTCACAAATAAATCATTAAATATCATTAAGTAAGCATTTGCATGATTTTTAGATCACTTAGTTTCTGTTTTTTGCATTTTTGGGTTTTGTCCATAAATATTTAATTTTTACTTTTTAAAAATAAAAACAAGAAAGTAGCTCATATTACCTGATTTATCAGCGATTTTTGACTTTTTATTTAAAAAAGTAATTTTAATTTTTCTTCAAGCTTCATGCTTCATGCAGGTCTAAATCTGACATCCAAATACCTATTTTTAAACAAAAGAAAAACTAAAAATAAATTAACTGATGTAATTTTACATGTGGGAAGAATTCATGCCCCAGGCTTGTTTTTCCAAGTTTAATTTTCATTTGAAGCTCATATCTGTGGTTTGTGACGCAAGTCAGATGTCTGTAAGCCACCGCCGCCTCTTGGATTCATTTAAACTCGCACACTCATTCGTTTATGTCCGCCGCATCCGGGGCGGCAGTCAACCTGACGTAAAACATACCGCGTTACATTTGAGATAAGAATATGTGCACACATCTTACGCTCGTAAGACTTGAGTGGCTCGAATATTCTCGCCTTTTTCGTCTTCTATTCGATAAAATTTTCAAATTAAATTTAAGTTTTATTTTTCTAATTTATTTTATATTTTTCAGCTACCTGTATATAAATGTATTTAGATACACAGAAAATCAGTTGGTAATGACTCAATTTAGGCGAAAACACGTAGTATACTTGCATGTCACATGTTGTGGTAATGTTTGCACGATGCGCCGAATATAATCGCGCGCGTGCAACACGGTGGCGGTAGTTTTCGGGCGGCGGCGGCGGGCTGCCCAGTTCGCTAAACACCAAACAAATGAAATTAACGAATGTTATACGCGCGCGCGTGCTCCATTCAAAATGCAGTTTGGCTGGGACGCACGCAAAATTGAATTTAGCGCAAGGCTATCAGCGTAAATATATCGACAAAGGATAGTTTCCGCACGCGGTTTAAATTGCCCTCGTATTAAATCGCGTTATCAAAATGCAATAAAATTTTATTGATTTTCCGCGCCCTAAAATAAAAAGATCAAACTGAAAGATTCAGATTAAGTTTAGTTACAATGTTTTACATTGTGAATTATTGTTGCAGGTATATTGCTGTGACACAACCAATAAAATACGCCAAGCACAAGAACAATCGTCGCGTCTGGCTGACCATCGTTCTCGTGTGGGTGATATCGGTGGCTATCGGGTCGCCGATAGTGCTCGGCCTGAACAACACACCGAATCGCATACCAGACGCCTGCCTGTTCTACAACAGCGACTTCATCATCTATTCGAGCTTGTCCTCCTTTTATATACCGTGCATCATCATGATGTTCTTGTACTACAACATATTCAAGGTAAATATGATTGATTCCAGCGTAGGCAGCCGCAAAAAATATTTCACAAGAAATATTCTCAGTATTTGCTCGCATAACACAGCAAATTTTATTATATTGGTCATTTTTTGCCGTTATTTAATAAATAGAACCCATAATACAAAATTTTTAGGGAAAATATGCGTTCAATTTATTTTTCTTGTTAAATTCATGTTTTTTTAGGTTTGTATGCACAAAAAATGCTTTGACCTTTAGTAGATTTACATTCTATTTCATAAACTTTATTGTTTGCATTTATTTTTTCGATATCCGCATTTATTTTCTTCTTTTTTATGTTTTCGATGCGGATTAGTGTCGGTGTAAACATTCAACCGGGTTTTTGTTTGCGCAGGCATTGCGAAGGCGAGCTATCAAATCGAAATTCAATCGGAAGCCGTTGCCGAGCGAGATTAAGCCCGGCTCGGTGATTGAGAACGTCGCCGCCTCACGCCGGCTCGCTGAAACAGCGCTCGGTCCCACCACAGTCGAAGAACCAGCAACCAACACCGGTTCTGGATCGGCCGATGAAGACGAGGAACAAGCGGACGACTGTCAAGTCATCTCCAACGACAAAAGCACTGAGTTTATCTTGGCGACAGTCGTCGAAGAAGCCGCGTAAGTTTCCAACCAACATCAAATTAATTCCTCAACAAACACTCGACGAAAAATCAACACAAAACAACTCATATGTTTATTTTAATCAATTAGATTTCATTGTAGGACACAGAGGCAGAAACATAAAGTCGCCACGACTGAATTCACCATAACACCAAACACATGCTCACCAAAAAGGAAAGTTTCGTGTTTGTATTGTACATCAAAGCGTTAACCATCCCCGAAAGCAAAAAAAAGAAATGAATGCGAATGTTGGTGTTGGATATTAGCCTAGATATATAACCCTGCATGAAAAAACTTTCAGCGTAAAAGAATATGTCATCAAGTTGTTTTATAGAAAACTTACATGCGCAAATTGAGTGGAAGTCCACAAGCAGAAATTGCGCTATTAAAAAGGGCATTTCGCTGCTCGCCGCGCAATGCGAAGATAACACAAACATAAAAATAAATAGGTGCGTCGTAAACGCAAACACCTTATCTCAGTTCTACTGCAATTTGCTAGATAAGCTTAGATACACTTTTCATGAATCATCAACAAACGCACTCTAAACACAATATAGTACGTTATATAGCAAGGATGTAACGACACGTTCATTAAATGGTATATTGTTGCATCTTTGTACACTAGCGCCATCTACAAAACCCATGTAAACTACTTTGAACCAGGTTAACAGATATTTATTCCGTTTTAACATTTTATTGTTTTTATAATGAAATTCTGTAAATGATTTGACAGTTGACAGTGTTCAACTGTCAAAAACACAATATGACCGATTATGTCAAACGACATAACCTCACAAAAACATTAATTAGCATTAATTTTGTTTGTTTCTGAATTTTTAATCGTTTAATAATTATTTTATTATTCAATCGAATAACAAATCAAAAAATAAAATGGATTAAATAATTATGCAGATAATTTTGATATTGTTTAGTATTTCCCGTTGGAATAAACAATAATTCGGTTGTTTTGCCAACATTTCAACGCAATAATTTAATAATCAATAAAAACAAACACTATAATTTCTAATTAACTCGAATACCGATGTGTTTTTATCGCTGATAGCGCCCTGACAACATAATCAACTTTAGTGGCGTTCCCGTGCGCCTCTTGAGCGCAACGCCATAATTCCAACTCGATTATGAACATTAATCGCGTCGCATCGCTTAATGCGGCGCGACGCGAACGCAACAATTGCTTTTTGATTAAAACTCAATGCGATAGGTGCGCGTAAACATGTCACCGAACGAGGGTGAATCGGGGGGCGCCGGCAGACAGAATTAATTAGTTATGTTAATTGCCGTCTATGAACGCTCATATACGATATTAATTACAGTTATTAGTTTAATGCAGTTTGAGTTGCGATTAAATATTTGCGCGCGCGCACACGCTATGATGAGAATGAAGTGGAGCGTACGCGATTGGACAATAAAACCGGTGAATTTTGCACATATTGTTGCATTGTGACGCATGAACGCTTGCTTTACGCATGATTTACTACTATTGAAGCCTCACGAGGGCCACACGGGTTAATTGAGGTTATTAATGTAGTCATAACCAATATTAGGTTAAAATTAAAATTTTGACGTAATTTTAGTTTAGTATCACTTGAAATAGATGGCGCTCGTGTTTATAAATACAAAAGGTCGACTGGATTAATAATACGAATATTAAAACGTGGTATTACATATGCAAAAACAACATCCGCTTCCAGAACTTATTAAAAAATGCTTGCCCTGCATATGAGGACGTTTTTTTGTTCGTTTTACCGATTCACCGTTTCTCATTTTGCGTGCCGCGTTTCCAGTCTTTGAGTTTTGAGTTTTCAGCTGACACCTGCATTGAATATGCGGTTTGCGTACGCCGCTCCCGAGAGCAACCGCGCCCCTAGGGGATGGATTTACGTGCTATTGGATTGCGAACAAGTGCATTTGTTGTTGAAGTGGGTCGAATGCCCGGCGCCTTCACAATCTCAAAACCAAAATTGCACTACCTGGGTATATAGGATTCGCGGCTCAATTTCGCACTAAATTCTATTATTTTCTCCACTCATCAAAAAATGATAATACAACACACAAAAAAATAAATGAATTCTTTCTAAATAAAACGTCCGCACGTATTTCATAAGAAAACAAACAAAACAAATTCTCGAGTACAAATTGTTTCTTTTATTTTGCGCGATTTAGAAATAAAAATAAGAAGAAAAACGGAAATTGAATGAAAGACATTTGGGTAATAAAATATTTGTGGTGTTGAAAGGCGTGAAATGATTGCAGTATACAATGTGTTCCCAAAGACAATTAATTTAAGTAGACAATCCCATTTAACAACAGGATGCCATCAACTAATTAAGCTATGAGTGTTTAGCGGATGCAGATCAAATGTTATTGTGTAATTGGTTGTTTTGTTGTGTTTGCAAGGCGTTATTTAGGTGTTTAATTTGTTGTTGACGCATTGTGCCCTGCAGGATTTCATCGGTAGTGGCTAGCCTTGCGGCACCCGCCCCTCGATCAGCCGATCCAAATGGCAACAACGATTCGGGATATGCACCCAGCCAGATGGAAAGCTCAGCGACAACTGAAATAAGTCCAAAACGCCCACGCAGCGCTTCGAAAAAGAATGGCGCTACTGTAGATACTGAGCTTAGGTAATTATTTCAAACATTGTTGAATATTGCCAGCGACATATTTTCAGCAACAAGTTTTCGTTCGGTGTGCGCGTCCTTTTTATTTTTGCTGCAGGCAATTTCCTGTTTCGCATTTTGCATGGTACATTTTTACTCTTAAGCATCGCGAAGACGCACGGCATGCGGAGTAACGATAATAATATGCAAACATCTTTCTCCGCCACTCCGCACGCAGCAGTTGACGAACGAACGTGACGCTTGTGCAAATTTACATTGAAAATAATTCCGCGACATCATGAATTTTTAAAATCGCCGTTTTTCACGATGTTACATTCTTTCGTCTCAACAGTTAAGTCGACAAGCTGCAAAATATTAAATACCTTTGGAAATATTCAATTTTTTTGCACAAAAAACTAAAATTAATTAATTTTTTACGCAGTTTTATAAAACATGTTGTATAGCAATAAATTCTTGTTGTCTATTATTACGCTTTTTGTAGACAATAAAACGAAGCGCTTTATTTTATTACGAGCTTGGAGCTTTGAGCTTTGCTCTCGGATTTGAGCATAATAAATTTATGTGCGCATGTTGCAGAACTGTGACGACCATCGCGGATCTCGGTCCCGACAATCACAGTTCGACAGGGTCCAAGAAAGAGAAGAAGGCGACGACGGCGGCTCGATTCACTATTTATAAAGTGAACAAAGCAAGTCGGAAAAAGCGCGAGAAGTCCTCGGCGAAGAAGGAGCGCAAAGCGACGAAAACTTTAGCCATCGTACTGGGTAAGTCCATCGGACATGCAAAATTGGTTTATGAATATTGCACGTTGACCAAACCAAAACACACAGACTTAAAATTGCATATAAAACTGAGAAATATCGCAATTTTCGCAATTCCACAGGCGTCTTTCTCATCTGTTGGGTGCCGTTTTTCACCTGCAACATCATGGACGCAATGTGCAGCAAATTAGGTTTGGAGTGTCAGCCGGGCGTGGCTGCTTTCCTGCTCACCACGTGGCTGGGCTATATGAACAGTTTTGTCAACCCAGTCATCTACACCATCTTCAATCCGGAATTTCGCAAGGCATTCAAGAAGCTCATGTGCATGGGACCTTAGGATTTTTTTAGTGAGTTCAAACCATAAATACAACAAGAACAACAGCCAAATGTACATTTTTTAATCTTCGAATTTGCTCAAGAAAAACACACAAAAAAACAATACGCATAAACTGAGCGCAATAAGTATATAATTTCGGCTCTAATTACGGCGCTTTTTTATGTGCTTCCTTTGACGCGACGGCATGAATGAATACAATACCGAATTTATCGTAGACATATCACGCGAAATGATATTAACCTAAAACACTACCTATGCGAAGAGATTAACATGCAAAATGAAAAAAAGAGAAGTCTAACAAATTTTATCAAAACAATAACAGTTTTCCCGACTACTTTTAGCTAATAAGAGATTAATGAGCTTGGAATGTACCATCCCCCGTTTAAACATGTAAATTGTTAAAATCATATCCTATATATACATAAAAATAAATAAAAATTAATGTAAATACTAGAGAAAAACATTTTTGAGCGAGAAAATTTATTTAATTCTGAATAAAAACTGATTTAAAAACAATTTAATATTATAAAGCTTCGTGCAGATTATAAAATGCTCACCTAAATATTAAATTGTTCGCTGTGGATTAAATCGTTTATTTCAATATACCGTATTTTTAGATTTATGTTTTTTACAAACAAAATAAAATTATTTCAGCTGAAAAATATAAAACTAATATCACGAGTCATCAGATTTGATTGAAAATGTTTTGAAGATTTATCAGAAAACTTTCCGTTGTAGTCCATTCGCTATAAATAGTAAAACATAAAATATAAATTGTACAGTGTGCATTTACTGTAAATACCAACAGCAACAAACTCTGTAAGTAACTAAAGTTAGCACTAGTCATGTAAGTCAAACAAAAAACAAAACTAAAACACTTTAATGCATTAATAAGGGAAGTACATTACTGAATGACTCAACACTGACTAATTTTAATAAATAAATAACGCGTCGACGGCACGAAGCGCGCGCAATGTAAATATTTAACTGGATTTTTCATCAGTATTATCTCGACTAATTAAATGGCGGTTTAAATTAGAATCGACTACTCTGAATTATTCAATGTGATTGTACATTAATGTATATTTTCCTACTCCACTCTCAACACACAATACACAAAACGTAAAACACAAAATTTACATGACAATTGACAACATCGCCATCGCTTAATTGCTTGCGCCGGCCGAGAAAATCGATGGGCGTCGCACGTCGCGATGTTTGCAAAACCCAGAGCGCCGGAGTAACCCCCAGCTTGAAGCTTCGAACACGTTGTCCAGCTGGCGGTTACTCTTCACACTTGAGCCCCCATTGCGCGAAGTGTTTGCAAGCATCTTCGAGTGTGCGACGTGTTAATTCGTGGATTGGGACGACCTCTAGCGAGTAAGATATACAAAATATACATACAGTAAATAAATCCATCGGTGTTATCAAAAAAAAATGAATACCTTACATACGCTTATTAAATTATGTACCTATAAATACGATTTAATGACCTACGTTATAAGACTAGCTGATAATGATTACGATTGGATGATTAGAACTGTATTATTGCGCTATATCATGAACTTGTTTCTAAAAAAATGTTAAAAATAAATGCTATTTCTTGTAAAAATTAATCAATTGATTATTTTCATATTTATCCACAAAACAACGCAATTACAAGGTAAGTTAACTTAATTAATGTTATGAACTTTATCAAACTTGACCTCAACGTAAAGTGAAAGCCGTCTTATCATCCGCGTATTAGATTTTTGCTTTCACATCTTTGACCAGCGACATAACATAAATTCAAATACGTGCACACTTGGAAATATGTGAAAGCACTTTCACTAGACATTTGTAACATTGATATTCGTCTCATATCAATGAATGAGTTTGAAAAACGCGAGAAATAAATACATTGACATTTACATCATGTTCTTATTTTTTTTCTTCCTTGGAATATCGATAAAAGCTTATGGCTTAATTCCATCCTTTGTGCAAATCTCTTTGTCAATATTACATCCTCGCTTTCTCTCATCGCAGGCACTCCGGAAGTCGTACACAAAGACCATCATTAATATGACAGCATAATCTTTGACGTACTCGATAATTAATCGCCACGTGAGTAATCGGACACTCGAGAAACTCGATGAATGGTAAAAATTTTATCTTTTTTATTATTATTATTTTTCTTCTCTAAAGAATAAATTTATGTAATTTTTAAAAATAATAATTATATATTATTTAAGAATCGTAAATTACATAAAATAAAATAAAATAAAATAAAACACAGTGCAGGCAAAGACAATCGGTTAAAAATTACGTATAGAATAGTAGAAAACAGTATGTACAAAAGTCTCAGGTTCTTTGTCTCGACTAAATTAGTTAAAATTAGTTCACATTATGCTAGGCGAAGAGATTTGCGTTAATTACCCATTGTGGTTATTGCGCATGCGCATAGGTGACACCAGGCGTTTGGTAATATTGCGGGCGTGGAACATAAGCAGGCTGTTGCTCAGAATGTGACCCAGCATATTGGGGTGCGGGTGCGTCTACATATTGCTGTTGATGTTGTTGCTGCTGCTGTTGCTGGGAGTACGCAGCGTATTGCTGTGGAGTGAGCTTGACATACTGAACTTGTTGCTGTTGGCCTTGGTAAGCAGCAGCTTGCGGTTGGGCCTGAGCCTGGTGCTGGGGTTGAGCCTCGTAAGCCTGTTGCTGCTGAGGAGGCACGTATGGTTTGCCGTAGATTTTCTCATAAGCTTCCTCGGCACTGTTGGCGTAGACAATGGTAGAACCTGCTTTGTAAGCCTGTTGGGGTTGAGCAGCTGGCGCATGCGCAGGCTGAGCTACCTGAGCGTAGACAATACGTTGAGCTGGTTGAGCAGGCTGCGCATAGGTAATCTTCTGACTATGCGAAGGTGCAGTGTAGGTCAACTTCTGTGCAACTGGAGCTGCTTGCACTACAACTTTCTGAGGTTGTTTATAAGCAACATATTGTTGTGGAGAGTATTGTTGGGCGACCTGTGGTTGAACGTAACTTTGCTCAGCTGTAGGCTGCTCAACGGCTTTACCAATTGTTTGTTTCAAAAGGCCTAAGTTTGAGTATGAAACCAATGGGCTGGAATAACTGAAAGTGGAGACATCTGACGCCAAGGAGAAGTGAATTGGTGCTGGTGCATAAGCAGCCTGAAACAAATATGGCGTAAGTCATATACATATTGAACTTGTGTTTTAAAGTTACGAAAACGAAAGCGAATCGCGTGGAACGCATTCACCTTGATCTTGATAATAAATTATAAATTGTAAAGGCGAGTCAGCAAGTTCTACGTGTGGTACACATACGTGCTCGTTCCGTATTCAGTGAAAGTTTACGGTTAAAGGTAACACAAGCAACCGAAAGCAAAACTCCAAAGTGTTCTTAGCTCTTAAGTACACGCCAACTAATTTCGTCGAGATTAAACTTAAATTATAAACATTCTGATCGCTTTCTTCGCTGGAAATTCAACTAGGCAATGCGCATTACAATTAACTTTAATGGCGTTGTTTGTATGCCGGTGATCGGAGGGTCCGTATTTTCATAAAAGCTCGATTTGTTCGGAGTTTACGTTTTGGCCCCGCATTAATCCGATGTGTTCTGGATCAATGATTAGTTTTTGCATAATTTATACGCGCACGGTGGGATTTCGACGCAAACAATAGGCACTTACTTTAGCCGGAGCCAATTTGGTTACTTGTTGCGGCTGATGGTGGGTGGCGGCGGCGGATGCGTACGGTTGCTGTTCGTACTCGTACTGATATTGCACGGGGCGGCCTGCTGTTGAGGGGCCTGCACATATTTCACCTGGTATTGAGGCGGAGCGGCTTGATTATTTTGGGTGAAGGTTTGGGGTGATACTTTGGCGGTGGCGTAGGCCACGTCCGCCGCCGTTGCTGTCGAGTATGTCCTAGGAGTGGTGTAAGAAACGCCGCGCTTTTCCTTCTCGGCTGGTTCCTCTTTCCCCAACGCGAGGGAACAGTAGGCAACCAAGAATACAACCTAAAATTACAGACATTTTAATAGTTATAAAATTACCTTTTGTGGTGAAATAAAAGGTAGTAATCCATTCACACAGCACTTGTTAATACACTTTCTTATTTTCACTGATTTACTTTGATAGGAATCTTTGATTTGATTTATTTGTTTTACTCACAGCTATAACTTTCATGTTTGCGGCTCGAGTGTGAAGGTGAGAGTGATTCGACAAGAGGGTACCAGCTTGGTTATATACCGACGACTTCCTGGTGATCTCCTTTCTCTCACACCACACCTTCGGCTGCACATCGTAAATGTATCAAGAGGGGCCCAAAACGTGGGGAGACGTGAGACAATCGTCTCGGCATTATTGTCAAAATTGTCGTCGATAAATATTAATAAGAAGCTAGAAATCATTTCATTTATGCCGACACCACATCATCGATGACATAAACGAAATAAATTCAAACCACAATCTTTTGTATGCAGATTAAGTTATGAAATGCATAAATAAATTAAAGAAGTCAAAAATAATATTTTTTCAAAAAAATTGTTCTTGATATGTAAATTAATTGCTTTCTTGTTAACTCGGTCAGTGAATTCGTGACTTGTCGAGATAATAGCGGACAATCAATCTTAATGAACCAGATTTAGCGCTAACAACATAATTAAATCCATATCGAATCAATTACAGTAATTGTTAAGATAAACTGTCGACAATTTTGCGTTAATAAGATCTCAAGTCTTTGTTCCGTTAATATCCATTTGTAATTAACACAAATGCATACTTAATACGTAATTTTTTTGTAATTAAACTTTGAGTGCCGAATTAAATATTTATTGGAGTTTAAATTTTAACGAATTTTTTTTTCCTGTAGTTAGTTAAAAAGCATTAAACGTAATTGTGTTGTTGAGCACTTAAAATCGGTAAAGCGAAAGCAAGTGCAACTAATTAAAATATAAGAAAGTTAATTTTGAGTTGAATTCACTTGGTTGGTGATTCTTTGATTGTCATTTTAAGAAATTTTGTTACAAGTCAATAAATTGTCATGAATTTTACTTTTTTTATTGTTCCATAAACTATTTTTAATGATAAATCTAATTTATCATTTTTATGATCTTGTTTAGTTTTGTATTTTACGTTGTTTATGCAGTTGCATAATAAATCGCTACCGCCGTCGGGCGCACGCGTGATACATATTTATCCAACGCCACAGATTCCATTATTAAAATTCGTACACGTCTGCGCGCGAAATAATAAAGCATCCAAAGTCAATCTCACGAAGGTAACGACGTGTTGCACAATTCCTCCATCGTCATCATCGATTCCTCTCATTGTGCTCCCAGCTCCAGCTGTGTACGAAGAAACTCCGAAACATAGTAAGTGTATATTCAGGCACACAAAACTATTCTCATTCGCTTCTTTAAAGTTCGCTTCGTTTCCCTTGCTGCTGCCGTGTGTAACATCATTAGATAACATTTATAAATAGTGTGTGCGTGCGCCGAAGAAGGCGAAGACAGCGAAGAAGACGACTATATGCAAATATTGTTCCCATGAGAGCACAACTTCAATTTCAGTTTTCAATTTCCTCGATGTGGGATAATGAGCTGTTTTAAATTAGTTTATCGTATCGGGACAACGTTTTTATTTAGATTTTTCCTCCAGATTTTTGAAATGAATGTATTGCGACGCCATTTTGATGGCAGATAAAAGAACATAACCTCCATTATGAAATTCTGGTAACCAAGACATGATTATTACAAATTGTCAAAAGCATACAGCGTACATAATGCTAATTTGTAATTGAATGTGCATCAGAGAATAACATAGTTGTAGCGAGCGTCATTCGGTTGCAGATGAAAGAACAAGCGAGCTGCAACCGTAGAGATTGCAGGTACTCACAACGGATAAATGTCACTACTTGAACTTAAGACCTTTCTTTGTGTCGAACGATGCTCACGGCATTGCAAAAATCCTTACCTACTTAAAATCACGATAGCTACAACGAGAAAAGTAAGTAAAATGACGACCTTAAGCTTACAACGTATTCATTTTTTTTGCATTCGTTAATGCATTGTAAGCTCATTCATATTACCATTACTTAACTACACTCACTGTTTTATTTTTAGTTGTTTTTTTACGTTTTGTTTGTTTATCGCATTTCATATTGTAACATAATCTTCTCAATATCAATATCAATGGTGGGTGGATCAACTCAAAAGCACATAAATTCCAACCAAACATGCATCGCGTCGCTTTTCGAGGCTCGATAACAAATTGATTTCGACATTTACCGCTCGACTGCAAACAGAAAATTCGAGTTATTGGAAACCTAGACGCGCAAAAACATTGTATTCAATTAATTTTTTTTGCCGCAGACTCGAATTAAAATTTTGAGTAACTAAATATTGCCTGGATGAACATTCAACGAAGTTATCTTCGTTTTTACGCGTAAAAGTGTAATTTTAAAAACTTCGTCACTGGCAATTAAACTTTACCTGCGAGACAAAGAAAAGTGTAACATAGATCTGATAATTGAAGCGTAACACGTATTAAAGTAAATTATTTGTTATTTTATTCTATTAAATTATCATAAATTTGCTGAACCATAGAAACTGATTTATTTTAAACGTCGAACGGTAAATGTAAGGAAATTACTTTGATTTACACATGAGAGAATTTCTTGAATTATTAAATCTAGATAATGCATCAGTAATTGCATTTTTTGCACTTTTTGTGAAAAAGTCGCAAAATATGAGCGAAAAATGCAAATTTGCAAAACAAACGTGTTTTTCAACAATTGTAATTGTCCTATTGTTGGTATTCTGTAACAATCGCATGCTAATTTGATCAATATATACTATACAGGGTAATGCACAGAAATATATTCAAATTTTAACTAAAACTAATAAAAACAATGTTTTTTTTATTTAAAAACAAAATTTTTCATCCTGTAGAGAATCGTATTATTCCTAGGAGTAAAAACTAGATTGTGGAAATGTATGTGTGTGTGGTAGATGCTTCTGCACGAGGTTTCCAATATATTTGCATAATTCGACTTTCCTTCTTTGTATGCGAGAACTGCAGCCGCTTGCAGCGCGCAGCAAAAGCAATTGTTGCTCACATGTGAAAGGAAAACCGAGGTTTTTTTTTGCCCACATGATGCCGACATGGATTTGACCCGTCCAAATCGAAAATTGAGCGCAAAAAACATTTCCGATCGTTTCAATCGCTGCAATATTAATTGAACACACGATTCGGCCGCAGACAAAACCGAAATACAATAATTTACAATGTTTTTTGCTCATGTTTTTTTAGTACCCTTGGCCTTTATGACATTCATAAAAATATTAAAAACTAATTTATTGCAATTCGTTGCGTTTCGAATTTCTAAACTAACCAAATAGCAGTTAATTTAATTGGTAATTACTGCCTGTGGTTGTTGTATGGTTATTGGTTAGTTTCACACGCGTTATTTACACGAGAATTTTCGATTTTCGGCTGCTACTCACTTTCGGTAGGTATTAATTTGCTCTTGATTTCTTGATTTCTTGATTTCTATTTTTTATGTCTCGGCTGATGTTAGTAATCATCCGTGGCGCAACCGGCATTGTTTAAAACAATAATCACCACATGATTTGTTTCTGAAATTATGTTAATGTTCAAAATGCCAAATAATTTAATTATTATGCGTTGACTTTTGTAACACGACCGCCGATGATTTCATCGACATAATAACATGGCGGACGCGCTTTGATATTAAAATGTTATTAATTTTAATTGTGCTTTTATTCATATGACACACATGAATAAATTCCTCGAAGAGGGAAGTTCCCACGTTTGTCATAATTAAAATTTTAACACTCACACGCTTTTTAGTCGGATATTTTGTTGTTTTATGCTAATTTAATATCGATACAAAATGTGAAATGTGTGTATTATTAGATTGCAAAATTGTAACTATTTGTTTCGCAAATTTAGTCATTAGTAACCCTTTCCTCGCAATGCGATTTGCGCGCAATTTATTTACACGCCATACGTGTAACACATTTGTCACAGCATTTTACTTACACACACACTGTTTTAAATAATTACCACACTTACTCGCATTTTTGTTCGACAATGCCTCGTGTAATTTTCTTATTGCATGTTGGCCCTCGGGCGAAAATAAAACAGTGTTACAGTTTGCAGAAACAAAGTGCATGCCCGACAAATTGATTTCATTTATTATTATACACTGATTATTATTTTTTTATATAAAAGTATAAGACATGCAAAAATTACGCAACAAAATCTTTTTAAAATAGATGAGTAGTCATGATCTGTATCATTCATTATCAAATGAATCTAATAGCTATAATTAGCACCGGATTAACCGCGCTTTAATTGAAGCTTAATTAGTATTCATTAGAGGCATTCATGAGCTCACTTCGAATGAAAAGAATGCTCTAAACCGCATAGCCGAAATTGCAAAACGCAGCTCCGCGAATAGAAATCGAAAGCTAAAATTCTCTTTCGTCGCCGGCACTTACAACTGACACTTGCCGGGCGAATTCTTGGCGCATGCCTTCCGGTGATACAATTAATCCGTGCTTGCGTAATGTAATATTTTGTTAAGGTTCATCCATTATGCATTATGCATTATAATGGATAACTTTAACAATGAAATCAACGTCATGGTTATGAGATATTTCATTCACGTTACACGCATTTATTTTTGAAGTGTTTTGATGCCCTAAAAAAAGCAAATATTATGGATATATAATATTTTATTACATACTGAATTTATTACATCGCATAGCTGACTTTATCTGATTTGCGATGTGAATGCAGAAAATCGACAATTAAGTCATTTCCTTGTAATTAAATTCCAGATACACGTAACTAAAATACAAGAATTTTCTTGTAAGAATAGTGTTATTCAATGAAATAATTAAATTTGTTTTATTGATACCCAAGGAATATGAGAACATTCTCTGATTTTATAAGTACGCATTTCTTCCCTATTTTAATATCTTTCTGTCATGCAATGCATAAAATTAATCAACTTTTAGATAAATTCATAATAAAATGTATTAAATTTATTTTATGCAACTTCATTTCTCAATCGAAAGTAAAATGTCTTTTGAGCTAATTTATTTCCAATGTAAATGTAAATCTATCAAATCCACGCGTTTGATCAAGAGAATATTCCAATTCTTTTACTTCTCTGAACTCGTCCTAGCAATAAATATAACTCGCTTGATTTTGGAATTTGAAACTGAATCTCCGCGTGGTTTGGTTTAGAATTCCGTTTCGTGTGATCTCGTCTAGAAATTAGAGAAATATGAGCGTCGAAAACTATTAATATGCCTCGAGTAGTAGCGCGTCTCAAGACTTTCTTTTCCACTAAAAGACATCCGAAGACATCCACTCAAATTCTAATCTAATTTTAAAACGATTTACAAACTGTGCGTTCAAAAAATATTTCCTAGACGCGAGTATTCTATAGAAACGAGCATAGAAATTCACATTTTTTTGCACGTTTTAATGAGGTATTTAAATTAATTTTAAAAATCAATAATGAATACGAAACGTAACGGAATAATAATGAAACACATCGGAAGTTGGAAGAAGTTAACATCGCAAGCTGTTATTTTAATGGCAAGTGTAAACTTATTTCGCAACGGTGCGTTGCTTGGTTGCTTCCGCATGAGTAGTAGTCGTCTTCAAGTACCATTCCCTTTTTGCTCACAACCGTTGGACTAGTTAAGTACTTAATTTAATTTAAAAGACTCGACTCAACAGCTCAACACACTTCACTGCGATGCGACCGCTCGGCAGAAAACAGCAATTAATTATTTATACATATCACATAAATATGACAAACATATTAATTGTGTATTAATATCTGATTATAGTGTAAATAAATTTAGTTTATAAAAGATTTATTTATTGTATTTTTAAGTGTTAAACTTATGTTGAACAACTACATTTTATCTTTGTATTTGCAGATAGTGAAACCAAAACATCACGCGATTGAAATGGATAACAATTCAATCTTACATTGTTTACATTTGATTTCAAAACATTGCGTTGAATATTTTAAGATTTTTTGACACAACTAGCGCAACCTATATTCTCTTTATAAATTTCGTTTCAAAATGAATTGTATATTTTATTTCGTGAGTTAAACTTGTCTGAAACAACTACATTTTATCTTTGTATTTGCAGATAATGAAACCAAAACATCACGCGATTGAAACCGATAACAATTCAAGATTATAATGTTTACATTGTGTCTCGAATCTTTGCCTTGAATATTTTTAGTATTTTCAATACAACTAGCGCAACCTATGCGCAATCAGATGAACTACTATAGTTCTACGCTCATTTACTACTCAAGATGGTACTACTATCAAACAATATTTACAAAACTTGAATTTGTTAATAATAACTGTAATTAATTGTGATTTTAACAATAAAAATTAGTTACTTTTTAAGCTATTTTTATGTAGTGTTTAATGTCACACCATATAAATTAATTACACAGAGATAAAACCAAAGTAATCATTAACATGTCGCAAAAAGTAACATTAATACAAAATGGTATTGAACATTCTTGGAAATTGCTCCATTTGTTACATATATGACAACCAAGACGGACTTGCCTTTTATATTTGTCGTAAAACTGCACAAATTTGTGTTTTAAAAATTTTGTAACAGTTTAAACTAAATTTTAAACTGAACAAGGTCAAAATAACGCTATTTACTTGTAAACTTTTTGTTGTAAATGTTGTAAAACATTATGTCATGTGCTTGACGCTTGTACATCATTTACAATGACCGGTTTTTATGCATGTTGACATTTCCAATGCAAATTAGGAAATTCAACTCTAAACACAAAATTTAAACGGATTTAAATGGCCATAGCGTTTGAATCGAATGTGTCATCTGGGTTATTGCATACAGAGCACAAATCATCGCAAAGCCATTAATGTTTTATGTCCCATTGAAATTAATATGCAAAAAAATTCACCTCGGACGTGCGTGCGCAACAAATGCACATTATAGATATCTGTAAAACTGTATCAAGGTGGTCGCTGGTTTTTCACAATTCAGCAGTTGCTAACAAATTTTCCAAGATTGGTAAAAATTAAGCAAAAACTGGTACACACCGATAATAAAACCACTAGCGGCAGTGCGAAACCGGAGCAGTGTTTAATTTTATTCAATTCAAATTTCAATTAGCGAGATCTAGGTTCCACGCTTCTGACGCAACTGCTACCGATGTTTTCGCTGCTCATTATTGGCATCAATCAACGAAGGTGCGTGCAATGCGTGCGCGCTCGCTCGGTTTCTTCATAGTGTAGGGTACTTTAAGGCGATATCGCCATATTTGTGGATGCAGTTTAATGCGTAGATGGGATTCTCGACGGCGAACATGATTGATTCTTGGCCGCCGTTGCTTCAACTTGACGACGGGCGACAATGCCGACAATGTCTTTGCAATTGCCAATCGATAAGCGGTATAAAAAGGACTCGGCTTAATTTTTAATCCAGTATCGATTTTTGTGCCATTGCTATCGCTTCGGAGAAGGATTTGTGTTTTTTATTTGCAATCTTCAACTAATACAACAAATCATGTATAAACTAGTAAGTTTTTTTTAAAATCATTAAAAAAAATCAAAATTTAATTATTTTTATTCAGTTTATATTAAGTATTATCCTTGCAACATCCTATGCTGCACCTGGACACCTCGGCTATGGTCATCATGATGACCACAGTCACACCCAACTCATCGCTATCAAACCAGTAGCGCAACATAACGCCTGGAATCCATGGCAACAGAATAATGGTTGGAATCCGTGGCAACAGAACAATGGTTGGAACCCTTGGCAAAAAAACAGTGGATGGAATCCATGGCAACAAAACCAAGGCTGGAACCCATGGCAACAGAACAACGCATGGAACCCTTGGAACCAAGGCTACGGATCCGGTGGACATCATCATCAAGCACATGTTGTGAAGGTACCTGTCCATCACGCTCCAGCCACCAGTTATGCTCAAGTAACCAGTTACAACGTTCATCATGTTCAACCTGTCGTTAAAGTAAGAAAAACACAAAATCCAAGGATAATACTAAATAAAATGATTAAATAATCTTTTCCAGGCGATTGTTCCAACCTATGCGCATGATTACGGTTATGGACATGGTGGACATGGCTATCATCACTAAGTATCAAAAAACCGATCAGGAACTTCACCGAATGTGTTGACATGCGACTGTACAGCTAATACGCTAATATCTTATACTTTTATGATCAAATAACCAATCATTTATTGTAGAAACAGTGTGTTAAATAAAACAATAACCAAACTTATGATCCACGCGCATATTTTATATCATTTTTAAGGTTAGGACAACATAACCTCTATTGTTGTAGATACCATTCAACCATACAATCAAATAATAATCAGATAAATGCTAATCGATACAGAAAGCACCTTTGGATTTACATTAATCATAATCGTGGTATTTGTATCAACAAAAATATTTATTGCCGTCATATAGATTATCTTTTTATTGTTCTTTATACCTATATTTATAAAAATCAATATATTTTATACTAAACACAAATACAAGTTGATTAAAATGGATTAAAAGAAATACATTCTCATAGAAATTAATTTTTGACTTCATGACAATCAATCCTCAAGAATCGATAGCCTATTCTACAATTTAGTTCAATTAGAATAATGTATATGAAAAGTAGATTAGTACGTGTCAGACAATGCGTCCTTGCGTTACCTTCGCGTTACCTTCTTTATTTATTTGTTTTTGTATGCCGCTGTGAATAATAATGTCAACATATTTAATATCATTCAACGTGATCAGCTATAATTAATTTTCGATTGTAAACTGAAAAATATTGCTTTGTTTTTTACAATTTCCTTTCGACTTCGACTGGTGTGGTGACATATTACCAAATTGTGTATTATGTATTGCACAAAGGAAATAATACTTATATACAATTTATTAAAATGACGTGTTCTTTGATATAGGAAATTTCGACGTAGAAAATTCTATATTTCACCATACGATGTCCGAGTGTGTATACAATCGATTATTTGAGTTAAACGTGTGCGGCAGGAAATACGTAAAGTGGTAACATGAATTCGTACAAATACGTAAAACCCTGATATTATGTGTACACCATCGTATGTACAGAGTGATTAATAGTGGTTAATAGTAAAACAATCAATAGAAAACATTTTTAGTGAAATTCAATATTTTTCTGTATTTTCTAAGAATTCTGCAAGTAATAATGCTATTATTTGCATAAAAAATATATTTTTGTGATCAAAGACATTTTTAATCGTTTTATTGGTCAATGACCCATCTAATCTTATAAATATTCACGTATAAACTCAGTAATGATTCCTAAACTGCCCAAATTAATAATTTAACCTCCCGAGTAAGCTTTCTAGACTGTTTGTGATTATCCTTATCATAAATATGCATGTTAGTCATTGACGTCTACATTCCTATTTCAAGAATCCTTGAAAATGTTATTTATTGTTACAATAAAGAAAGCATAGTTTAAAATAACACCAGTAACCTGTAAAAAACAAAATTTATGCTACTGCAGAATTAAGTATGTGTCGAATGTAGGTAAGTAGTTTCCGATAAGAACTATCGGTGTGTCAGTGAGTGGATATGATAATAAGTTAAAAACCTAAGTGAATAAGTAAATTGTTGTGTTCTGAGTTTGAAATCGCGTGTTTCGCGAGTGTCAACTGTGAATTGAACAATTAACGTTTGTGATTAGTTAAGTGACACAACAAACACATAGGATGTGAATCAACGAATGCTGTAGATATAGATAATAGTGTGCAAGGTGTAAATAATAGATATCAAATCAATATCTGTTTCATAATTCAAATATTTTCCGCAAAATGACCTAGACTTGAATATTATCGTAAAAGTTGATTTCTGGAATCGAATTGAATCGTAGGCGATATTTTTTGCGTTTTTGTTAGTGCACTGTATTAATGGCTGGAAAAGCAAATGCGTTCCTAACGTGTTCACCTATACACCCACACCTGAATAAACGTATGTGTTACTCGTGAAAACATCGTGTGATAGCCGCGGAATTGTTGTGACTGTCCAACAGTTTACCGGCGGAATCGTTCCGGTAATGTGCTGACCGCCGCCGTCGATGTTGTACAATAAAAATCCATGGAAAAAAGCTCAATTCGAGCGCCATTACTCAACGACTCTGTGAGCTTTTTATTTGCGATAAAAACATGACTTGAATAACACCAAATACATTAAATTTGAAGTTTATATCTTAAGTAATATTGCTTTAAATCAGTTTTAATGTGATTTAAATTAAGTGCGCGTCGTAAAAAATAAGGATAATGGAGGATCCAGGACGAGTTTATACTATTTCGAATGCTCAGTCGGCCAGACAAACAGTCGGTATGTTATTTTTCGTAAAAAGAATTGTTTTGTTTAATAACTTAATCAACAAAACTAATACCATTAAAATTAGAATTTCTTTTATGTTTATTTTATTATCTGATTATTATAATGTATATACTAAGACAGTAATTAATTAAATGCTATAAATAATGCACTGTAATTTTTGAGCATGTAGAACCAGTATAATTATATATGAATTTAATTGTAAAATTTGATGTTTATAGCCAACAATCAAGAAGCAACTGGGCAAACAAACGGCACGCGAAGTCGATTCAATTTTATTAACATCAAGTCAAAAGGTTCAATGTAAGTTTAATTAAAATTGTTATCATGCATTTCTTTATTTTTATATTAATTTATAAACGAAAACAAGTTATCGTTACAAAAGTAGTAGTAGTAGCAACCGTTTAAACTACAACAACACTACACATCGATAATTACAATTCGAGAATGAGATTGAGGTGATATTTAATAATTAATTGTTTAGAGTACGGCTTTGAAATTCGGGTATAATTATCCCTAAAATGTATTATTTTGCTAAAAATTCAAAAAAAAAACTTGACGTGAAAACGCTAATTAAAAAAATAATAATTTTTTACTTGCATTTTTAAAAAATTGCTTTTTTTCTCACAGATATAGAATTTAGGTGAAGGTTCATAATTATTAATCTGTTTTTGTACGCACGTTTCAGCATTTTAGTCGGAATCATTTATCACCAACTGAAACAATCATTATTCATTTGCGTCGTTAATACTTTTGTATTTTCAGATTCAAACGAAATGATTTCTATAAAAGACTATCGATTCTTCTGTGCCTTTTAATCCTATTTCTATTTATTGGATTAATAATCCTGATTTGTAAATGTAAGCATTACAATCACAACAAATCACAAATCAATTGATTTTAATTTTTAATATTTTCATAATCCAGTCAAAAGACATCCATCGGATTTATGTGAATCAGACGAATGTCTACGTTCTGCCGCAAATCTGAAGCTATCTATAAATTTATCCGTGGATCCCTGTGATGATTTCTACCAGTTTACATGTGGAAAATGGAGTGATGAGCATCCGAATCACGGCTGGTATCCCACTTTCTCGTCTTTTCGACTAATTGACGAACGAATCACAATAGCGACATTGAAATTTTTACAATCGAATGCTACTGACGATGAACCGGATCCGGTCAAGGAGCACGTGCCCTTTACCGATCGTGTCTGAATGAAGGTGCGTCAATAATTTATTAAGGTGCAAGTAAGTCAAACGATGCATTTCAGCCGCCACCGATAAACTAGGCTTCACCGTATTACATAAATATGTACAGAAAGCGGAGATGCCCTTGGTACCAGGGTTACTCAAGGGCGAAGCTGAAGAGGGTTACAAATTTGACTGGATTAAATTTTCTGCCAAGATTAAAAACTGTTTGCCATGGATTTGGTGTTCAACTTTGCCATTGATGCTGATATTTATAACAGGAGTCGATATATTATGTATTTAAGTTCAAATTTAGGAGATTCACCATTACCAAGGTCAGTAATTCTCAAAAAACATCAAAACATTTTTAATAACAAGTTCTTTATGATTAAAGTGCTTTTAAAAGTAAGAAAATCAAAAATAAATTTTACGTGCGCAAACTGACGACGAAGAAAAAGAAGACACCCCAGAAGATGCTGATGCTACTGACACCACAGAAGGACCAAAGATAACCCATGGTGGAAAATTAGCAATTCAAAGGGTCATCACCGATGTGGTCAAAAACTCAACGGAGGCTGTTGAAATCAGTGATGATACAATGTTGACAGCTATAGAAATACTTTGGAACATCACTGGTGATATTTATGATGTAATTTTACTCAATTCACTACCTACCATCAATAATAACCAACATTTATTAATACATTTTAGATTGTGCATGAAAACGAAACAGATATTGATGATATAAATCTAGAAAAACTAAAAGTTTCAGAATTACAAAATTAACCGATGATTTCTTCAAATCCAAAGAATTGGAACCAATGGAAATCTGGAAACCTTACCTAGAAGAACTTTTTAAAGACATACCAGCAACATTTGACTTTGAAAATGACCCGATTTACATCCTCAAAGCAGAAATGGGTGAACTACAAGAATTGGTAGCCCATGTGGCGTCACTACCAGAACTCCACATCGAGTTATACTTCTGGTGGAAAGTGGTAGAGTCAATGATTGCTGGTACGACCTCAGAACTCAACGAATTCGTCTACAAACAGACAAGTTATGAATACTGGACTTATCCAAATGTTGCAAGGTCAAGATCATTGGATTGTGCCCAATTGACCAGTTCATACATGGGTATTGCTGTGACTTATGGAATAGCAGACAAAAACTTCGTCAATGTGACCCTACCAGAAGTGAAACAGATGTTAGCGGATATCAAAACAGCGTTCGAATCAAACGTAGGGAAAATGTCCTGGATGGATAAACCTACAAAAATGGCTGCAATAGAAAAATCAAAAGAAATGATTGGTTTGATTGGTTTCCCTGATTGGTTGACGAATAAAACTGCTATTGATGTTTATTATGAGAATGTAGGACATGCCATTAATATGATTATTGTATTTTATTATAATTTTTGATTGTAGATTACTCTGAAACCCACTGAATTCCTGGATAATCTAATGGGTATTGTCAGTACGTACATTCCAGACATGTTAGCAACCTACAACGAAGAGAATTACAAACAATGGCGGACTGATCCAACAGTAGTGAATGCTTTTCATTATGTCGCTGATAATTCCATTAGTAAGCAATTTTTAACAAAACTCCTAAAGTATTAATTTATTTATTAAATTTTTAGATGTACCACTTGCCATTTTGACATTTCCAATATACCATTTAGGTCTTGAGTGAGTATAACTACCATTAAAATAAATTACCTTTTAAACTTTAATATTTCCAGGGTTTTAAATTACGGGGCAATTGGAAGTGTCCTGGGCCATGAACTAACTCACGGCTTTGACAACCTGGGTAAAAACTACGACAAAGAAGGCAATATGATACAATGGTGGAGCAATAATACCGCGATGACCTTCGATTGGAAAACACATTGCTTCATAAATCAATACAATCAATTCAGATACGATAGACTTAATATGTCTGTCAATGGACGATTAACTCTAGGGGAGAATTTAGCGGATAATGGCGGTCTACATCAGGCTTTCAACGCTTACCAGCTTTATGTGGAGCGAAATGGAGCAGAACAACGTTTGCCCGGATTTGAATCATATACAAATGATCAGATGTTCTTTATTGCCTACGGAAGCGTACGAGAAAGAAACATTAGTAAAAATTCATTAGTGAATAATAAATTGATTTTTAGATTTGGTGTGAAAATACGGATTTGAATTCACTTAAGGATCAAATTGCTCATGACGAACACAGTCCCAGTTATGTTCGTGTTATCGCATCGGTGCAGAATTCAGAAGAATTCGCAAAAGCATTTAAATGCCGCAAAGGAAGCGGAATGAATCCAAAACGTGAGAAGTGCAAGATTTGGTAAATATTTACATTGTGATTCTAGTGATTATCGTTTATTTCTACAGTATTAAGTTTCAAAGTGTGATATTAATATGTGCAGTACAAGCAATTAATCATTCTATTAGTATTTAAACTAATTAATTAAATTATTATTCATTCTGCTTTTGTATATTTTTTATTTGTCATATATATTCAATATTTAAATACAATTGGGTGATATTTTTAGCTAGTATTACACTAATTGTTAATCTTGATTGTTATTCATGTAAACATTGTGTGATGATGAATTATTTGTGTGAGAATAAATAAAATCAATCGGAAATTGAATTTGTAAGATTATCTGGATATCAAAATGACAAAATCAATATAAATACTCGTATAGACCATGAAATAAATTTATTTATTAAGTGCGCATTGTGTTCTCATTCAAACATTTGGATATGTACATAAACAATATGAAAGACATAAAAAACAATTGCCATTGTATCACAAATATTAATAAAAGAATGATACAGTTGTATGATGATGATGTATTTCTGGTATCATCGCTTAGTGATGATGACCACCTCCAAGGGAGATACTGGCATAGCTGCTGGCATGTCCACCGCCATGGCCACCTCCGTAGCCACCTCCATGTCCACCGCCGTAGCTACCACCGCCATGACTGGTACCAAAACTGTAACTTGTGTGTCCGCCTCCATATCCACCGCCATGGCCACCACCTCCACCATATCCACCTCCAAGACCACCTCCGAATCCTCCGCCACCGCCGCCGCCTCCACCTCCACCACTAACTTCAATGATTTGTGGTACAGGCACGACGACCGTCTGCGGAATTCTAACTGGAACTGGTCTGGTGACAGTTACTGGATAGGGTTGTGGTACAGACACCGGGTATGGTTGAGCAACTGGTACTGGCACAGCGTACGGTTGTGGTACAGGCACTGGACGAGTGACTGTTACTGGATATGGACGTGGTACTTCGACACGTTGAGGTACCGGAACTGGCACTACCACTGCACGTGGTACATCTACTGGCACCTCGACCGCAACAGGTACAGGGACTGGTCTGTTTACGGTGACTGTGTATGGCTGGGGTACCTCAACTGGAACGGCTTGGTTTACTGTGGAGACTGATGTGGTACCACCTCCACCACCACCGCCACCGCCGCCGAAACCACCTCCGCCTCCAAATCCACCACCTCCTCCAATTCCGATACTGTAACCACCGCCGCCTCCATGACCACCGCCGTATCCACCTCCGCCACCGCCATGGCCGTACCCGGTGCTGAAGATGCCTCGCTTTTCGGGTTTTTTATCTTCCGCGAATGCGGGCGAGGATAAGGCGAGGACCACTGTCGCCAACTAAATAATATAAATTTTAATTTTAATTATTTATGTTGTGAATTAGTTCTTGGTAGGTTAGCTTACCAGAAACGATCTCATCTTTGCGCTGAATGTGACTCAAGTAGTGGCTTACCCTCGTCGCATCGAGTAATATTTATACGGTGGGCCGGCCGGTTGGACTTTCACCGGGTGGGAAGATTATCGACCAAAATGTGCAAATCGCAGCCGGCATCTCCCATCTCTCCCCATATCACACACGCCGCTGCAGTGACGATGTACCGATGCAGCCGCGAGCGAAATCACTGAACCGAATAGGAAACGTGACTTTTTGCATTTTAATTTTCCTATCAGCGTTTTCACATGGACATGCGCATGCACGTAGGATGGAGGCTGGCCGAAGTCCGCACCGTACCGAATAAGATCAATTAAATTCAGCAACAAAAAAGCGCTGTTGCGTAACATCCTCGTGAAGTTATTCAGCAAATCTTGAATGCAAGCGATAAATGTTTACCTTTCGAAATCTTGTATGAAAATGCAAAAATATGAAAATGCGAGTTTAATAGTCATACATACGCATCCATTACGATTTACCTTGCTCCAATTCAAAACTGATTAACACACCGTTCACAGAATTAGCCAACATGTGATAAAGTTTTAACATTCGACAAGTGCGCAAAATTAGACATGTGTGATTTGCAAGTTGGAAAGTCTGCTTGACGAAAACAATAAATCACTATGCGACGAGATCAATATCTTCTTCCAGCATGCAAATGCTAAACGGCATTTTTCTTGAATTTGTAATTTTCCTGTCTCGATTACAGGTTCTCGCCGCATATAATCACTGCTAAGTAATCAGTTAATTATAACCTGCCTATAATTGCATTCATGCACTTTACCAACTCCTCAAGCAACAGTTATAAACAATTATAATTATGCAAATCGAAATCGTTAAAGTGTTTGCGTTTGTCAATTAAGTCCGGCCGAAACAAAGCGATGTTTTCTAATCAGTGTGTGCACACAACATGCAGTCAGCGACTCTGATTGCGCAATGATCGCATTAGAAACCGATCAAACTGATCCGGAGAGCGATCAATTAACAGTTTCCGTCTACACAAGTCGATGGACGCAATTGTATCGCGCGGCGCTCGCATTCTTTCGCTTCTTTCCTGTGCAAGCAAAGCGCGGAAATTGCATTGCGACGCTTGATTGTCCTCTAAAATGCAATTATTATTAGGAATTAGAGTTGCCGCGAGGGAAAGCAACGCGTAATATATGTGTTAACGCATGGCCGCATGATCCGGAAGTCAATGTACGTATGTACACCGTGCACTGTCCTGCTAATCTTCGCGAGATGTATGCGAATGAGATTTTGACATTTTTTTAATGTTGCGTAACGTAACAACTGCATATTCTATGGGAAAATCATTCGCCGTACATGCACACTGAATCGTAAACAGTTTCGTTTGATTGAGTCCCATATATGGAAAACGGTTTCAATCATTCGAGATATAAATGTGTCAAAATAGATTTTACTACCGAAATTGTGAAAATTTCATAACATCTATTACGATAACGCTACAATTTCTTATGTTATATTTATGCTGAAGTGTTACAGAGTAACTGTAACAGTGTATAATTACACAAATATAAAAGTGTCAGCTTGTCGCTTGAAGATACACGTAATCATAGATTTTGTCATGTTCAAAAATTTGCACCGGTGATTTGCAATCCGCCACAGGTCATTTTTACACTTTTCACTTAATGGTACTCTTACGCTCGTACTCCACTTACTTTTGAAAAGTTTTCAAAGCGTCGCAAATTAACGTTAACACTTACTTAGACTGCAAACCGTTATACACAGAGAAAGATCCCTTTGAGATAAATTCTCTCTACGGATATATTAGCACGCATTATTAATTACACCGCTGTAAACGTCAATATTTCACCGCGCTAATAAGTGTACCGCATGCAGTAACATAAGATTCTGCAACAGGCGAACAATGCAGACTTTCATCATACGTTCTTCTAAAACTGTTGCATCGATGTGTGCTGCAGAAAAAAAATGACAACAATGCAACAAAAGATAAAGTACCAATAACAGTGTGAATTCACACTGCGTTATATGAATATACTGTTTGTTCTAAAGCCGTACGATCAAAAGTCATATTTTTGACATTTTCACATTTTTTTGGTAGGAAAACGTGCGGATAACATGGATCGCAGCATATGGAGAGCAATAAGGCGTTTCCATGTTTGTTTAAATGTCATTTATGCATCAGTGATTCGGACGAATCTAAGGTTTTGTCTACGAACAAATTTCACGCATTAAAATTTAATTTGTTCTTTAACAAAGCGTTTTAATGATTGTTAATATGTTGATGTTGAGTAATGTGGGCATTAAACTTTTGGTAGTAAAAATATTTACATTGTTGTATTGCAAAAGGAAATGTCAAGTATTTTCGTGATTTATGCAAATGCAACGTTTAATTACACGCGTTTATTTTAAAGATTGTTCCTTATTAACATGATAACCCGCCAGCTAGATATAAAATGTAATCGTAAATATGTGACTCATGTAAGAAATACACGATCCAGTTTATTTCCTTATTTGGTACACTCATGAATAAAATTTGAGTAGAAATTTAGTTGAGTTGTGATAAAAAGTACCAAACGCAAGTTTTTGCAAATTTTTGAAATTTTGAAATTACATATTTGCATTTTAATTACACCTTGTGCATTTATGTCGGCAACTAAAATTTAATTTAATACCCCAAACGTTCACCCGAAGCAGTCGAAGCGCGTTCATAAGCAATAAACCAAATCGAAAGTGAAAATCTTGGGTTTTTCTCAACCATTTTCAACAGAGCGTCGAATCGCAATAATTACTATGCAATTTTGTTCTATATTACCACGAATAGCACACATGCATGTTGTTTCCTAATTTGGTGTTTTTTTTCTGCACAAATATTCAGGTTAATTCGTTTCACATCTCATAAAGCTCATAAATTACGATATCAACATTAAATCTAATAAATAGCAGATTAAATAATGCTTGTCACTGAATATGATCGTAATGCACTCGTAATTTAAGACTATGCGGTCGGTTTTCTTAAGGAAGGACTTTGCGCAAGTAGGCGTGTAGTTTGTTACACTCTCCATTTGGCCACTTTGAGACTTTTAGGCTGCTCGATAGATTATTACCATCCAATTAAGTCTAAATTGTGGGTTTGGTTTTGGTTTATGGCGGAAGTGGTACAGTTAATTGTCAGTTCGTACCTTAAACCCTAAAATAAACTTGTAGGAAATATTGAATTTCAATGAAGTGGTCTTACATCAGAAAGGAACATGTTACTCAAGTAAATAGAAACGTTTCCAAACATGAATTTATTACCGCATGATATTTATTACATGTCACTTTATCAATGTACAGTAGTTAATAATAACACTGTGTGAATATTTGACGCAAACGGAAGAAATTAATATGTTATCAATTTTGACTGGATTTTCATTGCAATTCACGGCTTGAATTCGCTGAGAAAGTGTAATTTATTCAATCGCAGAGATAAACTTTGCACAAGATGCGATTACATCCGCATTGTGGTAACGAGTCGGTTTATTTAAGTTAATGCAGCGACATCGCATCGCATCTGTTGGAGTGCACTTCTTGGTACTCTCGTTTTCATTCTGGTTCGAGAATTTATCGCAACTTCGGAGTGCGATATCAACGCCGCTGGAGTGGTGAAGGGAATTAATACGCTTGCATTTCCTCACCAATAAATAACATCAGGAATGTTGGCAAACTAATTGAAACTAATTTTCGGCGAATTTCTAAAATTTACTAGTGTAAATTATTATTTGATCCAAAATGGATGTAAAAATAAAGCGCAAAGTGAACGGTTAAAGAGAGCGTTTCGAATGGCGGCTGCGCATGTTTTGCGTGTTGAGAAGGAGAGTTCGGTTATTGACATTGGATAATAATCCACGGTCAGGGTTTGAAAGAAAGTGAAATGATTCAAAATCACTTACAAGCAAACAAAGTGCATTGTTGCTCTCTCCAGCAGCGCGCATATAAATAAGAGCCAGATAATTGATAAGTTCATAATCGATAATCGTACAAGTCGAGATGCTCGCAATTCAAGTCGGTTTTAGTGAGTTAAAACCTCTTAAACATTTATATTAATTTTGTTGTAATTTTTAGGTTGTTACTGCAGTGTGCTGTTGTCTATTGGCAACGGCACAGGCAAGACCATCAGGACATGGTTCTTCTGACCACAAACTGGTAGCAGTACCTGATCTGAGTGATTTTGGTGGTATTACCTATCCACATTTGGATGTGATTGATCTAGGAGAAACTCAAAAGTACGTCCCGGAGAAAGAAATTAAAGTGGTACGTACCATAACCATCACACAGCCTTATCCAGTGAAGGTACCCGTGAAGGTACCCTATCCAGTACCAGTGGTTAAAGAAGTACCTATTGAAGTTACTAAAGTTGTCAAAGTACCAGAACCAGTTCATGTGGACGTCGTAAAGTCTGTTCAAGTTCATTCAAGTGCCGTTAGTGAACATGTCCATGGAAATGGTGGGCTTCATGACCATTGGCAACCATCTGCCAGTGGTCATGCAGAAACGTCACACTTAAGTTCCGATGGACATGGCGAGGAATCAAATTCTGAATATCAACCGAATTATCATCAATCAGAAAACTATGATGGTAATGAGGGTCACCATTAAATATTTGTGGTAATTTTGTTTGTTATAAAATAAATTGTTGTTTACAAAAGTATATAGTTTATTCTTTTTTGGTAGAAACAGTTAACCTCCGTACAAAACATAAATAAATTTAAGTACAGTACAAAATCTAGTTACAGTGTGCATATGAATATGATTTAGTGATGATGACCAAAATCGTGTCCAAAGTGTTCATGGTGTCCTAAGTCCAAACCATGCCCGAATCCTCCAAAGTGCTCGTGGTGTTCATGATGATGATCATGTCCTTTTACATAAATTGGAACTGGTTTCTCAACGACGTATGGAACTTTAACTGGGTAGGGCACCGGTTTGTGAACTGGGTACGGCACTGGTTTAGGGTACGGCACGGCAACTGGATGAGGCACTGGCACTTTGACTGGGACCTTTACCGGGTAGGGCACTGGTTTCTCCACGTACACTGGAACTGGTTTTCGACATGCACCGGGTATGGTTGTGGTACATGAACAGGGTAAGGACGATCAACTGGAACTGGAACATGTACCTTCACCGGGTAGGGTACCTTCTTGACAACTGGATAAGGAACAGGGTGTGGTACTGGTACAGGTACTTCTTTAGTGACAGTAACGTGTTTAACTTCATGGTGACCATGAAGTTCCAAACCATGTCCATATCCATGACTATGGAGATCCAAGCCGTGTTCAAGTCCATGCCCATGTCCGTATGATTCAAAGCTGTGACCATCAAAGTGTCCACCGTAGCCGTACCCTAAACCCAACAATCCTCGCTTGTCTTTTTTTGTTTCGGTTTTGGTAACTTTGGCATCCTCCACTGCCTTTTTCTCGCTTTCGGCGAGAGTCAGGCCTACGAGGAACCCAATCACACAAATCTAACACAAAATATAAAAAAAATAAATTAAATGAACAAAATTTCTTATAAACTTACTTGAAACTTCATTGTTTTTTATGCTTGACGATGGATGAACAAGGATTGTTGTTGACTGTGAGGGCACCGTGGATATTTATAGCATTTTTTTTTCGAAGCGCTGGTAGTGGTACCATGGGATGCTCCAGTAAAGCCTAAATTGTCAGTTTTCTATATAAAATAATATACCCCACCTCCCACACATAATACATACTTATTACTATGTATACCAGGCGCATAAATAAAAACTAGCAATAAATATAAAATTACTCTCAATAGAAAATAAAATTTAATGGCTTGATTTAATTTTTTCCCAATGTAGTTTATGACTTCTTTGACGAAATGTAAAACCTACACACGCACTTGACGCAAGTATCATTACAGTCAAAGTTATCCAACTTGAACAACCAATAAGTGACAGCAACGCGACGACGCAATGCGCACACTATGCAAATACCTCCACAAGTACTCTTAATGATTGAGTAAACAAGTAAAGGATCATATTTCACACCGAAGAAGAATTCCACGATACAAATTATTTTCTCACGAAACACACAACCTGTTATAACTCAAAGATCCAGAGTCACATTTAGAATAAAATATAAAATCATCATATAACTTAAGTAACTACTAATAAAATCATATTTATGTTAATTACGGCTCTGTATTTAATGCACTTGCAATATGTGCATCTTTAGATGCAAGCGTTATATAATTTCATTAATCAACTATGCGCTCTGATTCTGATGCTCATTAATGATTTCATTTTCTTTAGGTTTTCATTATTGCATTTATTATTGCATATATATTACTGAATTAATTTTTGACTGACTTGTAAACTTTTTAATATTGATTACAAACAAAGAACTATTCAAGTTAAGCTTCTAGTTTAATGCACGGTAATTGAAGAGAAGTTCAAGTGAAAGCAATCGGTTTGCTAACTGCATTTTTTCGACTCAATAATTGCATGTACTTACTTAAAGCATAGTGCAGCACAAAGGTTCAAACAACTGGAATATCATTGTTATATTTCATTTGTTTTACTTGCGAACGTGATAGGTTTCACTTATATTGCAATATTTTTTATATTAATACAAAATATTAAGTAGAAATAGTGAAAATTATTTTTTCAAATAATGGCTTTATTACTTGCAAAATTTTACAAATGTTAACAGGAGTATTTAGTTCAAGTTGTAGAAATACAAGTTGGCCAAGTTGGAAATTCCAAGTCAAATAATTATAGTGATACGAATTGCTATTGCCATAGACCGCAATAATTACAACGATTGCAAAAGATATCAAACAACTTGACATATGATTCAGATACACATACGACAATAAACTTGCTCAAGTTAAGTCATGATTTTTTATTTATCAACAAAATACATATACATATTTACAAAGAAAAAACAGCACCAAAGTAAAAAATAAAAAAATAAAATTTATAACATTAAGCAAATTATACAGTTGAGTCAAATTTTAATGATGTCCAAACGAATGCACACTATGATCATCAATATGAATCTCTGGAGCATGATGGTGTCCAATCGGAACATGGTATGGTTTCTCCACATAAACCGGATACGGAATTTTGACTGGATAAGGTTTGGGAATGGTTACAGGGTAAGGTTTTCAACAGGCACCGGGTGAGGTACCGGAACGGGTACCTTGATGGGTACCTTCACTGTATACGGAACTGGTTTGTGTATAGTGACTGGATAGGGTTTCTCAACGGTAACGGTATAAGGTTTAGGAACGTGTACGGTGTAAGGTTTGGGTACCTCGTAATGAACGGGTACCTTCACTGTATAAGGTACTTTAGTGTAGACTGGGTATGGTATTGGATGTGGTACCGGATAGGGTACTTCTTTGGTAATGGTGATGGTTTTAATCGGTTGATGGTGTTCCCCTAGTCCTAGATGATGACTACTAAAATCGTGAATTCCAAGATCCAATCCTCGTTTTTCTTTGATTCCATCTTTGACTAGAATCGCCCATGAAGTCGACAGCAAAGACAAACCAAGGAATATCTATAAATAAATAAATACATATTATTTATTAATTAAATGTTTAAAATTAAATTATTTATATACTTGCATTAAAATGCATGTTGTTGTTTCAAAGGTAGTTGCATGGAATGATAGAAAATTAAAAAATAATTCTTTTTATACCCGTAGCGGGAATGCATGGATTTCTTAAAACAATAATTTTGTAATGGGTAACCATCCAGATGTAACGCCAATTTTATGTGTTAATTGTGTTCATCCTACACCGCCGCAAAACATACGAATATTACACAAATGTATATATTTAATTATATTCCTCTGCAGTTTCAGCAAACTGCAGAATGTATTTCTTTGTTTTTATTATCGCTATTATGCACAATGTAGGCGGTTGTGTCATTCTAATTAATTATTTGTCACAATAACAGCATTTAATTAAAATTTATTTCATTTATTTCCAGCTTACAGATGTCTATCATAGTAATTAATTAATTTTCTTTGAAATTCAAATTTGATTCGTTTGGATATGCTCCAATTATGAACAAAAAGAAAATTAAAACTAAATTTGCATTTTGTGTGCAATTTTCGTGCGGCATGCCTCAATGCGCATTATTTTCAAATCAACGTTTTTGATTTTCGCTATGTCTGTGCAAGCCACTCCAATTATCCTCTTCGGTGGCACCGAAGCGTGAGAGCACTGAGCTATAAGCTTGATTTATGTTCCCAAACGCACGTACACTTTGCTCGCTCATATCAACCAAATTTAAATCACCACTGCTAATTCTCAGAGGAATTATGTTATTAGACAATGCTTTGGCATCATTAACATCATTAGCGTCATTAGATAGTAGAGTAAATTTTGATGGCTTTCCTGGTTTAAAATATTGATTATGATTTTTCTTTACATTCGGATTTTTTGGTTCGATATTTGGTTGAGTTAATTTGTAGTTTGGTTTCACATCAAACGGTTGTGGTAACTGAGGAGTAAAAGTGATCAAACGAGGATTATTATAACCATTGTATGGAAATGCGTCAATATTATGCATCACGACTAAAAAGATCAACTGAAAATATAAAATGTGAGTTTAATGATGACATTTAGGCTCTTTAAAAAATACTTACAGGAAATATAGTGAAAAGATACATTGTTGAATATATTCTTGTTTATTAAACGTTAAAAGATTCAGAGATAAACTGAGATAATCTTGCAATCTGATTGATTTATATAGATCACTTTTAAGCTTAAAAAAACTACCGCAAAGAAAGTGCATTCTAATGATGGTCACTTTTTAAATTGCATTTTTATTCAGCATTCACTCCATCTAGTGAAAGTTTTGCACTAATTCTTTGCTACATTTTTTCTTCAACTATGAATTTTATAGATGGCGTTGTGGGAAACATAAACAAAAAATAAAAAAGAATAATATTTGATTCAATATTGTTATATTGCGCACTTTGTAGATGTTGTTCTTTATAAATATAATACAAAATTCATTCATGGTCATCTTATTAGACTAGCTTATATAACTAAGTGTTTATGAAGTGTTTAATGCAATGCGATGATAACTGCGTGGCGATGCTAAAACGATCTCTTTGTTGTGGCTGTATGATCACAGAGTGCCGCTTAATAGGCCTTCCATCCGTGTCCGCCATGTCCGGCGGAGATGGAACTGCCAAAGTCGTGGTCACCCAAAGAGATCGAGCCGTGATCAAAGGACACCTCGTGATGATCATGGGACTTGACGTATACTGGTACTGGTTTCTTCACATAGACAGTTTCATGGACTGGCACCGGGACGTGTTTGACGACTGGTACTGCGTATGGCTTAGGTACAGGTACAGCAACTGGGTGTGGCACGGGTACCTTTACTGGAACTGGGTATGGTGCAGCGACTTTCTTCTCGACGATGTAAGGTACTGGTTTGTCGACGTGCACTGGGTAAGGTTTAGGTACATGAACAGGGTATGGTCTGTCAACTGGGACATGAACTGGATGTGGTACCGGGACTGGTACGTCCTTGGTAACATGCACTGGGTATGGTTTTGGTATTGGGATACCAACTTTGTTGGTGATGGTGATGTGTCTATGCACGGAGGATCCCAGGTCGATTGTGCCTAGGCCATGACCACCGCCGAGTCCACCACCAAGACCACCTCCAAGTCCATGACCACCCAAGTCGTGGCTGCTCAGTTCAATGGAATGGCCACCAGATAATTCCAGACCATGTCCACCGCCGAAGTCATGACCACCGAGGATGGCTTCACCGAACACTCCACGTTTGTCCTTCTTTTGTCGTCCTTTACAGGTTTAGCATCTTTTGCAAAGACACCACTGACCACCAACACCACCAAAAAGATCTGTAACAAATATTATTTGAAGTTAAAGTCAAGTCTAGTCTAAGGTAGGACTTAAAGGTTATTAATAGGTGCTTACCGCAGACTTCATACTGCCGTACAGAATTTGTTTGATAGCAGTGTCTGAAGACTACTGATACAGCATCAGCCTGCGACACTGCTTTTATACCATCAAGTTGGTCCTCGCGACGGACACAACGACATAATCGCATACAGGCGTTTACTGGTAGTCTTGCACACCGCTTTGATGGCGAAGAGGGGCTGATGGTACTCGCATGCTGCGGACATGTAACTCTAACTCGTAGGTGCACCTTTCCAGCGGCGATTGGCGAGCTCACGATTGCCTGAACGTGAGATGCAAGATCGTTGGTTAGAGCGAAAGGTTAGGTGCGCGTGTGGCATATCGCGCACAAAGATGGCCAACGGTCTACTTTCTGTTGCTCATATTATGCAACAGAAAGGCGATGGCGATGGCAAGATGCCGATTATCAAGACGCAACCAACCGATGAAACACCGTCGAGCCAGCGACGCGATCGGAACGGAACCGGCTGATCAAGAATCACATACGACGGAAGAGCTTTTGTCACTTTGGTAACAAATATGGGAAGATAAGAAAAACTAGGATGTAATTATTACACATATTTATTGTAAAAATATCTTAATATTACAAGGACATCACTGCTTAAGAAATTGGAAAATTCATTTCCTGTATTTTTTATTTATTTTTAAAAGGAAAGAAAGTTTTTGTTTAAATAAAATTGTAAATATTTAAATAGATAAACAGTAAACACCTCCTTTAAGCTTGCGATATGCTAATTAATCAAATCGTTCTGTTTGAGTAATTAATTGATTAACTAATCACCTTTGACAAGGGGACTTATTAACTTAAAACACAATTAATCATTTAATTCATTTATATTATCTTTATTCATTTAGACATATCAGCACGAGATATAAACAACACAAAACAAAAAAGACTAGTAACATTGCAATCAAACAATTAAAACGACTTAAGCATGAATGGCGGAATTCCGCCTAGTCCAACATGCGCACGCATCCACGCACACACATAAATAATGCTTGCGTTTTAATTGTGCCCGAAGAAGTTATGCAGCGGCTTGAAATTGAAGTTGTTGAAAGCGGCATCGAAGGCTTCGCTGCTTCCGAGCTGCGGCGGCGGAACGACATGCAATCCACCTCCGGCTTCCTGTTTATTGTTGAGCTGTTGATGCGCAACCGGTTGCGAGTACCCCAACGAACCTGAACCCAACGCGTATTTTCCTTTACCTAAATTTACAATTCCAAGGGATCCGGAGCCTAGAATAAGTGGAGGTTTACCAGGTACGGGTACCACTTGTGGGATTGGTTTAGGTTCATAGACTTCTTCTGTAACCTGATAGGTTTCTACTGGTGTGGAGGTATACCGAACACCTTGATGTGACGAAAGAGATGGTAATGATGATTCAAGTGATGCAAACTGGGTGTAGTCCTGTGGTTTAGGAAGTACCAAATTGTGTTCAAAGGAGTTTTCCAAGTTAGCGTTGAGGGTCAAAGACAAAGGGACTTGTTTTTGTTGTAAAGTATCCAACAATTTGACTTTATCTCCAAAATGTTTGAAGGCCTGGTAGTGCCTCTCATCAAACTGGGCTTCTTCACTTAAATTATCAAATTCCACTGCGGATATTGTCTTGATCAATACAAAAACACCCAGAAATGATGTGCAAAATTTATAAAACTAAAAATATAACAAAATTATTTTTTTTATTTTTAAAATTTGAAAGAAAAAATTGAAAATTTACTCACCGCCATCTTTAAAATTGATGGTACCACTTATAACAGTCCTCAGAACTTAACCACAATTTCAATCCAAATATTGTGCAAACCTGATTTGTCGAGAATGTTTTATTATAAGGTGGAGCACTTGTTTATATGCTTATCCTACCCCTTCACTCGCCGCAACGCTCACATGCATCCGCGGCGCGTCCGCTCCTCACTTTGCTCGAAATTTATCGTCTTGGCATTTGCCGGCTGCGTCTCACCTCGGAAATCGGAATTGGCATTACCTTCGATCGTTAACTCCAAAGACAAGCGCTTTCCATTTCAAGCGCGAGCTTATCGCTGATTTTTCTTTCTTCTGCAGCCAACAAATGTTTAATTAATTGCAATCGGTTATGAGTTACCTTCGTAATTCTCCTTTTGGAGATAATTTACTATATACAACGTGCAAGCACAAAGGCTGCAATTACAAACTCACTTACTATTTAAGTGAATATTACTTGAACTCCTGACATTAGCAAAAACAAGATTAAAACAATGATTAAATTATTTATTAAGCCTGGGTAGTGTTGGACGTGTTCAGGAAATGTATTCGGGATTTTGGTTTTTGTTTTAAAAGGAGGAATATGAAAATGAATTGCGTTATTAGTGTGCTCATAATAATAAATACGAAGCGATGAAGAAGGAGCAACGGAGGAACTTTCTCTATCCGGCTACACCTTAGATTTTAATATAATTTAATTTAATTTAATCACGATTGCTTCAATTCCTGCTTTGAGCATCCTACTAGAATATATTTAAAATTATAATTCATTAGTTTACTTTAAAACATTAATTTCTTTTTATCTTGAGTTTTTGATAATGGTTTGTTTATTAAGTTACTTAATAGGAACATAAAACTTACATCATTGCAATAAAAGCTTTTAGATAAATAAACTCTGATGTAAACATTGTTATTACATTATTATTTTGTACGCACATCACTCCAACAGATGTTTACTTGTTTCGTTTATAATTTATTCATAGAAATAGTGCATTTTAAAATTACAATGAGAAAGGAAATGCATAAACAGGAAATAATTTTATAGTTAATGTGAATATTCGGGTTGACACTTTAATTTTGTTTCATTGTATAATCAAAAAAATCGAAAAACTTTCTCGAAAATTACCTAAATTAAGTGCAAACTAATCGAAAATAAGCGTTGATAATTCAAAAGAGAAAGATAAATGAATCAAAATAAACTTTTATTTCATTAAAAATATATCCGCCTAAGTAAAACAATAAATAAAATAAATATAATGTTATGATATATGTTATGATGTTTTATCACTAGTGGTCTTTCGAGTTGACCAATATTTGGTTGCTCTGAATATTCTCATCACTCAACTTGGTGGCATTAATTATGCTAACTTTCTCTGTTGTCGTGGAGGCCGCGGCTTCTGTAACAGTTTCCGTCGGCGTCTTCGTCGTTGACTGCGCGTTGTCCGCCATTATTGGTTTAACGGTAGTGCTGCTCACGAGTGGAATGTACGTTGTGGTTCGGTTGATCATGCTTACCATTGTTTTCGGTGTGGTGGCCAGGTTCACATTCATATTAGCACTGGCTCCATAATTATGGTTTATTGACATTGCGGGCATAATGGGAGGTTTTGGTGGAGTGAGTCCCATGGGATTCACTGACATTGTTGTGTTGTCAATTTTTTCACAGTTTCTACCAAAGGTACCTTCACGGCATAGACAACGGAAGTTTCCATCGTCTTTGGTCAGACTAATACACTTAGCACCATTTGTGCAGGTGTTTGGATTGTTTTCACAGAAGGTGAGCTCTTCATCACAGAGCATACCTCCAAAACCTGGACGACAATTGCATTCCCATGGGCGATTGCAGCTTCCGTTTACACATCCCGGATATGGATAGCATTTGTCGCAGTTTTTGCCCCACCAGCCTACCTTACAGCGGCACTCGCCTGGTTTTCGGCAGTAACCTCGTTCGCGGTGGCACGTCTTCGCGCAGATTGCTATAGGCAATAAAACGTGATCGCCAATCAAATGTTTTGTTTGTTTTTGATTTAGAAAGTTAATTGTTACTCACGATATTGACACAGAATGCCTGTCCAGCCGGGTTGGCACTTGCATTCGAGAGGTTTCTCGCAGTACCCATGTTGGCAACCTGGTAATACCTGGCATTCTTTGCACGTTTTACCAGCCCAACCAATTCTGCACTTGCATTCACCAGGAGCGTCACAGTATCCTCTTGTTAGGTGACAGTCCAGTTTACAAATTGCTGGAAATATAAATTGGTTTAGTAAAATTTAAAATTTGGGTTTTAAAATGGGTACTGACGTTCTGAACAGAAGATCCCATCCCATCCTTCATGACATAAACATTCAAAACTTGAATTGCAGTGGCCATGTTGACACCCAGGTAGAGGAATACATTTATTGCATCTTTCTCCATAGTATCCTAGCTTACAGATACATTCCCCTGGACGATTGCAGTACCCTTGCATAGGGTCACAACCAGGACGACATTTTGGCACATCGCAAACATCTCCAGTCCAACCAGGCAAACATTTCACTTCACCATCATCATCACAAACGTAATGCGAATGCTCGTTCTGCGAAGCTGGGATTTCACAAGCCTACCATCAAAAACGGATATGAATAGAAAGCTAGCGGTCGTCAGCAGATGACATTTCTCGGGAGTTTCCCAACGCTGAAAATTACGCAAAATAAACAAACAAACCTGTTTCTTCCACTTTGGCACATATCTGGTGGCGGCTAGTGCGACATGGAGCACCTCGAACACCGCAATCGTAAACACCAAGGCTCCTACATGCCGCTTGATAACGCAATCCATGATCGTGCCAGCGTGTGTGCAGACGACACCTCGCTGCGAGGAGAAGATGACGCGACCGTGAACTTGAACGTACTAAAGTTGACGGTGAGGCGCTGACCTTCTTGAAGCCCACTTTCGAAGGTGGAGGAAGTGTGTCACTCTGCGCCGATGTATAAATAGCGACCGGCGTGCGGCAGAGTGCATTGATCTCTTGTACCCAGTATTTGGCGTGGTAACCGGCCGGGGATTGCAGTACCATCACAATTAACAGTTTCTTCAACCGAAAGATGCGACGAACTTACAAAAAACATATTCACAAGAATAGACAAAATCAGGTGTTAATGTTTTACAAGTTTTAGTTTATTAGGTCGTAATAATTATGACAAGAGTCACAATATTTGGTATACCATCAACTTCCTAGAACTAATTAATAGGTGCTAAATCACATTTGTACCACAACATCTAAACCAGTGGAGAATCCAAGCTTCTAAGTGTACTTTTCTAAAAGAATTAAAACTTTATCCACGTATAATGATTTTGCTTTGGCACCAAACATAAAATCTATATGGTTAAAGTTCTCTTCTGTAATTTCAAACAATCCTCGTCGAAATTCCGGAGAGAGATTTCTATATAATTTAATTGCATCCTAAAAAAATGTTAATTAACAAACAAAACAAAAATTTACAGCAAAATTACTTCTTTTGGTGTCAACCAATCATTTCTGGCCATGATGACGATAGTAGGAACACGAATTTTGGATAGGTCATAAATAGGTGGTGTGGAGGTACCATATCTTCTCATATTTTCAGCGAATCCGTAATCAAATTTCCTAAATCGATTTCGTGCCATATCTCCGCATTGTTTTAGTACTTTGAAGGCGGTACCAGCAGGATGTTGTTGGAAATACATCGGGTACTTCTCCTAAAATGTCAAAAATACAATTTTTGTGTTTTTAAATTTTTGTTTTATATTTACCGGATAAACACCTGTTTTCGGTCCGTAAATTAAAAACAACATATTCATGCACTGCCCCATCATCTCAGGTGAATCCATACAGAGTGTTCTCAATAACGCTTTGGTAGTATCCTCCTTAGAAATGATATTTGAAAGACCTTCAATTTGATTAACGGTATTCTATAAAAACAAATTCAAATTAAATCATCACTTTTTTATCTCCAGAATCAACTAATTTTTTGTTTGGCGTTGCAACTAACACGACATTCAACAATGAAACTGGTTATGCCTGTAAATGCCAGGCAAATATTGAGCTGACCTACCCATATTTGTTAATTTTAACATCATACATTTATTTCTAAATAAATCCAACTTACATAGATGAGATCTGTAAACGGCACTGCAAATCGTATAACCGCGCGAATGTTACCGAGTGTCGCCGCCGGTGCGGTGAGAATTTGCATTTTCATCAATTTTGTCGCTTCCTCGACCTTGTCTGATGTGTACATCAAAGCTAGCGTTGTGCCCAAAGAATGGCCAATGTACACAATTTTTCCCTGGCCTTGTGTTTCCCTCGCGACGAGTTTTAACATCGCTGGGATGTCAAATAATGAAATTTCATCTAAACTAAATTTAAAATTTATATTTTTAAAAATATTTTAAATAAATATTTACCAATGATTCCAAAACTCTTTATCATTTATAGAATATCTGACGTGGTCGGGAGAATAATGGTTACCTCTATAGTTGCCCAACCAAACGTCATATCCATTATCGAATAATTGAAAAGCTATAATTAACAGTAAAGCATTCAATAGTTGAATCATTTATGCAATCGATAGATGAATGAGAATATTAATAAGATTCACATACCTAGAGAATCATCACCCAATGAAATCCAATTAGCACTTGTTGTGATTAATCCATGTTGTAAAAATATCGGATTTTTCCTTTTGTTATTAGGCATTCGAAAAACTGTCAAAATATGACCATCTTCAGTGGTTACATGGTGAATTTCTAAAGGTCTTCCTGTTTGTCTTATTATTTCTGGCTTTTAGAGACAAATTAACTCAAATTTCAAATTTTTAAACCAAAATTTAACTTACCACAGTTGAATTGACATAAAAATCAAATCTACAATTAGGATTCCCTTCCATGGATTTATAATCCTCGATAGTTTTACACACATTATTGGTCTGAGCCCAAATACAGGGTAAAAATGCACTGATACAGATAACAATCACAGGATGCATCTCACCGCGGGAGAATCGATGTTTCGTCTGCGGGAGTTAACCTTACGTGGTGCCGCTTTTACGTGCGCCAGGACCTTGGACATCCTTCAAGGCAAACCGTCCGAATACATGTCAAACATGCCCAAACGCAACTAATCAAAACAATCAACGCGCTTAACAATTCCATTATAGAAATAATTTCATTGATAAAAAAATACATTAAATTTATTTAAATTCACCTGCATAATTATCAATAACAAACAGATCGTTAATTTTAATTAAATCTAGACTAATATACATATCATTTTGTTTCCTTATTGTTTAAAAATGCGTTAAAATGCTACCGTTATTTTTAACAAGGTGTTTATTACCTTACCAAGTGTGGTATTTGGTGACTACTGGTTCGTGAACGACTACCGGTACCTTATTAATGACAGGTACCGCGTAGGGAGCTAACACCGGAACGGGTACCTTCTGAACAACAGGAACACCCACAGGTTGTGCAACTGGGTATGGAACGTGTTTCTCTACCACTACAGGTACAGGTTTATCTACTGGTACAGGGTATGGTGCTGGGACATGAACAGGGTATGGTCTGTCAACTGGTACGGCTACTTTCACAGCATATGGTACCGGAACAGGGTTATCAACATGAACGGGGTACGGCGCAGCTACAGGAACACCAATTTTCTTTGTTATTGTTGTATGGGTATGAGTAGAATGTCCAAGATCAAGGTATCCTCCATGGTACCCATATCCCAAGTTCAACAAACCACGTTTATCTTTATTGCTGGTAGGTTTTGCACTTACAACAGCAAGTACAACCAAAAATATTAAAATCTACAACAAGGCAAAGATTTATATTAAACAATGTTTACTTTAAATGACCTGGTAGGTACTTACTGTCTTCATTGCTGACAACTTTTTGCAGACTTACAAGATGATTGTTTCAGGGCTAAAGGTAAGAGTGTGCGCAACATGTCGACTTTATATTCTTCGCCCCACTTGTCCTCACCATGAATAGCTACATTTTTCTTCCGAAGAAAAGACAAGGTGCATGTATGTTAATATAATTGTAACACTTTCCCATTCATCTTGGTCACAGACCTTGCCTGCAGTGGTGAACAGATTGCATTCGGACGACCAAGGTGGATGATGCAATATTATCAAGTTGCATCAACATCAACATTCAATACTTGTACGTAACAATCAATAAGTTACTCCTAATTGAAGGGATGCGCAACAAGAACTTTATTCGTTTAATTTAATCATTATTTAAATTAAAACTTAAAATTTGCAAACATTTTAATTCGTGTTTACACTTTTGTACAATTATGATGTAACTTATTTGTTTGTTTCCTTAAATAAAATTATTCATTTTAAGTTTTAAGTGAAAATACTCGTCCGAGTGCAAATCTCGTTAATTTTAATTGTTTATTTACGTAAATCATTCGTCGCGCACACATTTTCGATACGAACCGCGAGCCTTGAATGAAAATAACGAGCGAGTTGTGTTTGTCATGTCCGAAAATCATTTGCATTGTGTGTAGAAAAGTGGCTAATGGCCGGTAACACATTTAGTAAATATCCGTGTTTGATCAAGTCTCTAACAAACAATTAAAGGAAATGTTTCGCTTTTTTATTATCAAGAAAACCAGTTGCAAACATTTTTTCTAATTAAATTTATTACAATCTATAATTATCTAATTAAAATGAGCATTTTTATTAGTTCAATAACGTAGAGAGATAATTTATGTTATTGCAAAGCGTTGTGTGTGCACGTGGCTGGTAAAATTGTCGCATGTTGATTTATCTAATGCTAAGACACGTGATTACCGCGGAATCTTGGCGGAGTTTTTAATTTTCTAATAAATTTCACCCAACTTGCCATTTTTGGTACAATGCGTCATTTTCTTTCATTAGTTTTGCTACCAAACTGGTACATAAACACCGAACATCCACCAAGTGTTGTGATAAATTGTAAATTATTATGGTGTAAGTACTTGTATGTGTAACATCCATTGGGAAATTTATTATTTTCTTGCATTTTCTAGAATTCAACTTGTGCGCTAGAGTTTCTCATTCTTTCGCATTACGCAAGCGCGACATTTCTGTATGCAATCAGATGCACACAGCCGCCGCTTTCGTAACCGTAAACTTTGGCTACTGAGAAGATCGATTAAATTGAATCATTTATTTTTTGCCGCCCGACACAAGCGCACGTTCTTAATGACGTGGTGTGTGCGACTGCAAATGTCCACAATTAACTCTAGCCGAGTGCATAAATAAGCAGGCAGAAGCAGGCGCGCATAAATAACTAATATCAGCGAATGCGTGGGAGTGACATGACAAAATGGCCGCAAATGTACTACGTAGGTTTATGTTTGGAATATTAGAATATTCCATGTCGCAGATAAATAAATAACTAATAAGTAAAATGAGCAAGCGCGCATTAATATCAAGTTCACACGCGTGTATTATTCATGCATTCGTATTGCCGCGCCCGTTGAGGACATTATCAACGAGGTAACAAAGTAATCATCGAGTTTGCACGCCTCGTAAATGCGCGTTTGAATGTTTGGACACAGTTCGAGCAAATTAATAATCAATGCAAATGAATATCAAATGTCTTAAGTAGTGTATCTTGCAATTTTCGTATAACCTTATTCTAGTTAAATTTCCATTCCAAATGATTTCCCAATATTACTTGTTTTTATCAATAAAAATAATCATAATAATTACTACATATGCACTGTATACATTCATAACATAACATTCAATTAATAAAAAATTGTCATGGTCTGATAATTTAATATCATTTCAATGTGCAAGTGCACTTGCACTTTTCCCATCAATAAAAATATCATTAAACACATATTATTACAAGAAATGATGCGATAATTAAAACGTAATAGGTGACACAGTGAGTTAATTTTGCATTCCGTTTCAGAATTTCACCGGCGTTCATTGAGCATCTGTTGTTTTACAACTTTCAAAAAAATTACATGAAATAAATACCATTACGCCGGGATGCCAATGGCGATTAGCACTTTTAAGTATAAGTATCAAACGTGTTTAAAAATTTTTAATTTCATAAGAACTATTAATATTAATATCAAAAACATAACAAATCTTATTTTGGTAGATGCGTATTATATAATTGAAAATAGTTAAACGGATTTTATTGATAAACTTAAATTAACTGTTAGATAATAGGACATAATAACAACCCAACAAATTAAAATTGCATCAGTTAACAAGCAGTTTTGAAATCTTTGAAACAAATTTACGTCTTCATTTTTTGAATTTGTAATTGAGAATAAATTAATTGCTGGTTATTCGTTGATAACCTTCCGGTTGTGTATCAACCACAGTGAAAGCCTCTGGTTGTCTAGTCGCCTAGTTCCAACGATGCTGAAACAAAACCTGCTCGTGTTTGCTGGATTGTGTGCACGCATTGACATCTCCAAGTAATTTCATCTCGTAACGTGTTACGACGCTCGCGTAAACATACTCACACACGCACAGATGTGTATGCAACTCGTAACACTTGTAACCGAAGACATTTACTTTTCGGTGTGCGCTGGCCACTGGTGGAAATGTCTGCAGGTAGGTAGAGGAATCGACTTCAAGATCACTATAAAAGTTGATTAGTAACTGGCACGACTGCATTATCCTTTCGATCGATACAGCGATCAACATGAGAGCCATTCAGGTATTACCCTTTCATACATCGTAGACAATTTATAATTAATAAAAAATTTATATTTGTTATAGATTTGCACGTTGGTGTTAGCTGTAGTAGGCTCAATTACTACCAAAGATGTAAAACCATCCAAACGAGGTCTTTTGGACTTGGGGTATGGTTACAGTGGTTCAGTCCTTAATGGAGGTATCCTTGGACATCATGGTGGTCTATCTTTGAGCAGCCATGGAGGTCACGGCATCTACGGAGGACATTCTGGTTATTCAGGATTATCATCATCAGGACTTCTTTCTGCATTGGGTTCCGGGTTTGGAGCTGGTGCTATTGGTGGTGATACCACCAGTGTAACCACCGTCAATGAAGCAGTTGCTGTTGAGGTACCTCAACCTTATACAGTAACAGTCAATCGTCCAGTGCCTGTTCCAGTGCCTGTTCATGTACCTGTGGATGTACCACGTGCCGTACCAGTTGAGGTACCACAACCCTACGCTGTAGAAGTACCAAGACCATACCCGGTGACCGTTACCCGTCATGTGCCTGTTCCACAACCCGTCGCTGTTCCAGTACATGTTGCTCAACCTTATCCTGTGTCTGTACCACATCCAGTTCCGGTTACCATCAACAAACATGTTCCAGTAAAGATACAAACACCTGTGGTTGTAGAAGAACCTGTTATAGTTGGACATGGACATGGACATGGATACAGCGGGTATGGTTTGGGACATTATGACAGCTTATCACTCAGCCATGGTCATGGACATGGACATTTCGGTTACCATTAAGTAAAACTTCAAAAATTAACATTAACACCAAAAACCAAGAAAAATATTCTCAATATCTTAACTAAACTTTATAATAAGAACTGAATTTTTGACAAAATGTATTATTATGATTTAAGAAACAATAAAAACTTGTTTTGTATTTACCCTGTTTTCTATTCAATATTCTTATCTATTCGATGGTCTAAAAATCTATTAACATGGTAAACATTTTCATAAATATCGATAAAATTCAACGGTGCAACTAAAAATTTAAATTAAAACGTGCCTCAAAACGGTTTCAAAAGTAATCTAAAGCTTCTAGATCTACTTTGTTCTGCTTCTTCGTACTGTAATTCGTAAATAGCATATCATAGCCTGATTAAAAATTTAAACTCCTCAGGTGTTTGTAAAGACTGTACACGGTCAGGAATTTGTACGATGCGACGGCTGCAAACAAGCATACAGAAATCAATATCACATAATCGTAGCTAATCATAAAATGGCGCGTACCTGTGCAAATGGTAGTGACCATGAGATGTGCGGTAATGAAAATCGCATTGTTGTCACTGCTATGGTGAATTATAGCAATCAGTGTTCCAAGCACATAAAACGCTAAACATACTGGGCCGAATCCTATCCAAGGAAGCAGTAAAATTGGTCGATTCTACAACAAACATTCAAAAAATTAGAAAGTTTACAATGTGACTCATCGCGAATCAAATTGAGGTTTTGCACAGTTTGATAGTTGTAAATTGGCACTACTTTCGCTGCTTCTCCATTTACAGCATCCAAACAAATATTATTTCAACCAAAACATACAATATTCACAAAATTATTTCAAATTGTTTAAATATTCTAGTAATAACACGATTTGTACGCTTGTTTTAGTTATATTGATAACGTTATCAGTTAAAACTAAAAACAACCAGTTAATAAATTAGTTTAAACAAAAAATGTATGTCGCTGCATATTTGGTTGCTGTTTTATTTCCTTGTACTGATGTAACCGTACTCGTAGACTTAGTAAAACCATACTGTATGCAACCCACATATGATCACCTCTCGTAAATCACGTAATTCGTGTTTTATACTCACAGTTTCAGCGGCGAAGATGAGAAAGATCGAGAAGATGCATTGTAGAGCTGATCCGACCGCAATAGTGATGAGGATAATCTTTAAAACTGCAAACAAAATAACTCTTGACATTTAAATGTTTCATCAGGTTTGGAAATTCTGCATATGATTTACAATGGCATATTTCCACATTCCCAGGGTCTTGAGGTTGACTTTCATTTACGATTACAAGCGGTAAATATGCGTTAATTTATATTGTGCATGTAAACAATGAGAAAAGTACGTGCAAGCGCTCATTTCGGCTTATCAGCAGAATAATTTCTACACACTCACAAACAGAAAACAATGGATACATACGCGTAAAAAAAATTTAAAATGTGATTAGAAAAATATTCAACACTAAATATTAAATATTAAGCAAAAGTTTTATGAAGTTATTTTTAAATTACCTTGAGTATCTGGTTGAATTGACGGATCTGACATATCCAACAGTTCATGTGGATGCTCAGCATACGCAGCGCTGAGAATCAAAATGATGAAGGACAACACACTCGAGGTTACACCAATGATGATGGTGCCATGTCTTAGACTCAAACCGCAGCAAAATGACTTCAATTGTAACATTTTTACAAATTTCCCGCACCTACAATTAATTTAATTATGATTATTCAATTAATATTAATTATTATCACCTGATGTGAATTGGTAACTGCGCAAAACTTACTTACGATTTTATTTACGTTGTTAACAAGCAACAAACAAACACGACTATGAGACGATGGAAGTTTTTGCAGGTCTGGCGAAACACACAGGTAGGGAAAAATCTTCGAAATCGCTAAAGCGCGACGCGCAAATGTGACGCTTCGTGCAACACACAACAACAATTTCGCGTGCGGCAACGGCAGCGAGCGGCTAATTGCGCGCTGATGTCAGCACACCTGGAAAGCAATCAAAGCGAAACTCCACGCGGTGTGTCCGTTTCGTTTGGAATATTCGGCGATGTGTTTTATGCGACGTATGTCTCTGCTTAGACCATACCTCTACCAAACTCTAGCGGTACAGTTCGTTTTTTGTCCAAATCTCGTTGCTTGAATCAACGTTTTGTATTTTACAAAACCACAAACACAATAAACTCGACCAGAACACTGGAAATATGAGTGGGAGGAGGCGGACGCAAGCGTTCATTAAATAGAAACTCATTTTTTCCTTTTCATACGTTGTTATGCTAGGTATACCATCAAACATTGCTGTTTGTATTGGTACAATAAGACATACGTAACGCGCAGTATAAATGTTGATTGTTTCTAATAAAATATTTACGACTCACTGTTTTACATAATAATATACAGTGTGCCGGAGGAGGGTACCTTCAAATTAAAGGTCATCTAACTCACTTCCAGCTATTTTATTAAGATATCAATATTAATCATGACCTTAAAATCTATATCCGAATATTTTGCTTCCTATTTCTTTTACAAGCAGTTTTCCATGGCTGACCGCCATTGATGAACTGGTTCAAGGTATCCAGGTTTATTTTTATTTTGGTGGTACCACCCAATCGCACCAATCGCACCTATAAAACTCCATCATCAATTTGCTTTTCTTCAGTTCAACAAAATCGACTGCAGGCAAAGTTTTAAAGATGAAGTTTCTCCAAATTGTAAGTGCGAACGTGCACAGCTTCACCGAGCAGCTGGCAATGATCAAGTGTTTTCTTCTAGATTGTTTTCGTGGTTACGATCGTTACTTTGAGCATGACTACGCCGCTACCTAGAGAAAAACGTGGTCTGCATCTACATCTGGGCCACCATCACACGCCAGTAGTACACCATCATCATCATTCCTTTGTGGAACCTGTACATCACGTGCATCACTCATATTCAGCCTACCACGTGCCAATACACCCAGTTGAAGTTCATCATCATCATCATCACAATCTTTTCTGAATTTTTAAATTGTTATAATGACAGACTGAACATAAACGTTGTGATATATTTAATTGTATTTACAAGCAGGATTAAACAGTTTCATGAATAAATAATTGTTACTGGTAAAACAAAATGGCGGCTGTATTTATTCTAGTACCTTGAATTGTACATTAGTGTTAGTAGTTCCTGTAATTCCTTTGCAAACTACACAAGTTATAAAAGTTCTATTTGAGTTTCTCATCAATCGATATGATTATATAGCGTTGTTGTTAATGATAAGCAAAGAAACACGTCGCGTTGTAAAGTTCCCAGGATGCATTCAGTTATAACGTCAGAGAAATCAAATCAGAAAAAATAAAGAACTTTGATATGTTTATTGTTAGAAGGCAGCTCGGTGAATAATTACTAGAGATTTGCAGCTTATATTGTAATTATAAATAATCCTAGTGTTTATTTTTTAATCATCAATCATTATTTTGAAAGTTGTGATTGCACAATCTAAGATTTTGAAAAACAATTTGAGACTTTATTTGTTTTTCTATATTAATTCGTTTATTTCGCATTAAGATGGCATTGTTATTCGATATTTCTTTTTGTACATTGGGTTGCATATTGATTTACTGTCTGCAGAATAGCTGACAAAGAAGAAAATTGCAAAACAATTATTTTTCGCAATTTACAAGCACACAAAGAAAATGAACATAGTAAAACATTTAAAGGACTATAAATACTTGTAAATTACAAAGATATAATATTATATAGTCACTAATAAAAGACTACATCCCAGTAAATCAAGAAACCGATGGAAATCCTTTAATTTGCGGTCAAAACGAATTGATTTTCAAATACAAAGCGTTCAGTATATTAAAATTTTGCATACATTTACGATAAGTTAAAATTTATAGTCTACCTAAACAAAAATATGCAAATAACCACAATTTGCGCAACTTGTAAAATTCCATTCTATATTAAAATAAATTTTTACATTGAACCACTCTTAAATTACATAATAAATAATAGTATTCCATTAATGATGTGCGCAATTTTTAAAAACTTAGTTTCTGCCTTCGTCATTATCATCAAAACAAAGCGAAACACAGTAATTCACATCTTTAATTGCGCTCCCCATTCGTTAGTTTCCGCTTGATCTGTAATTTGCAAACGCAAGGTCAAGCATGCAACTTTTAACCCACCAGTACTCTTTGAAAACCCCAATCAAAAACTAATTTTCTAAAAAAACTTTCAGACAACAAAACAACTTCCACACGATCAGTCGTATTCGAACATCTTCGAACTAAAGTTGACAAGTTGTCCTTGTTATAATGCTTAGTTGATAATTACTTTAAATTAACAATTGATAGAGAGTAATTATTCAGTCGGCGCGTGGTCAGCTCGCAATAATTACAATCGCGTATTAATTATTCGTGGTGAGAAAGAGTGCATCTTGGATGTTTCAAAGGGTAGTTCAGTGTTAAATATGAAATTTCTGGTAACTTCTTTGATTTAGGTCACGATTAGTGCTCAAAACTTATCAAGAAGAAGATGTTTCATTAGACAATCAATGATAATTAATTGAGTGCTCATTAGACACGCATATAAAAGAAGCCTTTGAGGTTGGTTCAAAGTGAAGGTGGTGGTGGCGAGCGAAGGTGAGCACACGTGTGCATCCCATCTATCCCTTCATTCGATTTTCTCGGCCGGCGGACGGCGGTCATTGTTGTTGGTCAGGTATAACTGAATGCAATTATTCTCATGGTTCAGTGTCGCGGCGCGCGATAAGAGTGCATGAAGTGGAGGAATTGGATCCTCCGCCGACTTATCGACTTTACATTTCCGCAGATACGCGTCCTACAAGCAATCAAAAAGTATCTCAATAGATTAAACACTTTTTTGGATTTGTATGAAAAAGTTGAAAAACTACGCAATATGAAACTTCAAAGGCCGCATAAAATTGCCATCGGGTCAATCGTTGGGTTTTTATTCATAGTCATTTTTGGATGGGTTGTGTTTCCAAGACTTATTAAAAGCCAAATTAAAAATGTAAGTTTAACAATAAAATAAAATAAAAAAAATTAATTCATGTTTTATAAGATGTTGGCTCTCAAACAAGGCAACGAAATTCGTGATATGTATGTCAAAGTACCATTCCCTTTGACGTTTAAAGTCTACATGTTCAACGTGACAAACCCTTTGGAAATATCAGAGAAGGGAGCGATGCCAATTGTCCAAGAAATTGGTCCTTATATCTACGAGTAAATATTTTCCACAAACAATAAAAAATATTTAAAAAAAATTAAATTTATTCTTAGTGAATGGAAGGAAAAAGTTGATACAGTTGATGATGAGAGTGACGATACCATGGAATACCGCATCAAGAACACCTTCATTTTCAATCGAGCGCAGTCCGGCTCGTTAACGGGCGACGAAGTCATAACAATGCTTCATCCGCTGATTGCCGTAATTAATTAATTATGAATTAACTAGACCATGTGTCTCATCAAATTAACGTAATGTCTATTGTGTCTAGGGTATTGCCATGGCCGTCGAGAGAGAAAAACCGGGTGCTTTAGCACTCGTCAACAAAGCATTGACGAGCATATATCGAAATCCAACGCATCCATTTTTAACGACAACTGTGGATGCACTTTTATTTTCTGGGGTTGATATCGCTTGTAATGTGACTGATTTTGCTGGGAAAGCAGTGTGTACTCAACTTAGGAATGAAGCTAAAGATTTGATTGAAATAGAACCAGGCATTTTTAGATTTTCCCTATTTGGACCTGTAAGATATTTATTTTTTTATAAAACGGGTTAATTAATGTTTTTATATTTAGAAAAATGGTACAATTGGACAAAAAGTTAAGGTTAAACGTGGAGTGCAGAATATTATGGACTTGGGACAGGTGGTAGAGTTTGAAGGTAAACCTAAGTTGGATATGTGGGGTTCCGAGGAGTGTAATACCTACGGAGGGACAGATTCTACGATTTTTCCGCCATTTTTAAAAGAGGAGGATGGTCTTGTTTCTTTTGCACCTGATATCTGCAGGTAAACTTTAAATTTTGATTAAATAAATATAACTAATTTATATTCTTATGCTTTTATTAGGAGATTACCTGCGTATTATGTAGAAAACACAAAATACGATGGTATTTCAGTTCGGAGATACAGTGCTGATTTCGGGGACCAAAGCAAAGTCAAAGCTGAAAAGTGCTATTGTCCCAGTGAAGACTTTTGTTACAAGAAAGGAATCCACGATATGTACAAATGCGTTGGAGCACCTTTCGTTGCATCTCTACCTCATTTCTACCTCAGTGATGAAAGTTACCAGAAAGGTGTAAGAGGTCTCAACCCAACCAAAGATAAACATGAGATTATCATCCTATTTGAAAGCGTAAGGCCTAACCTAAATTATCATTACCAAAAAATATATAATTACTATTTTATGTTTAGTTAACTGGTTCCCCTGTATTCGCCAAGAAACGTATGCAGTTCTCATTACCAATCCACGCCATACCCAAGGTCACCACAATGGCAAACATGCCCGATGTAATGATGCCCTTATTCTGGGTAGAAGAAGGTGTGGAGCTAAACCGGACATGGACGGGACAACTACGCACCCTATTCACAACCCTTAAAGTGGTAAAAGTCACCAAATGGTTAGTCTTACTAGGAACCCTTGGTGGTATGGGCGGAGCTGGTTATATGATGTACCAACTCCAACAACAATCTGTGACCATCACCCCAGTACACACAGTCAATCCCAATGACCTCAAAAATGGCAAAAACAACACCATCAGCATGGTAGCTCAAAACGGCAACAACATACGAAATGGTACGAGTGTGGGGCATGTAAATCGCGCAATGTCCACAAACGAAATTGATAAATACTGATTATTATTGATCTACAAGCACGGGAATACCTTCAAAACAATGTTGATATCTTGTACGTAGTTTTATGTTTTATGTGATAAGTGATATCTTACTACAAGTCATATAACTATCTAGTTGTTGCTGTTACATTCGTATATATTTTAACTACTAGTAAGATACAGATCAATATTAGATTCTAAACAGCTAATTAAATAAAAATACCTAACTAGTCTTAAAATATTATTGGGACACCTAAATGTACAACTCTCGTAGTGACACATCAACACATCATACACACACACAACAGCAAAAAATTTACATCTTTAGGCAAGTATTGTTCATCTCACTCCAATTTGTTATTCTTCTTGGTAGTATACACACAGTTCAGGTTACCTACTAGAAGTCTATACGTTAATTTCAAGGTCCACTTTGTACACAGGTAGAGAGCGTACGCGCATAAAACCAAAATGGCGATTACGTCCAAGAGGTAATACTGAACGTAATTGAGGTCTTTAGATGCCGATTGTAAATGAAAGGCACCTTTATGACGAAGGACATATTCAGTCCAGTAAACACCACGTTCCAAAGCAGTTTCCTTCTGGTCTTTGAGTAAATATTGCCTTCGTAGGACTTCTCGTTTGTATTTTGGGTCATGCATCACTTTTTTGATTGCCCAAAGTAATGATTCTGGTGTTAACGTAGCCAGTTCTATTTTTAACGCATATCCATCAATTTCTGCTTTCGCTGCGTTTGTGTCATGATCACAGAAGACCGGCATTGTCACAACTGGGACTCCATGGTAAACAGTTTCGAACATACTCAGTAAACCGCCATGAGTTACAAATGCTTTGATTTTTGGATGTCCTAAAATGAAAGAAACGTTGAATCAACATAGTTTACTCGCCACACAACTTATACTAAAGTTAGGAGAATTAACACACAGATGTCGCTAGAAGGACTAAAATTGTTTATTTTACTTGTTTTGTTTACCTAAAATATCCTGTTGAGGTAGCCATTGTCCCAACATAACGTTATCAGGCAAATCAGGCATTTGATCATCAGCTTCCCATTTCCAAAGAACCCGTTGCGGTAACTGGCGGAAGACATACAAAAACATTCTCCGGAGATATTCCGGCATGTTGGCTGCCCGTACGGAAGAACCCATACTCACATAAATAAAACCAGCATCGCCACTACCATTTATAAAGTGTTCCAAATCCTATCATAAAAATATATTATATAATCTTTATTGCCTATAAAATATGCGAGACAAGTGTTTCAATCAATTGTTCTCAAGGTTTCTCATTTTCTTTCGCTTCGAACTCAACACTCGTGAAGTTGGAAGGTTCGAATCTCTTTAATCTGCCATCGTGTAAAAAGCCTCTGAGCAGTGAAAGTAAGCGATTTAGGTATGCGAGCGCTCAATGCAAATACTAAAACTGCCTAACCAACGCAGACTAAACGATTACGTCTTTATAATTAATCAGAAAATTTCTAGGCTCGCGCAGGTGGCTTTTCAATGCATTTCGATAGTATTGTTTCACTTTCCCTACCGATACTACTTCCATTAAATCATTAAATTCATCACCTCATCAATTTCCTTATCGAAAATGTTAACAATTTATATTGCGTAATGCACGCGATGTCACACAATGTTGCTATATTGTTATTCAGAAATGTATTGTTTAAACATCGGAAATCAACTTTATAAATATTTATAGCCACTCAGCATAGATTTTACGCACTAGAAATTTTTGCGCACATAAATTGAAAAATGCTGTGCTTGGAAAATGTGCGCAGAAAGTTGTTGCACAATGCGATATAATTTATTGCTACTCTGTGTGTCATTTACGTCGTGATTATGTGCATGCTGGAAAATTAATTCTAAATCACATAAAATATTATTATATAACTTGATCTCTTAGTAATTTGAACCATAAAAGTGTTAAACAACGATAAATTCAATTAATTATTACTTGAATGTACAAAATTCTAATATGTAAATGGAGATTAATCGTCATTTAACTAGCTGTTAATTATTTTAACACATAATAAGCTACGAAAAAGAAAACTGACTTAAGTTGTGTGTTTTTCAGACTTGTTGACTTATTAAATTTACACAACTTGATCTAAAGTGACTCAATTGGAAATCTAGGTATTTATTTCTTGCGCGTTGAGAAATTAGCACTGTTTAAAGTGTATCATGATAATTATAGTTATTAAAATCGTAACTTAAGTAAAATGTGTTTTGTGCTGTTGAATCTGGAGCGCACTGACAATGTTTGCAAACAAGTTGTTACGACACGCGATCTAATCAGATTAGCGCTTGCAGTTAAGGTGCAACAAGAGAAGTAAAAGTGCATCCTTGAAACAATTTTCCAACCTGACCACAAATAGGCGTTTTGCGTTTTGCCATCTTGCGAAAATTTAGATTTTTCTACCTCAATTCGCCCAAAAACCTTGATTAAATCAAATTAAAACAACATTCGCACATTCTAAAATTCTCTACAGTTCAATAACTCACGTGTGGTAATTTCTTGGCTGGTTTGCAGTGGATGCACGCAATTTCCGCGACGTTGGGTAGATACGGACGTGGATAGGTTACTGTCGCGTGGCCATTTTGTAACACAAAAGAGACGTTACGGTTCATATCATAAGTATCAGGAATATCTTTTCCAAAATGTTTACGTAGAACTGGTTGCAGAAATAATCGGATACACGCTGTATGTAGGAGACCCATTCCGGAAGTCATCAAAGTATTGATGGTACGTTGGAAAACATTCATCGAATCAGAGTATGGAAGTGATACAAAAGGAGTCATTGATACCGGTGATGGATTGCCAGCCATTGATAGTGAAAATGTGTAGAATGCTACAGTATTGATGTGCATGTATGGCACCTTGAAGTGGTACGCCAACGCATTACTGCATTCCGGAAAGGCTCCATCCATTACCACTAAATCAAAACTGGGCTTGGAGTATAGAAACGCTTTGGTTTCTGGGTCAGCGTACAATTCCTCACAAGCCTAAGAATCATAAACAATAACAATTTGTGGTATCTCACTAGAAATTTATGAAAATGACGGACATACCTTGTAGGGATATTGTAGGACATCTATAGGATGGACTGGTTCCTCGCCTCGCATCCGGGCACCAACTAAGTCCCAGTTTGTAAAGTTTTTCACGTAAAAAACTAAACCAGCTGGTGTTATCTCCTCTAAACCACTGAGGTAGAAGTCAGGTGGGAATGCACTGATGAATGTGATGTTGTGCCCTCTTGGAGTCAACCCTCGCGCTAATTCCCAAAATGGGATTTTGTGTGATTTTGTGCCTCCGAGGGTTATCATCAGTATATTTGCACAATTACATAGGTTTATGACGGCCAATGTAGAAAATAGAAGTATTCTTTTGGTCGCCATGTCTAATAACCTAAAAACATAATATTTTATACATTGACATTAGTTTAGATGAATTTTGAGGTTAGTTTAATATCAAAACTATTGATATTTGATGGTTACCATTGGCAACGTGTCAAAAATTATACTTTTGCGCATTTTAATAACAAAAATAGTTAAAGCAATACGTTTTATTATAAATACGACATTGTTTAACAATCATGTAATACCTGAATGTACAAACAAATAAAATCCTCAGCAAGGAAACTCTTCGCGTCAATATTTGTACAAAACTCAACTCATCAATCACTTAGCAAAGACCTGCACACACTTGTTAAGTAACACCGATATAAATAAATAATTGTTCTAAATTAATTAATTCTTGTGCAACAATTAAATACTTTCACTTTCGCAATAACAATCGAATCTTATTTAATTCGTTCTGGAGTGATGCACATACTTGTAATTGTAATGATTTTGACAATTTTGTTAGAAACAAAAAAAAAGAGAGTGAAAAGTTTTTACGTTGTTTGAACGACACACGATTGCAAACTGCTCGTGCACGTAAAAATTATTTGCTTTAAAGAGTATTGTAATGAGCCGGGCATGTAATTTATAATTTGTTATTTAATGTCGCGCTGGAACAAGCACAAGCACTATCAGCACAATTACAATGATTGTGCATTATGATCTTATCGATATTGTTATTCTGCTCGTCGGACAGATCATCAGGTAATTACGCCGATTCTGTGATTCATCCAAAATCAAAATGGGAAATCAAATAATCCAGAAAAAATCAGAAAATTACTCGTTTCATAAAAAAATCGCTCAATTTTTATATATAATGTAGTTATTGTTTCTGAATATTACCGCATTGTGTTTGTTATTATTATATTGTTATTATTTTTACAAAAAAAAGCGCGCAATTTCTTACACTAATACATAATTTTGTACAAACAACCATGTGAAACTTATGTCTTGCATAAGTTGTGTTTTGTTTTCCGTCGACGTGCGAAATTATTTTTCTAAATTTCCATGTTAATAAGTTTTGCGATGGGCGATTGAACGTTTCCTGGCTCGTACAGAAAAATCGTTGTTGGTGTTACAAAATAACACTAACCTATTGCCTAACTCAATATTATTAGAAATTCAATGAGCATAATAATGGATTATGTGTGTAGTGCGTATAAACTGCTAGTAAATTTGAATGAAAGTGAGTTTTTTGTGGCTCAAGAATTAAATAATGCAAAAAAACATTACATAAAAGGTTGTTAGCGTTTTTTCTCTTACAGGTATTAGTCTTGACCTATTGAAATATTGCAAATAGGAAACAATTAATAGAAAAAAGTAATAAAAGAATTGCATTGAGTAAACAATTATATTTATTGTTTTAATAGCTTTACGACTTATACAACTTTTTATAGATTTTTTCTAAGTATTAATTGAGTTATTAAATCTTTAAAGAACTAGATTTGTAGAGTAATCAATCAGTCACGTAAATCAAAGTCAATTAAACCCTGTATTCGTTTCATCAATTATTTTAAACATTAAATTTACGTAAAAAACATAAAAACATCACATTTTTGTTGATTTATTGAAGGTGGTTAAGTAATAAATGAATTGAATGTTAAAGCATTAGCTCTAACTCATGTGTGTGTCAATGTACTTTTACTTACTTAATACTTAGAGATTGTTTACCGTTTGCCATCGATTATTAGCAACATTTCACGGACGATCACTGCTCGTGTTTTACGTTATTCAAGATATTTTTACACATTTTACTAAAACTAATAAAGTAGATAATTTACTGTTTAATTATTGAAGTTAGCTCAATAACTCTCATGATTAAATATAAGTTAGTTAGTAAATGGTTTTCTTACTAAACAATAAAGAAAAAAATAATTTTGAATGCAATTCGAAACAGATTATATATTTTTTTTTAATTTTGGAAAATCTATAAAATTAACACTAAGTTTAAAATTTATGATTTGTTTGTGCATAATTTTATACTCAGATGTGTGTAATAAAAACGGCATTCTGTGCTTTATACGATCCGTGAATGTGACGCTATTTCATTTATCATTAAAGTTTATTTTTAATTGGCTATTGTTTATTTTCCACATAATTGGTTTACCAACAAAGCTACGGTAATTTATTACTACACATTTATAATTTTATTACATTCTGAATCAATATGTTACAATTATTAATGGTACAATCGTAATATTAAAAGTTTAGTTTAAAAGTTATATTTTTTGGCACTTAAACAAAAAATACTTGTTTAAATCAAATAATTCCAACATTTATTCATGATTTAAAGAATGTTGTCATAAATTTTGAGGTTAATTCAATATCACCGACATTGTGTATTTACCTAGAGTAAATAAACATTAAAATGAAGATGATTGTTATTCCATTGGATGCCATAAGCATTATTTGCGCACTAGAGCGTCAAAATATAACTAATGTTGTAATTTACGCACTAATTTTGTAATAGTTTAATAAAATGTCACTTTAATACGAGTACTCTAAATATGTATTTAAAAATAAACTGCGTCTCATAAACTATATATTAATATTCCATAATTACACGCACGCCGCACGTAAAAACAAATCCACTCGAAAAAACTCGCGAGCTGTCGAAATCGTAAACCAGATTTGCGGTTTATTGAGAAACGCAAACATTTAAACATTTAGAAATTATTAATTAAATCCCGTGCCACATACGTGACTTATTTCCCAATTTTTCTGCATTCTAATCAACCTTCAAAATTATTAACACTAAATTTAAAATTCATGTTAAACAATAACGACGTAACATTTTTGAAAATTTGTCAATCAATATTTTGATCAATAAAATTTGAATTTTTATGAATTACGAGACATCATCGATCTGTAAATCAGTTAAGATTGCAATATAGTTGTGTTCTGCGTCGAAGAGCAAGACCAAATCAGGCGATTGGATAAGTTATGCGAGTGTGCGTAATGCGCTTTAATTAAGTATCGAAAAGTATTACAAGGCGTGCTACTAAGTTACTTGTTTATCCACCACTGGAAGACCATAAAACGATTGCGAGCGGATAATTGTTCAATGTGTGATTTTAATCTGCAATGAAATAAACGATGAAACGTAAAAGATATATTAATTATTTTTAAATTATTTAATGCTTAAACATTAAACAATTATCACAATAATGTACTTTCTACTTTCAACACTTTACAGACAATTATCTCGCTAACCATTACATCGAACAGGTTCAAATTTCGTGTATTTATTAATTAACTTTATTATTTAACTTGAATTTAAGTAAAAATCGCATTTTATTGACTAGGATTTTACAATAAATATATTTTGATACAAGATTTACGATTTTCTTAGTTATTTGCGCCAAACATGCAAAAGTACTGTTAGTTTTATCATTTGTAGGAATAATGTTAACGACTTGATGACTTTAACCGGAAATGCATGCGCACATGTGCTGCGCTTGAGTAAAAGCATAGAAGTATTTTATTAATCCGCGCCAATTAAAATGCAGCGCTTTAATTACAAGAAGGAATACAATGATTTCTTTAAACCCGTGACGTTTGACTTTATCGATCAGACAACCAACACGGAAATATATTCATGTATTTTATGAATGTAGACATTAAAGTTGCATACATTCCAAAATTGAAATGTCAGGAAAAATACAGGTTATGTTAATACATTATGCAACTTTTATTTCATTGCCTAGGTAGTAAAATCTTAATATTTATTTTAATGAAACAATGTGGAAACAAAAGTTGCATTTGCGAATTTTGTAATAAATCAACGGAGATAGTTTTACACTTGGCGTTTGTCGCGATAAGGAGAAGAAAGTAGCCGGCCTGGTTTGAAATTCGCTCTGCAAAGTTTATGTCACTATTTTATAATAGTAATACGCATATTTTATTTTATAACACACTTCTCCGCGCATTTTTTCGGAACGCTTTAATTCAATTCAGCGTAATTCTTGTGAATTTGACGTCGCCGTTTTTTCCGCCGTTGAAATCCAAGCGCCGATTTAATTCACATCAACAACTTTCATTTTTAACGTTAGAGGGTCTTGCAAACGACTTAAACTTTCAGTGGACGTTAACAAGTGTAGAGTATCAATTTAAATGTTCGAGTTGAGTTCGAGTGCGAGTTCAATTCGTTGCCGTTTTTTTCTTTTAATGTGAGGTATTAAAATGAAATGACTTCAAACTTACTACTCTCGGCGAAAAGTAATCACGTAATCCACAACCGAATAATGAAATGAACACAAATCGATGTTTTCGGCGTAATCACTAGTTACATCGAAAAGTGATAAAACTTCCAGCGCAAATTTCACTAACTAATGCATGACATTTTGCTTGGTTTTAAGAAAAAATCATTTTTTTCTTGTGTTTAGCGAGTTGTAATCGAGCACGATTTGTTTATTTACACACTTGACGCACTGCACAAGTAAAAGTTAATTATTAGAGTCGCCGAGTCGCGGTCGAAGTCGCGGTTTAATATAGATTTAAGTGAGGTATGTTCAGTGTGCGGCGGCAGACTTTTGCCGAACGAAAAGCGAACGTGAATCGACCCGGAGTATGGTCACTTCGGCTTCGGAAGGTATGGCAAATGGCAAAATCGAGCCATGAGACGCAAGAAGGAAGGTATCGATGTATCAGGCCGAGGAAAGTAGGAGAAATTAATATGACGAGTAGTAGCTGGTTTATATAAACGCGGGCGCGTTTTATAATATTTTTCGATCAAGGCGCTCATCAACATGCGTTCGAATTTCTTTCATAACGCCTTCATGAATTTATAATTCATTATTTTAAGGGAGAAAATGAATTCGAATGAATTTTGAAGTAAAAGGCATGAAATTGTGTAACAAAGTTTAATACATCATAACTATTACACCCAAAGAAATAGATTAATGTTTTTATGTTTATGGGTATATCTCATCAAGAATTATGAGATACCATAAAGAAATACTTGCATAATAAGACATTAATTCTTTAATTTCAAGAAAATGCATAAAATTGGCGTAAATATGTTAAACATTCGCTTTCTTTTGATAATATACAGAAAAATATACAAAAATATACATAATTTTAATTATATTAATAGGAAACAATCATTTTTATACAAAAAATATTTTTGACAACGCTTCAACGCACCAAAATCTGTTTGCTTTCAACTAGATGTCAAGACCATTATTTAATCAAGCAAAACTAAAAGAAACTTGCGAAATTATCGTGTTTGCCTGCAATTATTTGCATTCGACTCACACTATAACGCTAAAATATTTCGGTTATTCTCGCCAGTGCCAAAAACTACAATATTTGCCACGGCGACAACTCATTTTTTACGTCGGTGCGGACGATTATTACACCCGCAAATCGAAACGTGCGAGCATAAAACATTTCCGTCGAATTATTTCTGGGAAAGTGCAATTTCACTTTGGCATCTGCCGAATCTCGAAACTCCTGAAATCGTAAAAAGCAGAGGCTTTAATCGCTATAATCATTATTAATTATTACCAAAAACAACAACTATATGTACAGATGTGTAGGTACGTTCTGAATATATGTCAAGAACAAGTTTTTTTTCGTTTTTTTCTTTGCGGGAGAGAGTTACGCGTGAATTTTGAAATCGAAAATATTGAACCTGATGTGCTCATTTCACCTGCACCGAGACTGAAACGAAATGCAACTTCGCTTCGTTAAGAAGTAAGGTAAAATGATGTAAGAAAGTCTTTCTCTTTTGGCCGGTTGCGGTCTTGTTCCGGGCGCGTTTTCGGCGTCTCACCTAAATAAATATATAAATAAGTAAGCTTTAATAATGTTTTGCTTTAAATTTGCGTAAAACTTGCTTTCGTTCTGACTAAAAACACAATTAAAGCGCATAATCACACAAATGCATGTATTCATTAGTGTGTAATCAACATTTGCATATTTGTTACTTAATAATGTTAATAATTTGTACTTTTACTGCTCGAAATTAATGAAAAAACAATCAAATTAGTATCTCAACCGAATTCAAGATGGCGGTTGAAAAGTAACTTACTTTTTTGGTTTTAATTGTTAAATGCTGTTATCTAAGCTGTCTGATCGGGTGTAATTTTCGTTTTCCACGTCGGGCACGCGCGTTTTTCGCATTGCGAAATAGCCGAGACTGAAACCGACCATAATTACAAGAAGTGCGGCGAAAAGGATTATACAACCGCCGCTCTGCGACGCCTTCGGGCCGTTCGCGCGCGGCATTTCGAAGCGTACAACTGTTCGCCGCAGTTTTCACCAATTATTTCGTTGGCGTTTTAATTTAGTTGTGTTGCAGGAGTTTACGACTACTGCGACGGCGCACTGCCGTCAACTATTATTAACGGATCACAATGCGAACGCGCGAAATGTAAACAAATTTCCGCTACAAATAAAGTAACTCGACATTTTGCCTCTCGTTACAAAAGTAATGGACTGATGTGTGTCGAATGCGGTGGCATGCGGCATTAATCATACGCGCGTAAGTTAACCACGCTTCCGAGACTTGGGCACTGTCCAAACGAATTGTTCCGGATGATTAAAGACTAATTGTGAATGCTTCAATCACACGCGCAAACATTTTAGGAAACGATGTTGCAAATGAATGCTTTTAACTTGCATCTCTTCTTGAGTTAATATATATTAAAAGATATTTAGTAATAACTTGTATGGGCAAGTTTTTATAACACCAAGTATATTTTGTAAAAAGCTGTATATGTGGTTGCCTAATCACAACATGTGTTAAGTGTGTTTTAGCGCGACATTTGTGCGCAAAATCTCACATTTCACCTGCAAATTCAACAAAAACAAAGCAGTAAGTGTCATTCAATCGTCAACAATTGATTTATGTTCAATTTGATAAATAAGTTCGTGTGTGTCCCTATCTGATTAAAATATAATCGGAAAAGTTGTAAATTTGAAAACTCCAACGACCATAACCTCACTATTCTCTTATGCACAACGGTGCATGACCACCGTGCATGATTGGTTGCGCACAATAAAAGGAATACATAAATTATTGTTTTATTTGTTCTCAAATAAAATAATCTGTAAGAAGTCACTTCAAAATACGGGCCATGGTTAAACGTAATGCGCTTATAAAAAAAATAAAATGCATTAGCAGAAATATTTCCACAATGTATATAAAATACTAATGACATCCGTCCGACATAAATAAAGCAACGTGCACTCCATTAAACAAATATTCATGTCTCTCACCGACACGTAGCGTGCAGATGAAACAAACCTGAATCACGCGAACAATGCGCTTACACAGGAAAGTCAATTTTTGTACTCACAGCTTTTACACTCTTTTATTACGATCATCTGTTCTGCGTTTTATTTTTGTTATACAAAAGTAAAATATCATTTCCTTAAATTAAACTACAATATACCAAATTAAATATATGCCGCGTGCACAACGATAAAGTATTGGATGGTTGTTGTGTCACGAGTGATGTCTTGATGTAAATATCAATGCAGTAATAAACTAAACTATTCATAAACAAAATTATTGCACGTATAAAATCAGAATCATTACAAGTAGAATATTTTTGAGTAATTAACATGTAACACACAAAGAAATGCACCAAATAATATCAAGAGTTATATTAAATTAAATTACTATGTTGTAACATTAATTACATTTTTTCATCGTTACGTTAAATTACCCCTGTTTGTTCGTTTTTGTGTGTGTGTGCCACTACGATTTTGTTCGGTTCGCTTGCTAGGCATGTCGTAACAATAGTCATTTACATACAATATATTCCTCTCTATTTATATCATGAATTCAGTCATTCTTACCGCGTAATATTTACAATATAATTATTTCATGTCTTACACGAGAACGTCTCTTTTATACATTTTTTTTCTGTGTTTAAGTTTTCTTAATGCAGTTAAATTCACTGTTGACAATTCCACTAGTAACGGTATTCCTAAAAATAGATCTGTTTATTGTATTCGGTGTTCATTTTCGCATTTTGAATGAAGTTAATAAGCAAGCCGAATTTATCTACACATAACTAACACGGATTACTTACTATATCTAAGCTAATTGTCATGTTGTCTAAGCACAAATTAAAAATGCTAATTTCATACACCAACTGCGTATTGTCGCAAGTGTCGCATATAAATATCTAAAAAAAAATTAAAGATTCTTAAGATTTTGAGAATTTTTCAAGTGTTAAATAACCAGTGTGTCAATAAAAGTTGTATCAATAGAAAACGTGGAACGAAAATCTCGAAGCCTAACAAATGTGGCTAAAAATAAATGCATTACAGAATAAAACCTCTAAGGAACATCGATTTCGTCTGAGTATTCTCGGAAAAACCTGGGAAAACGTAACAGTTAGTTCTCCTCCTTTTCATCCTCATTTTCCTCCACATCAGCGCCTTTATCAGCTTTCGCGTACGTGGGAAACTTGGCCACTTCCACTTTGTCCTTCACTTTAAAACTAGGATATAGTCCGATCTGCTGCGTGCGCAGATTACGTCCCTTGCTAAACCCGTTCCAGTGGTTGCCCGCCACGCCGACCAAATCACCAACATGCAGGCTCATATCACCGGCGCGATGGCTTTCATGCGGAAGTACGGCTATCCGGTTGTGAGCGGTTTGCCCGCCGTAGTAGTAGATATCGTCAAGCGATTTGAATTTGTCGGACGCGTCGGGGAAGTAGTTTTGCATAATCTCGTACGCGATGCGGCACACCTGCGACGAGAAGGTGCACACGAGGTAGTCGCTCATCGAGAGCATGTGTATATCGAGTATGATGCCGTTCAGCGATGAGTCTGAGTAACGCGTTGAAACGGCGGCAGTTTTGGCAATCTCCGGATCGCCGAGTATCTCATACTGAGGGTATTTACTTTTCGCATCGAGGATGACCTTCGGGTCATCTGAAGCGAGGTAAATTCTACGTTGCGTGACGTGTTCTTTGAGCTCCAGTTGGTTGTAATATTCTTCAACAGCAGCCATGTACTCCTCAATACCGTGGAAGGACGCTTCAGTCCCGACTTTATCAGTTCTTCGCACGTGTACACTAAATAAATAATTAGTAACACTTCCATACACAAAATGAATTTTATTTTAAATTTCAACTCACCCAACAATAGGCCTCTTGAAACCCATATTCGTAATGGCTTCCTGAATGAATTTCGCTGTTTTCTCTTGGGGACGCAATAGATATTTCAAAAACTGACCCACCCACCAAACGATTGGATCCCCATGAATTCTTGTTAGTCGTTGAGACAAGTCCTCAGGGATAGCGAGAGGCAGGAAAGGCGGACGTGAAGATAGCGAGTCGATTATCGGCAGAGAAAGAACCTGCGTATCAGGAGTGCCTGTAAAAAGACAAGACAGTATTGGAAACTGAATTATTGAATGCCGTATGCATTGTTGCACGAACCGGGCCAATTTTTAATGCTTTCGCCGACAGCGCTGGTGCACGTGTCACTGATCGGCAGGAACACTTCGTCCCAACCTCGCCGGTGATAACGCCATCCTTTTGAGTTCAATATTAACGTTCTTTCGGTGCCGTACGCCACCATGAAGCAGTAGACAACGTGATGCAGCTGGCAACCGTAACCACAACCCTGGAACCAATCATTAAAGATTCACAACCAAATGAATACTACTAAAAAATTCTATTAACTTTCAAGCATTCCATTGAAAATTTGTGTCAAGTAACCAATAATACGCCTATTATTAAAATCTACGTTAATCAACTTAAAATACATAACATGCTGAAGTAATTAAGTGATAAAGAAATACTGCAAAAAAAACAAACCCATCAAACTGTTATCTCTAACGTAGGCGGCGAATAATTAAAATAGTTTTTTAATTGCTTCTGATTTGCCAACAACTAAATATGTTTACTCAATTTCACGGTCACTATGATTACAAATGACGCGTAACAAATATTTATTATGAAATGATTACCTTGTTTAAGCTGCACACTAATTTTCTTGCCTTCTTGCAATCTTTAGGATTCTGCAGGTATTTAAATCTGTTCTGTACTTTATCACTAAGAGCATTAATTTCTTTTTCCCTCCATGTTGCAAAGCCATCCACATCACTCAATAGCTGCACATCATGTATCAAACTTCTTTTATGCTGTATTCCCAGCTTTATTGTATTACTAATTGTACCAACAAGATCTGGTGCAAGACTTTTCACTTGTGTCTGAATATTCACCAGCTCTGAGTTCACATATGCCCAAAACTCTCTAATATTATTCTCAATTCTTCTTCTTGTGACTTCATATTGTTGATTGGGCTCTTCTTTCTGACTGATGTATCCTAGTTCCTGATTATTACTTATTGTTTTATCAGCTTTTGTTAATCTCATCTGAAAATTCTCCAGGGCTTCTTTTTCTTCAGCTTTCAATCCACTAGAAGAACAAATTTGGTTAAGTTAAAGAATTTCTTTGGTGAGATGAACTCTTACCCTATGTTAATATCTTTGAAGAGTTCATGCAGTTCAGTGTTCTGCTTGCGAAGAGCTTCAAGCTCACTAAGTGCTCTGGCCAACCTCTCAGCAGTCTTTGCATCGTTGTTATTCACTTGCGCGTTGAACATAGGCAGAATCGTGAGTATGAAGATGAGCAGCCAGAAGGTGAAGAACAACATGAACATTCGTTTCCATCCCAAGCTGTTGATCTGCCGCAGCAACACGTTCATCTTCAATGCGGTTGTTTTGGTTTCGAGTATTGGTTGTTGCTGCGCTCTTCGCGTGGCCGGCCGAGATCGTCGCCGTTATGTGCGTATTATCATTGTCTCGCAATCGCTTCCGGCTCGCGCTCCCCTCGCTGCGTTCAATTCGGATAATTTCAGTTAATCATCGCGACGCCTGCAAATGTGTTCGGTCCATTTATCGGCGGCGGCGGTGTGCGACGTCGTTGCGCCGCGAGCGAACACACACTGACCAAGTGACCGTGCGGTCGTGCGCCGAAGCAGGAGTACGGCAGGAATTGTGATCATGAGCAGTACGAGCAGGACGCCGAGTAGTGCTTGACTACTTTATCTACTTACTATTCACTACACCTACTACTGGCTACTACATATAAGCACTACTTCCACTACATTACTAATGACATGCTGCAGAATCATGCAGAATAGACAGCCAACCTGGCAGTACATATTTAAAATTTTATGATTTCTTTCATCTAGCTGTTCATATAAAAAATTAATTAAGCAGGTAGCTGTAATCATAATTTAACTCTTCTCGCAACGAGAGAGTAAACAAAGTAAATCCTGCAATGAATAATTATACTTGTCTGTGCTCAATTTTTGGCACTACTTTCTTTTTTTGAAAGTCTGTTTTGAGGTTTGGAACAAAAGAATCAGCTGATTTGGCTGTTTTCGGTCCAAAATGTTTAAAATTTGTTAAATTGGGGGCACCACAATGCAGACCACTGTCTTTTATTTGTGCCTAGTCTCATAAATGCATTTATCCAAAAATATTTGATTATTTAGCAAGAAATACATATATGCAATATTAATTACAAAGGTTTTCATAAAACTTCATTTGAAAACATGAAAAACTTTAAAATTCACATTAATATGAATCATAACGTACTTATAATAGCTTTTATAATCTTAACAATATATAATCTTGTATATAATCTCATAGTGAACATCTCATCTAAGGGTTACATTTTGATGAATTGGGGGCAGCACAATGCAGACCCGTTTAACGCCTTAACAGTTTCTCAATTTTTGTAAGAAATGTACGAGCAAGACACAACATTTCTCTCGAAATATAGCAATTCACAGACAGAGGGCACAGTAATGCATGCAAAATTATTAAATAAAACTTAATGAATTGTTTCAGAGTATGTATTATAAAAAATTCAGTCAAGGTTGGTTTCGGATGATATATTACAGAGAAATTACTCATGTGCAATTCTAAAAAACGGGAAAGTAAATTGTAAATAAAGGTACAACAACCAGACTCATTTTACATTGTTTCCGCTCATGTTATCTATTTTTACTATAACATATACTACTGCACATATCCAGACAAATATTTGTTTATTGCAAATCGCGCTGATAATTACTCTTAAATATTTTATTTCAAGATAACTCTGTAGCTCTTAACAACAACACTAGAGAACTGATTATATAATTTCATTATTTAAACAATTTATAAGCACTCAATACACAGTTAGAGTCGCAAATAAAAACTTGCATATGTGCAGGAAGTAAGCAGAGAGCATCATACCTTAGAGATACCATTTAGATAATGATAACGCTTCCAAGAAATATGTTTATCAAGTTATTTGAACTGACTGCGACGGTGATCGTATGTTTGTTTTTCACTCTGCCGTCTGCTAATTCTGTATAATACTCAAAAGGCTATATTTATTAAGTGTGCAAAAGTTAATAAGTGAATTCGCGCCATAGTTCCTAAAAACGCAATAAAATAATGTCACACTTTTGCGTGTAAAATACGCAGTTAAATACTGAGAAAGTCGTTTGAGCGTATTCAAACACACTTCACAGTTTTTTTTATAGAAAACGTAAATTCTAATCTAATCAATGAATAAGTGATAATTCTCAAATTTGCATTCAGTTCGGATTCGCGCGTTTGCCCTGAAGTAGTAAACATCAAGTCGTTATATGTGCAGTTCTTATCACAATAAACAAAAATGTGTCTACTTGTACAACTCATCTTCCTGCTGTCTACCTGCAAAATCATCAACTGTATACTCTGCGAGAACGCATCCATCATTGATTGCCTGGATGAAGACCCAGGGAACTTGACAGTGAATCCTCATTGCACTATGCGAGACAAGGCTTTAATTGTGATCGACAGCAAGACTTCCATTTTGAAATACTCAGAGACACGCCCGCAATTGAAAATATTCAAAGTGCAAGGACTGGAAGAAGCAACTCTACAGCCAATAATGTTCAAAAACTTAAATTCCGTGGAATATATTGATTTATCCGATAATTTGATCAAGGATTTCAACGTGAATGTGTTCATCAATGAGGATCTTCAAAACCTGAAGCATCTGGAGATGCATAACAACCCTCTAAATGCACACGGATTGAATGCTTGGGAGGAAGTGAAGAAAGAGCTGGCGAACAAATCCCGCGACACCAAACACATTCATTACTTCTCAATAGTCACCATAATCATCGGAATATTGATCATCATCGGCATCATCTGCATAGCAATTTGTATAAAATTGACAAGAAAAGTGAAAAGGACGGAGTTTAATAAAAACCCTGGATACGAGGTCCCCGGAATGGCAAACCAAAGTGTAGCACGAAATTTGTTATATTCTAATCTTAGTAATGATCAACCATTACTAGATTTGAGTTAATTAGGATATTATTATAGTGCGACAATGCAATGTGTGATACAAGCCACGTTTATGGTGCCTATTTATAGTTAGTTACATGTAAAATGTTGTTTACAACGTTCTGTCTGACAATATCATAGCGACACGTGTGACTATAGTTTTAAATGTGTAATATCACTATTGTGATTAGACTTATAGGTACAATGTGAACATAATATCATAGGATAATGTAATCTATATTGTTTTGTAAGATAATAACAAACAATCATCATTTAAATTTGTTTTGTTTAATGCGCAAATTATTGAAGGTTGAATGAAATGAAGTCATGAATTATAATAAATTATACGATATTTTCGTGTTATAACATTATTCAAAATTGGAAATCTTAATTTAATCTGTAAGTATAATAATAATATTTAAGAATTACAGTATGCATTATATAATACTAGGCTGGTTTGTATAACTAGTTGCCTAGGTTAAACGTCAAAATATATCTAGGATCAGCATCGTGATGATGATCATGTCTACCAACGCAGAGATGAAATTTAAAATAGGATTGTCTTATGTACTCATCTAATCAGGGATAAAAATTATTATTATTAAGTTCTATTGTTTTAGACTACCCAGATAAATTGTTTAGATTAGATATTTAATACTTGTAACCTAGGTAACCATATTTGCAAAACTAATAGTGCGCAGATTTATGCCTAGGCAATTAAAATGGCGGTAAAACACATCTTTTCTGAGAAAAGGCATGAACTTTGAATATTTAACATTTGCTATCTTAAATTTTAAGTTGGTTATCAGTTATGAGCAATGCTCTGCATGTGACTACTTTGTGCTCAACTAAAGTAATTAATTTCTAGTTATATCGCTGTTAGAAACATAAAAAATGACAATTTTGTATCTATTCTGCAACCCCCAATCGCAAATGACCTAAAATTATGACAAAATGTAGTCATAACATACAATTTGTAAGTTTTGACAAATTAGTCTACTTGTGGATAAACCCTTGTCCTGTTATCAAATAATTCATCTGCTATTATCTCCATAACCCAATTTTCTTTATTTTGTATCAAAAACAAGGTTATAAAAAATTAATTGCGTACTCAAACGTTACAGATTTGCTTTTCATTATATTTTAATACAAAACAATAACAATTAACGTATAAGAAATAAACACAAAACATTGAAACTTAATTAATCAATAAAATTAACAATAAAATGATTCACATTTATAGTCTAGTTTGATGTAAAAACCATCAAACATGCAAAAACTTTAAAATCAATTGTGTGGTTGACATAATTTAAATATCGCTTTTCTTTGACACAAACTCAATTGCGCCTTGGTAAAAGTTTTATTCTAAAATTTCAAATTGAGAATCACTTATCGAGTAACTAAAACGTCTCCAAACCATTATTAATCACTTTTGTGCGCATTTACGTAATCTTTTATTTCTAAAAAAATTAACTCTAAAAGTAAAAAGTATATTTACACACACGACCATCCTAAAGGAGCCTACCGTGGAGCACGCACACCGAATGCACATGTCACATATAATTAACAGTAATTACAAAAAGCTTTCATAACGCTATTTGCACTGCAAATATTGCGGTAAATTTGTTTCGCAAGCGACTATTCTACAATAGAGTCTACACCTCAGACGAACGTCGGCGAACTGCTCCTCCGATAGTTTCTATAATCGCGCGTCTGCAATAAGCGTCCCACGAACACACCCAGCACCACACCGAGGGCAACTGCCACTAAAATAATAACCAAAGCGATTATAACAAAGATGATCCACGCGTCGATTAGCCACTCGTCATCTTCAGACGATGAACTCTCATCGTCATCCGAATCGTTTAGAAAAACGGAGCTATTCGTCGTATTGGTTGGCGATCTGGTCAGACTCAGATTCTTCATCGGCTTTGTGCCAAAAGTATCTTCATCAATATCGCACTTTTCCTTATAGAGGAACTCCCGCGTGCGGTTGAACAAATTCACGTGAATATTGTTCTTATTATTGCATTTCTCATCAATAATCACTCGGGGTTGATTATCAAGCGCCCATTTATACAACTCCACGGTGCTGCAATTACAAGCCCAGTAATTATAGCTCAAGCTTAGGGATATTCCCGGATGTTGATTGAAAACCTCTGGTTGTAGATACACCAGATTATTCACTTGCAGGTTTAACGTAGTTAAACTCGGCAGGTTTTTGATATTTTCCACCGTAAACGTGGAGAGCTTACAAAAGGATAGATCCAGATGTCGAATGGAACTGGAGTGTATCCTCGGAGTGTTCGATTGGAACAAATTCCCTTGAAGAATTAGCGTGTGTAAACGCGGATTGGAGCTGAAGAGCGTATCCGGAAGCAGCTCCATGTAATTACTGGATAAGTCCAGGTATTCTAGATTGACCAGTCTGTCAAATGCTAAATCACTGACCAAATAGATGCTGTTGGTGTTGAAGTAGAGGAACTGCAGTTGCTCTATCCCCATCCAGGGCAGCTCGTCTTCCAGCTCTTCGATGCGATTGTTGGAGAGGTCGACGATGTTGGCGCCTTGGATATTCTTTAGATCGGGCACCACGTCCAGATCTGAATTGGAGCAATCGATCTCGATGCCGGTGCACCGGCAGCCGGGCTCACAGTTAAGCGACGCGCCCTGCACGCCCGTGCGACGCACGAGCACCAACGTCACGAGGACGATGCTCACAATCGAACGTTTCACTTTGCCCTCCATGTTATCATTATCGTGCATTGATCAATTACCTAAAAGCAATCATATATTTAGATTCATCTTATAAGATTGATTGGATTTGCATCCGGTAAGTTTAATCAAGGGATGTTCTTGGTTTTGGAAAAGAAAAACCAATGCCGCATGGCATATGGCGTGCGCAACGCGTGCAAACGATCGAATTTTCGATCATCACTTACCCGAAAATGGTCTCTGCTAATCCGTCATGCGGGTGACACGTGCGGCGACGGTTTTCGGCACTTCTACGAGGTTTTGCGACGTTATTAGATTATCCGCACGCCTACGGCATAATACATATTAAGCACGTTATTGGGTGCTGCGACAGACATAACGGAACGGAGCTGTATCGTGCCAGCGCGAGGAAAAGGCAATGGTATCGCAGTTATCTAAATTGTAGGTATCTATTTACTTTAAAGATTACGAATTATATCGATAATATCGATGCGCCATCGCAAGCGGCCGAACGCGTGAGAATTCAATCCACATTGGCTTACCGCTTAGCTGAGCCGATTGGATTGCACTCAGGTATGACATCTTTGATTTCTTTTCACGTTTTACATCAAATCTTTAACATTATGGTTGTTTTAAACACCAGAAACTTTTAATTTTGTAATAGGTGAACGTAAGTACTCGGTACGAGGTACGTATTGTTATCGTTATCGTCTATTTCTAACTAGATGAGATTAATTTCTCCAATTACACATGATTCTTAGAATCGTGTGATTTGTTGCTTTCCAAACAATCATTTATTATTTGTCATTCATGTTTGCAAATAGAACAATTGTGGGCTTCCTAGTATTTCAAAATATTTATAAGATTGCTTTATTTTAATATTTTGAATATAAAAAATATAAATTGCAACTTTTTGATACACTCAGTATAAAATCTTATTGTTTCAACAATTGAGGTTATGATAGGGTATTAGTATAAAAATATTATATAAGTTTTACGTTTTTTACGTAGAAACACTGCAATACTAATTAAAACAATAATTATTTATAAAAATATTGTTAATAAAATACTGCTGAATACACACGTTTGTTGCTCTAGTTATTTAATTGGGCATTATGACACTAATAGGAAGAATTACACCATAACCCAGACATCATCAGACAATTGGTAAAAACTAACAAATACAATTATATTACGATGATACTCATATTTATTTAACATCTACTTTAATTGTGTAATTATTATATTAGCTTTTAATATTTTAATTCGTTTTTATTTCACTACATAACACAACATAAGAATTATTTTTTATCTGTAAATTTATTTGAATGTACTTGATGATGATTACAGGCGATTATAATCAAAATAAGTATTATTACACATATAATACTTTTTGCAACAAATCCATATCATTAAGATAAATACTCTGATTAATTAATTACATTTGATATTGAAACCTATAATTAATACACTTATTTAAAATAAGTATACAATACACACGCGTATTTGAAACACGTTTGTTTAACAATATTTCTCAATAAAATTTGATATAAAGTTTTAAACTGTATGAATTATATCTATTAGTAGTATTGATTTTATTATACGTAGATTAATGAATTTTGTGTTTAAAGGTAATACCAGCTTATAAACAGGATTTTCCTAGATAAAGTCATTGTTATATGACTGTTTTGATCCAGTTTTTACTTACTTTATCAAAAAAAAAGTCAGGTGTTCCAATGTCATAAATTGGCAATGCGAGAATTATAAAAATAACCACAACCAATTCTTATTTTATATCTCCAAGAGTACTTCTTCAAATGTGAACTTTGCTTCTCATTAAGAAAAAAGTGAGTGTTTTGTTCGCTCAATTTCTCTATTTTAATTGTTGCCAGATAACAATGAACTACTTGAGTTTAGCTCCATACCACAATCATTTTTATATTATTATGAAAAAAATTTGATTTTAAGATGGAATTTCCACGTGAATTTGATTATACATAATCAGAAATCATGATCATCGCATGATGTGAAACGTGGCTGTGATTTTAGTTGACTTAAATCATTTGAAGCTATCACTTTGTGCATCTATTGAATTTTATGTGTAATTAAAAAATCAGTTCATATTTAATATGTATCGTAAGTACTATAATTTTGTTTAAATTTTACAGTATATACAACTATGTATAATTATTCATTTAGTTTCTATATCTATGTGTTTCGCTGGGCTTTGTTTGCATTCGAAAATAGATCTCGATGTAGTACGCTTGACGCTGCCTTAGTGCGCATTGTCAATAATTAGAATTTTTTAATTAACGTTAAAGTGTCGCGTTATCAGTCTGGTCGGCTCATTACACCTCGAGCAGCATTGATCTAAAAACGCGCGCCTCCCAGCTCGCTTCGATCGGCTAGTTATCTTGTTTTCATGTTATTGTTTCACGAGATGCATAAAACCGACGATAGAAAATTTATCAATTACACTCAGCTCTAGCGTCAATATTTACCTTCGAGAGTTAATTCATAACTATAACATTTGTCGAAGTCTATAGATTGTGGTTCTATAGAGGTAAACTCAATGGGTGTAAACAGACGCATTTTTTCATTCAAACGTAGACGTTTGATATAAGATTACAGATTATTTGTAATTTTTCAGAAAGTCTTTCTATCTTAGTTTTGCAACTTGTTTATTAAGTAATACAAGTGTTACAATTTGTAATATGTATTTGTGTGTTAGGTATACATTGCAATAATGTGAGAATTATGTATTCGCCAACTTTGGCAAGAGTTTGGTAACATTCGCAAGTCATTCTTGTCTCCCAAACTACTCGTACATGTCTAAGAATATCATGTTTGGTGTTATGTTTAATAATTGTATGAAGTGAAGTGGTGTGTGGGGTCAGCGATTTGAAACAATATAACCACATTAGTTAATCACAAGGAAAAGACACGAATACGATGCTCTAATAAATTCACATATATTATTGGTGGAGGTGCAATATATGGCGTAATATGATGTAAAACTTTACAATCTATAACACATTTTATTTATTATTAAATTAGTAATTTTGCTACTAATTTCAAATAACTACAATTTATTACCGCCTTTTTAAATCAAATTTTGGAAATATTCCAAATATATGATAATAAAATTAGTTATGGAAACTTTAAAATTGCTAATCTGAATTGACGTTAGATATTAACATATCAGATATAAGTTTATTTATGAAAATTCCACCGTTGTTAGTTTTTTAATGTATTTTATCAATGAGATAATATGGCATTAAGTTCAGTAGCGTTCAAAATTAGTTTGTAACTCTTTGAATCTCCTTCGGTCTCCTTGGTAATGGTGAATGCAACAAAAATGAAAGCGACTGCCGCGTGTTGAGACAGTCGAAACCCCACCTGAGAAGGTAAACGAAATGGAAACCGAGACACCGCGGCCAGACAACTCCGCCGTGGAGAAGTGCCTTAACTTAAGTAACACAAGCAGCATATTAGGCCTCTCGGGTAAAAAGTAGTGGGACGCACAGTAGTCCTAGGTGATTTTTTCGTTGGCTACGTCACAGTCGCGTAAAGCACATTTCGAAAAATTCAAATTCGGTGCGTGGTGTGGTATTAACATCTCGTCGTCGATGTTAAGACGTCTTACTCGTCGCTCGGCCGGGGCGTCGCGACGATGCACAACGCCGGTTAAAACAAATCAAATAATCGAAATTTGTGTGTATGTAGTTTTTCACTTGTGTTTAAAAATATAAATTTTGTGAGGAAATTTCTGGTTTAAAACTTGTTGAATTAAAACTTTTTAATCATGGAGAAGTTAAGCGAAGGTGACGAATTTCAAGACGTGGTCTCTGAAGAGATACGCAAGTTCGGTTTGGCCAAGATGAAGTTTCACGACAATGCCACTTTCTGCCCTAAGGATATTCCGTCGATTTCCGAATATTTATCTGGTAAGTCAAGAAATTAATATAAAAACCAAGGAACTCATTGTTTTATGTTTTATAATCTGAATAAAAAACATAACAATAACCTAATTTTACAAATTGTGCGTGTGTGGATTTTCTTACTTTTCGCGATTTTTTCCATTCGATATTTAAACTTTCACTTTCCGCGAGCAGAGAGCAGCAGAAAGACGCGAATCGCAATACCACACGAGCGCGTAAAAAATGTGATTTTCACTTTCATGCGGAATACAAACACAAACCTCAATACATCGACATTTCTCACGTGTAAAACTCTACACGCAAGTTGTAAAATTTACCGCTGGACATTCCGTGATTTACTTTACATCTCCGCAATGCACTCGAATGAAAATTGAGTTACGTGCCGATGTAATCGGTTCTTAGTTAAAGGAAAGGACAAAGAAAAGCATAATTAATGCGATCACGAAATGGGAGCAACATGCAACAAATTGTATGAAATTAATTGTAAATTAAGCAGCTGCTAAAGTGTAACAAGAGAATAAATACGTATAAATAGAATATAATTGATTATAATATTGCACCTTGTTTCGTATAAGGTATTATTGTATGGTAATTAGAAACTACTATCTAAAACAATGCATTAAAAAATAGTTTATTATAGTTTTATCACAAAGGATTTATTTTATCTCGCTTTCATTGCTTCCTAGTGGCTATTGACATTTGGAATTGATTGTTTCTGGTGATTGTATATTGCATAGTTTTGCATGTGCAGTAAGGTCTTAGAATGTTCTTACGAGTACAAGAAACGCATTATAAAAAAATTATTACAATTGTAAGCAATAATAAAAAGAAAATGTCAACGTTTTCCTATTCATGGTCGGCATTCTATTGTTATAATTCATAAAGTCAATATATTGTGTTTAATTAATTATTTAATTTGTAATTAAATTTATATTGCATTTGATTAAACATAATTGAAATTGGCGTGTTAAAGTAAAAGGTTAATACAGTGTTATTGCCATAAATATTTGTTTATGCTGTGTTTGCTCAATATGATTGTTTGGTAGTTCGCATAAACTTAGAATTCTCATGAAACTAAGCGTGGTTATTGCCAAATTAAGCTTTAATTGCTCAAGATATGTTTTCACATGTCTATAAAATAATACAATGTCAAAATTAATTACTGACATTAATCTTTTTGTTTCGCTTTTTCTAAAATTTAAATATTTTGAGGTGCAAAACTTTCCAAATCGCAAAATTTGCAACTTTTTACCCAAAGTGTAAATAACTAACAAAGGAAAGTAAATTTATTGTTTGCGGTGTTAAAAAACAACAACACATTAATTGAATTACTTATGCTAAGTTTAATTAACTCCAAGTTTACTTTCAGTCTACTTTGATGCATATATTGTGTTTTTATGTACCTTGTAATGTATACGTTCATAGAAATGGGCACAGTTTAAACCAAAGAATTAATTGGCAATGACTATGCGAAAGGTTGCTTCACACGCCGCATGCTAAACCGAATCATGTGAAGTTGTGGAAGGCATTTCGTCACTTTCGTCCGACGTGCTGCTGTGCTGATACTCTGATAGTCTTCAAATGGGCGAGCGGTCGAATCGGATGATGAAAGAATATCCTCACGCATATTGCAGCCGCGCACATTTGACTTGTTTGGGCTCCACTTGACTTTATTCGAGAGGTTTCGACAATAGCAGCCATTGCATTGCGTTCCGACGCGTTTCAATTCCAGAATTCGTAGGTCAAGGCGCTCGTCAAAATTGCGCCAGCACGAAACTTTTTAGAAACTTTGCCATATTCACCAAATGCGTGCGTTTTGTACGAGTATAGACCAATGTTGAATGAAGAAATTTACAACTTGCATTCACTCGCAGTAAACGTAAAATTAAAAACTTGTATTTATCGCCAGCACAGACAGCTGACCGGTGCCGGAATGAGTTAATTATTATTGCGCATAATTTTTTATTATTTCGGCATTTCGGCGATAAAAATTGGGTCATAAATTGCACAAGAGAAGCAAAAGCAAGAGTTATTAAGTAAATAAATTGTATTAGGCAAAATACGGGCAATGTGGTCAACATCAGATCATTGACCACGCGGACCGAGTTTGAACTCGAGAGTAACGGTAAATCTTGAAACTAAAAGTTCACTCATTTTCACTTTTATTGCAAGACACTTACAATATTTGTAATAGTATTCATAGTAGCAGATTTTACTGATGTTTTATGTATCATTTCGGATATTCCAAATGAGTCTGGTACAAAAGTTCATTGCACATCAGTTCGGCGGATTCTGGAACATGAATATTATTATTTTTATTTCAACATCAAAAGCGGTCATTATGATATCATTTTATCTAAGAGTTTATCGCATCACAATCATAATAAAATTATATATCTCATGCAGTTGTTTGAAATGTATTTATAGCTTGTATTCTAAACTCACTCAAAGTATACTCAACATTTTCAAAAGATCTTAGATGACATAACTTGAATATGTATGGAGATACATTAAAAATATTGCACTATTGCATTAGACTATTGCATCAAAATAAATAGTACCGTAGATCGTAATCGCGTTGTCATTTTAAAATAAAATCAAATTTATTGCATTTACAAGTCATCGTGACTCAAGAAATTCATGAATCACAGATATTTTATTTCTGCATGTAATGTAAACAAAAAGATTAATATCTCGTATATCACACGGTTAGTTTACTAAATATTCGTGTTTAAACAATTTAAAATAAGGTTTTAAATAAGAGACATTTTTCTTTGTTGATAAAGCAACTAATTTATCACTCAAATTTTGTGTTTAATTTCCATGAACTAGTTTAAAGTATGTTTTGATCATGCTACTTAATTTTAAGTCTACTTTTTAAGTTACTTAACACTTGCACAAAGTGAAATTTAAAAATCAATGCGAAATCTGATTGGCATGTAATTTGGCAACAGATGCTAAATATTTATTTTATTTCACTACATTAGTTCTTTCATCACGCATTAGAACATATGACATTGAATCCTACTTTCAAGAGTTTTACTTAAGAAAATAGATACATGCATCTTCATTTATTGCAACCAATTTGAATTCAATCAAACATTAAAGTTTTGCTTCTAAATAATTGAAGTTTATTGCAACATTTATCGAAATCATTTACATATTCATCGACTGCAACTAGTCATTCTCTCTGACTTGTGTTAATGGTGTAATTGACCCAGTAAATGGAACTCGGCGTTTTACTCTGAAATTTATGGTTCAGCAACCTACAACCTAAATCGTACACAGCAAAACAACCAAAACAAAGTAAATAGTTAATGTTGGGTGACTAATGAATGAGTTTTGCGTTATACTTGAATATAATATGCATATTAAACACCTGCGCTAATCTGTTGTTCATACTTTCAATTTAATATATATGCAGTGATTTAGACATTCGGATTAATTTGTAAAATGTGTCATGATGAAGCAAAACGTGTAACATTTGCCATTCTACATTCATTTTTAACAGAAACTGCTTATGCATTCAATCTTATCAAACTTTTGTTTTGCTTAGCTTTCAATCCAGTAATAAACAAAGTAATTCATTGTCATTATCGCATTTTATTTGTTAATGTCTTATATTTTCTCGTAATTTTTAAAAATTAGCAGAATTTGATTGCAAAATTATAAATTTGTTACGTGTTTTCTTGTTTAACAAGTTTTGGCATTTTAGTTTCACATTAATTCAGTGCAAAATTACCCAATTAATTAAAATGCAAAGAATTGTGTAAGAATATCCGGTTGCTAATCTTAATTAAACTAATTTCTAATTTTTTATGATAATTGAATTAATATGAATTTTTCGTTGATTTGTTTCAGCAATAAATATCTATGGCATAACACTACTGACCTTAGGAGGCTTAGCCGTTATCCTGGTGCTCGTCATCTTCATAGACACACTGAAATACATCATGAAGAACTCTTCGTCGCGAGTGAAAGCGCACTCCGCGTTTGTGATCGGCGTATATCCGGTAAAATTAATACTCAACCATGCACATTATAACTTACATCACAATATATCATTCCCAATATGATTATTTCTTATTATAGTCATAAGCAAAAGAAAATTCATGAATATTTATGTAAAGAAGTACTTAAATTTCAATCATTATGAGACATTACGGATTATTCAATAGATAATTCGGTGTAAAGTAATAAAATTTTACTTCTGGTATGCATTATTGATTAATAGATGCAGGAAGTTGCATGTAAATGCATGTCATTTTATGTTGATTGAGACACAGCAATTGTTTGCACTCACACTTGACATAAGAAGTTAATTAGCTTCTAATTACCGAATTATCCAATGATGTATTGCGTAATGCAGTTTTCTGATTAATTTTGATGATTTAATGTCTTGTGGTAACTTCTGGTAATGAATTATGGAAGATATTTATAAATTAAACTGTTTCAGGTCGTGGCATTAGCTACATTTTGTGCTACATTAGTACCTCGAGCTCATCTCCTCGCTGAAGCAGTGACGCAAGGTATTTTCATGGCTGGAATGTATCAGCTCTTCTGCCTGTTCGTCGCTTATTGTGGAGGAGAAGCTGAACTCATCCGTAGAGTTAAACCCGACGCACTTAATCCTAAAGTTGGTCCTTGCTGTTGCTGGCCGTGTTGTTGTCTACCACAATTTGATATCACAAAGTATAAGAAATATTCTAATATTATGCAATTAATTCTAATTTTGTTTTTATCTTTAAGGAATCGTGTGAGATATTTAAGATTACTAGTTCTTCAATTGCCAGTCGTACAAGGACTTGTATATATGACTCTTCTGGTGATGTGGGCCGAACGTGAAGTATGTTTTAATATTCCATGCTAATTTTTATACATATTTGTTTTAATTGACTACTTTCAGAGCCTTTATAGAGTAAATTACATGTATTTTCAACCGATAATAATCATTTCAATATTATTCGGCGTGTGGGGCATGTCAATGACGATTAACTTGTTGAAAGACGTTCTAAAGGATTTCTCAATGCCAGCAAAGTTTATGGTATTGCAACTTGTCCTTCTCTTCGCCAAAATGCAAGGTTTAATCACCAAAATTATCGCTTGGTCAGGACTTTTGCCTTGCAAACCGCCAATTTCATCAGAAGTTTATGGAAATAGTAAATATATTCATAATAAATTTATGTTTTATGAATTTATCTTATTCTATTATGTTTGTAGTTATACACAACGCTCTGATGTTGGTTGAAATGGTTCTGTTGGGCTTCATTGCTCGTCGATTGTACAAAGAAGTTCTTCCTGACTTCGACACGCCATGTTGCGTGATTACCACAATCGGCTCCATCATCAACAAAGATGGCTACAAGCAGCAGATAGTGCCCTGCAATGGAAATAACAACAACAGCATCAGCAACAATAATAATGCGATTGTTAACAACAACGATGGTACTAACAATAATAACACTGTGACGATTCAACCACTAAGAGAACTCCGAGTGGATGTTGTTAGCGATAGTACTCGATGCTAATTTTTGCTGGACATTTTGTTGGACAGGCTGAAATGCTCAATTTTCATTAATTGTTTTTGTACATATTTTATTATTAACAGTCTCATAGGTTGGATAGCAAATATTCATTAATATTGTATTAATATTAATATTGTGAGCTTGTTTGTTTGTATGGTTAAGTTTGTAATATATTATTGAATAAAATAGAAGTTACTTAAGAAGATTAAGTTTATTTTCCTTATACATTTTTCAATCTTATCATAGTTTAATTTTAGAAAAACAGATACATTAAAACTGCTTATAGAATACCCAACTGCTTCTCAACCATTGCATGTGGCTGACCCATAGCTTCAGAAAACTCAGCTGAATTGAAAATATCCTCAGGACCAATTTCAATATCCCTGCCAGTCAAACTGTCCAACATCACATTGTGCCTCTGTAGGAAGGGTAGGTGACCAACCTTCTTTGCAGATTTCAGCTCCATATTAAGTCTCAGTGGAGCATGTAAACCTTGAGTGTTGCGAAGAACAACATGGTTCATGTTCTGTTGATGTTTGTGGTACTAATAAAAAACATATAGCATTAAATTCATGAATAAATTACAGTTGCAAGATAGTCTTACAATTCTTTCAGACTGAATAAGTGGATGTTCAATGGTAGTTTGAGCTACAGCTGAGAAACCACTCATCATCATATTAGGCACCTCAAAATTGGGGTCTTCAGAGTTAAAGCCCACATTGCCCAATTGGGGCTTTGGTTTAACTGAAGGCAATGCAAAACTCTAAAAATAAAAGATAAGGATATAATTATTGCAATATTATTGCTGATTTGATTCTTATACATACCATTTTGTAATGTTTTCGTGAATTAAATAAACGAAGAGTTGTTTTAAAACTGACGACTAATGCTGCCGGGTTATGAATTGACAGCGGTTGACATTGACAGAGTACACAGTAGTTAGAGATTTTTTGTAGCGCTGCCACCAAAACAGGAGTACCAACCAAAATAAATTTAGCGCCGATATAAATTTCTAACCTGTTGCACTTTTATATTCATGCAGTAGCATCAAAATCATAACCAAAGTAAGTTATCTATTTATTTAATTTAATAGTATAGCCATTCTTACCTACATTGTTTAGTTTTTCATTACAATCTCAACGCCCATAACTACAAGGTAAAATGTCGGTGCGGGTAGTAAATTCGCCAGATAATGTGTTTGAATCGGACACAGATATTAGTTCAGTAATGGATTCATGTCAATTTCTTAAGAAAATCATTCCCACGGCAATGGCGACTATCTTATATCGTCGCTGTGAGTTTGATCCTAATTACATTAAAAAGCGAACGGTTCGTGAAGTTCCATACGTGGGTTTTCGCTCAACCATTCCAAAGCAGCATTGTGCTTATAAACTACTTGCATATTCAAATATATTTGAAGGACTCATTGAAAATAAACAAGTAAGTCTTATATTAAAATTACTTCAAAATGCAAATAAAACATTGAAATTTTTAGTTGAAGGAAGTTTTTATTCAAATTGAAGACCGTGCAACTCAAAAAGTACAAGAGAGATACGTGTTCTCTTTTAACTATTCAACTGATGACGATGATGACACGTGAGTTTTATTGCAAGCTTCAACTTTGAGTTATGTGCTCATAAAATAAACTTTGTTTAAGTCCTGAGGCAAAAAGTCAACTGCAAAGCCAATCAAGATTAAATATTGCTGCGAAATTTTTTGACAAGATTAATACAATTCCTAACAACGAAAAGTATCCAGAGGATTCTATCCAGATTCAAATTGGGTGTCAATTTTATGAAAGTACATAAATTACATAAATAATTAATTACAGTAATTATAATAATTCACTATTGTAGACATTCCAAGAGAGGTTTTAAACCTCAATTTTAAACCAGCTGAAAAGTCAATGTTAAAGTCTTTGATGAGCATTGGTTCCCTGAAGACTAACTTCCATCAAATCCAATTACTGTGCGGATGTGCACCTTCCGAACGCGTACCGAACGAGCAATCTGAAATTCTTGGTGAAGAGTTTGGGTCAGCCCAAAGCAATGAATTTGCCGACCTGCATGAGAATGTGGATTCGCAATTATTACAGCCCATACGAGTCCATACGCCAAAACCCAGGTCTAAGATTATTAAAAAGATGTTAAAGCGGCGCTTGGTGGATGGGTTGGAGCCATTATATTCTCTTACAAAATCTAAACGGCTGGGTATTCAAACCCCATCTACATCTGGACACTCTGGATCCGATTTGTTCTCCGATGATTTATGTAAGTTAAATTAATCAATATAGTAATTATTTTAATTTTATTTCTGTTATTTCAGCTGAAAATTAGTAAGAGGGCCAAGGAAATATTATTTATTTAAAATTTAAACTTTTAATGTGAAACTTTACTTCACCAAGTGAATAAAGTTGCCTATGTTATAAATTTATACTTTGCAAGCAATGTACATGTAGTAAACATGTTATAAACGTCAGAAAGAGTGTAGTTGATATCATCTTAGATTCTAATATGTTATAAACAAAATATATGAATTAATAAACGTTTAAACCATTATAACAATGGATGCTTATACATTACCCACCGAGTTTGATGTTATTGTAGTTGGGACAGGTATGAAATTCATAAAATTACTGAGAATTTTGTTATAAAATGTATGAATAGGTTTGGTGGAGTCAATTGTATCAGCTGCAGCAAGCAGAGTAGGTAAAACTGTTCTGCACATCGACAATCAACCCACCTACGGCGGTGATTGGGCTTCTTTTAATTTGGAAAACATACAACAACTGCCTAAATTATGTGAAGATAGAAAAGATACAGAGACAGCTGGCCTCACATGTCATGTCGGAACTCGAAGTGAAATCAAAGATGTTCAAATTCAATGGCATTGCAAAAATGAATCACCAAAGTAAGTATATTGCTATTGTATATTACTACTCAAAACATATAAAATTTAATAAAATTATAATCAGCAATGAAGAAATGAATGCATCAGGAGATTGCAAATCATTGAAATGGTGCAGGGAAACACTACTAGCAAAATCAAACAAATTCATCTTCGATCTAGCACCAAAACTACACTTTGGCAATGGTGGCTTAGTACAATTACTGATATCTTCTAATATAGCAAGATATACCGAATTTCGTAGCGTTTCACGTATTATGGTCTATTTTGAGGGCAAATTAGACGTTATTCCATGCTCACGAAATGATATCTTTTCCAACCCGAACGTAAATGTAATCGAAAAACGCCTTCTTATGAAATTTTTTACTTCACTCAACGAAGATGGTGATAAAGCATTTGAAAACATTGAAGGAAAGACATTCAAAGAGTTTTTACAAGAGAAACAATTGACACCCAAATGTATTCATTATATAATTCACGCCATTGCGATGACAACACTGGATGAACCTTGTTCAACTGGTATTGAAAAAGTGAAACGTTTTCTTAATAGTCTGGGCAGATTTGGCAAGACGCCGTTTTTGTATTGTATGTGGGGTAGCGCTGAAATCCCACAATCGTTCTGTAGAATATCTGCAGTTTTCGGCGGAGTTTACGCCTTGAATCAACAATTGAAAGAGTATAAGTTTGATGAAAACGATAATTTCAAAAGTTTAATTTGTGGTGAGCAGGAGATAACTGCTCAGAAGTTCGTTACTGGCGTAGGAAGTAAAGTTGGTAACAAAGAGCAACCGGAAGAGTATATTGCAAGGTGTATATTGATTACTGATGAATCAGTTCTGAAGACTGATAGTGAAAACTTGTCCCTAATTTTGTTTCCATCTGAAGATGGTTTGGAAATGTGTTATATTATTGAGGCTGGGCCAAGGACAGGGACAACTTGTGAGGGTGTTTGTAAGTATAAACATATTACGCGCTTTTAAAAGCGTTAAATTTGTTTAATTATTATAGATTGCGTGTATATGTTTATGAAACAAAAAACGAATGCGAAAGATGATCTTAAGTACTTCGTTGATAAATTATTTGGTACTGAAGATAATGCACAAGTTCTGTGGTCTTGTTACTTTTCAATGCCGGTGGGAAAAGATTTCGAAACAATAGGAAATAATGGTTTTCTTTGTCCTGGACCAGATATGGATTTAGATTATGATGGATCTATTGAACAGGTATATAAAAATCTAAATAAATTCAGGGTAATCATATTTTTATAAATTATTTTGCAGGCTAAAGCGATATTTAAGTCAATGTATCCTGACGATGAATTTTTACCACGCGCACCAGACCCAGAAGAGATTATAATTGGTGGTGACGATGAAGAATCAAACGAGTTGACAGAAGAAAGCGAAAATCAATCGGTGTCACTCACTCAACCAAAGGAAGATGCTAATAATATTGCAGAATAATTATAACTGTAAAGAAATGCTTTTATTTTATCTTAGTTTAAAAACTGATCGTAATAAAGTATAAAAAGCAATGTTTGGATTATATGCAAATTTATTATTCTAAAAGAGAGTAAACAATTAGATACAGCATGTGGTCATCAACATTGTAAGTGTGGGAAAGTTTAAGTGCGGGCTGTAGGCTTGACGATGCGGTCGTTGAAACGAATTGTGCAATCCTGAGCTCTCATGTTAGGCGTAAGGAATTGTTGCAAGGTGTCGACGCCATCACGTGGCATCCTGTCGAATGGATAGCCCATCGAACGTCTATCAGGATACAGCTTATCCTTAATACCGCAATACGACTCTGCGTCATTACAGAATCCATCAATCTGTTGGTTAACGCGATCATCCTCAAAGTTGGAGACCATCACAAAGATCTGCGCGGTGAAGCCTTCAGGGCTACCCTTAGGGATGAGCATATGCGCTGGCCAGCCACAACCACAGAAGTTGAATTGCGCCAGGGCGTCCCCACCAGTTGGGCGGTTGTTGTCCAAGTTACGGAAAGAGCGCTCAAATGGAATGGTCACCGTTGATTGATTAGAGTTACGTGTGATTGTGTTCATTCCTTGTTTCACTATAAATAAATTTAAAACATTATAACAATAATCAAATTAGTAGAAGGGAATAAAATCGCTTACAGTTAACGCGGAATTTGTCCAATTCAATGAAGAGAGTCTTCTGATCACGGAACAACCACGGGTTGCCCCTCTCGTCAAACTTGGGTGCCATGAAGATGCGGCATGTGCCCATACGCGCTTGACCTTGATTGTTCACGGTGATATTGTAGGTGAATGGTTGATGCTGCAAGTGCGTGAACCGTGCGAAGACTGATCCTCTGGGCTGGAAGTCCATACCACGAGACAAATCAATATCGGACTGCTGCCAGAAAGTGTTGATCACATTGGCTGTACCTCCACGTGCCTTGATTTCAATGTCTTGCACGGTGACACCAGGGTAATCCAACTGGGCGACGGTGTATCTTGGAAGAGTAGCTTTGTAGTCCTGGAATAAGTTATCGACGTACGCATGCCATCTGTAGAAGATAGGATCACGCATGGCAGTAGCAGAATCACCCATGACACCGAATGATTCAAGATGGCGATGGTCTGGATCATGAATGTACGAGATGAATACATGGCCCATGTTGTGCATGTCTCCATAGAAGTTGCGATTGGGTGACAAAATACTAGCCTCCACGATGTTACCCAAAATATCAATGCCTTCATTTTCAGTAAGTTGGATCTGTTGGCCATTTTCGCCGTTGACGAAACCAGAGTGGATGGCGGCATAGATGCGATCACGCCAGCGCACCATATCATCAACGTCGATTTTGATCTGATCGACTTCACGGTTGAGGTTTTGAATCCTCTGGTTGGCTACTCTTGATGGCCAAGCGCGGCTGGATACCAAACTGTCGAGTTTAGGGAAGTACGCTTCTTCAATCGGCGCTTTCCATTCAGTCCAACGTTCGACGCGTTTCATTTTATTACAAAGTCGTTCAAAGTTGTAGCGGGCGATGATCTGTTGATGCATGTAGTAGAACAATTCACCGCGACGATTCTTGTCTACAACTGTACGCGCTGCTTCGAAGGGGTAGACCAAATGCCAATGCCAATGATGAAGATTGATGCCAAGATCTTCACGGAAGTAAGCCAAACGATGTTCGAATTCCAAGTCGGAGGCGGTGTAATCACGGGGAATCTCAATAGGTTGCTGTTTACAAAACATAAATTAACAATAACAATAAAATATTTAAACAATATATACCCTTGATCCAGCTGGTACAATGGTGGCTTCTTCACGAGCCCGGGACAACACCCGACTATCAACATATTTGTCCGGGAAAGACGCGATGAAACTTGGCAAGTCCAAATCTTGAGTGTCTTTTCTGTGTAAAATGGCGACGGATAAAGCATAGTTAAACATGTAGGGATTGACGCGGTCACGAGCATAGAGTGCCATAGATTGCAACTCGTCAACGTTTCGCATTCCTAGGAAAATGTCGATCATGCGACCGGCTAATTTCCTATGCTTGGGAATAAACAGAGAGAAGTTCTCTTGACGACCAAGATCAAGAATTTCTCCCAATGGCGGCAGAGAAATTTCGGTGACGGGAATTTTATTGCCTTCATCTTCGCCGAAGCGGTTGACGATTTCAGCACCAATTGGTTTGTAGCGATCCGACTATTAAAACATTTAAAAAATGTGTTATAATTTATTTATTATGATTTATTATTTATTTTGTCTTACCAAGAAACTTTGGGGAACGTCAAACTTATGGCTGACATCGGTGGCGTCCTTCTTGACCATGAACGAAGGCTCCTGGGGGCGATCGAACATCAACAGAAGATTTTGCTTCTTGTCAGTCATTTTCACAGAAAATTGAATATTATTTCAATGAAATAATTTGGATATGCCGAGAGGTACTCTTGGCGAAGTCAGTGGGTGAACTGATGTCTTTTCCCTCGCCAAATCTTGCTTTTATACTAAATAATTTACCGCAGGAAATTGATAAGGAATCGCACATTATTATTCGTACCCTGAGAGGAAATGTGTGGTTTTGCATGTAGGTACCATTGCGGTGGTCAGAACTTATTATCTTCAAGTTTTCATACATTTTTCTAGTTTTGTATACAAAATGTTAATTTTATTTTGATATTCCAAAAGTTTTTTGGAGTTTTATGCTAATCTACAATATGATTTGTAGAAATTCTCATCATTTCTATTTCCTGTTGACAAATTAACACATTGTAACAAACAGGATCTAAACTTGTCATGTCCGTAACGACAAACAAATTGATAAGACCTGTGTGTTGGTTTTCTGATACGAAAAAAGTTAGTCAACACAATCGGTGTATATTTAATAAATCAAAAGTGCATTTGCTCTTGTTACATAAAATAAATCAATTTATTGACGTTCTTTAACAGTATTACAAAGCATCCAATCATCCAATAAGCCTAATTGAATTAAATCCTGACCAGCTTCCATGAAAATATTGGATACGTACTCGTATGTTAGTCATGTTCCGGCGATGCGCTCGATCACAACAATCGCGATATAAAACAGACCAGGTAGGCAAATATTTCAAGTTTATTGGATAAATTAATTCACTTTGTGCCGGGGCGCATATTGTGTGGCAGCCACTTAAAAATAGTTGTTAACGATGTCACGTGTGCAGCCAATTCATTTGGCTTTGTACTTGACCGTGAAACTCGCTGAAATGAAAAATATGTACTTTGTTTGAAATATGAATTCGTTTGATCATATTCACAGCCTTCAAAGTGCACGTGAAACAAATATGTGTTGTCCTCTTGTTACGCGATGAGTGACAAGTGAGTCATGAAAGGATACTTTCATAATTGATTTGTTGGGTCATTTCTAATTGGCATTGGGTGTCTGGTGAATAGAAATGATATTGAACACTAACTTATTCTTCAAAACATTGTACGTGGATATACAAACGAAAACCTTAAAACTGCGCAAAATTTACTCAAAAATTCAATTGTGTATTTTCTATTGATATAACATGCCCACTCAGACTATTTTGCTTTAATCTCTTTTATATTTCCTGTTTACTTCTAGATTTCATTTTTTGATAGCACAGAAATTTTCTCACGATGTGCAATCGCCATTTTATTCCCTAAGGTTCAAAATAAGCAAAATACAACTTCACTACAGTTTACCAAGCAGTCTATTCTCAATGCCTATTCCCTGTATTAACACATTATCCATAATTGTTTTTCATTTATGTAATAACTCAATTTGAATATCATTGATTTTCAAATTTACCACTCACAATTCTCCTAGCGCCATCTAATCATCTCCCAGTCCTTCAAGTTGTGTGAGTGTTGTGTTAGTGCACGAGTCTAGCAAACACAGCAAGTAAATGCGCGCTTCTCGTTTGTGATTCGCGTATGGGCCATTCAGTATGTTTTTTTCCGCCGTGCAGATTAGATATCCGATGGCGATTAGCACACATGCTACCGATATCGATGTTACAGCGATATAAATTGTTCCAGCTCGCCCTCGGATTGAACGCGAGTGCATAAACAAATGAACTAGTGCCATGTACTTTTAATATTCTTATAACTAAAAACGTATGTATGATGTACAATATAAATTACGCGATCCAAATTGGGGCAGTGCCTGTTATCATATTTCATATTTCTATTGTTTCAGGTAACTTGTTATCAAAATGACGAAAAAGTTCGAGTTCGATTGGCAAATTCCCGTGCCAGAGCCGTTGCTCACCGGCTGCGTTGTTGATCGCTGGACAGAAGTAAAGGACGAAACCGAATTGGAAAAGAATGTTATGTTCAAAGTGGATGAGTATGGCTTCTTCATATACATGAAAAGCGACAACAAGGTATTATATTAATATTTCAACATGTCTAAGATATATACATTATAATAAACATTACATGAATTGTTTATTGGTTCAGGATGGAGATGTGATTGAGCTGTGCCAAGTGTCTGACATTCGCGCGGGCGGCGTACCAAACGATAAAAAACTGCTCTCCTTGCTGCAAGGCAAACATGGCAACAACTTGGATGAGAAGTCGCTCACGATTTGCTCCGGCACCGACTACATCAACATCAACTATCAACACATTGTCTGCCCAGATGCTGAAACAGCAAAGGTAAATATTACCACCTATAATTTTGCAGTATTTTATAGATAGCATGCAGAGTATAGGCATGATCTTCTCAACTTTACAACTGTATTGATTAACAAGTTTAAACATGACCAAAATGTGTGTACATTAAAGGTGTGGTTGGATGGTTTGCGAAAGATTACACATAATGTCAAAGCGAATAACTTCTGTCCCATGACTTGTTTGAAGAAGCAGTAAGTTTGATGTTTTATGTCCAACGTGCATGCGACGCAATTTGCAACTACATTTTGATTGACGATTTATTTCTGCATGTCCAATGTGTGGTGACTTTTCTACTTCTCTTGTGAGACTGGTTTTATTTTTGCATGTCTGTACATAGACCTGGCAGGCGGGTTTGCGTAAAATTACACATAACAATAAAATCACCAATATTTGTGTACGGACTGTTTTGATGAAGCAGTAAGTTTGATTTTATCGTGAATAATCGAAAGCAATTCACTCACTCATCACGTAGATAAATCTAGAGTAAATATTTAAGTTTTGTTTATGGCAGTTGACCTTCATATTTCAAATAACCATAATTCGCTTCTCGCTTAAATCTTTTTGCTTGGCACGTTTTTGTATTTATTACTTTGGTGACGGGACAATTTTTATTGAGAATTAATTAGTTTTGCCGAACATAGAATGTTGTAACTTTTACATATTGCATCATTTCATAATCTAAATATCAAAAAACCCGTTTTAGTTGGATGCGGCTGGGTTTTATGGTTGATCCAAAAGGAAAAGTGCCGGTAAAAGTTGTCGCTAAAACATTCGCGTCTGGAAAAACCGAAAAATTGGTTTACCAATGCTTGCTTGAGATGAATTTACCCAGCGGCAAGAACGACGTGATGGAAAAGGAAGACTTCACGTTTGATAAGTTTTACGCGTTGTATCACAAAATTTGTCCTAGAAACGACATTGAGGAGTTATTCAGAGAAGTGTACGTTATAAATTATTACCTGTGTTAGCATTCTTGTTATAATTTGTAAATTTAGTTCAAAAGGTAAAGAATTCATCACCTTGGAGCCATTCATCAATTTTCTTAACGATAAACAACGCGATCCACGCTTGAACGAAATTTTATACCCGTTATACGATGAAAAACGCGCTTCAGAAATTATTGCCACCTATGAGCAGGATGAAACCATGCGCACGGAGAATAAACTCACCAAAGACGGATTGATACGTTATTTAATGTCGGATGAGAACGCTCCAGTATTCCTTGATCGATTGGACATTTACATGGAGATGGATCTACCACTATGCGCGTATTATATTAATTCTAGTCACAATACGTATTTATCTGGTAGGCAATTCGGTGGCAAGTCGTCTGTGGAGATGTACCGCCAAGTTTTATTGGCTGGCTGTCGCTGCGTTGAGTTAGATTGTTGGGATGGTAGAGGTGAAGATGAAGAACCGATAATCACCCATGGTAAGGCAATGTGTACGGTTATATTGTTCAAAGATGTTATCTATGCGATTCGTGACACTGCGTTTGTTACCTCTGAGTATCCAGTGATTCTTTCATTCGAGAATCATTGCTGTAAAGTCCAGCAATACAAAATGGCCAAGTATTGTGATGAAATTCTTGGGGATTTGTTGATGACTTCACCACTGGATGATTTTCCTTTGGAGCCAGGTCAACCATTGCCACCACCATGCGCGTTGAAGAATAAGATTTTGATTAAAAACAAACGCCTGAAGCCTGAAGTTGAAAAACAAGAATTGGAGTTGTTCCGGCAGGGCCAGTTTGTAATCGAAGACGATGTCAAAGAGGATGCTAGTGCTCCCGCAGCGGATAGGCCTGTTCCGCCTGATATACCCGCAGAGGTTCCTGCCCCTGATGGAGTTCCTCCTGATGGTGATGCGCCTGCTCAGATACAATACACTGGATCTACCACAAATGTTCATCCGTGGTTAAGTTCCATGGTTAATTATGCGCAGCCTGTGAAGTTTCAAAGTTTTGAACATGCCGATAGTAAGTTTATTTTTTCTCTGATATAATTCTTTTATTTATTTAATTATTATGTGTTTATAGAGAAAAATATCCATCACAATATGTCGAGTTTTTCTGAACCTGCTGGTTTGAACTACCTTAAAACACAGGCGATTGAATTTGTTAATTATAACAAACGACAAATGTCGCGTATTTATCCCAGCGGTACCCGAGCAAACTCTTCGAATTACATGCCGCAAGTATTCTGGAATGCTGGATGTCAAATGGTTTCATTGAACTTTCAAACTTCTGATTTGCCAATGCAATTGAACCAAGGAAAATTCGAGTATAACGGAAATTGTGGTTATTTATTGAAGCCAGATTTTATGCGCCGTTCAGACAGGGTTTTTGATCCGTTTGCTGAGAGTCCTGTCGATGGTGTTATTGCCGCACAATGTTCAGTCCGAGTTATTGCTGGTCAGTTCTTATCGGACAAAAAGGTAATACATATTATGTTTTAAACAAATTAATATTAACCACTTTATTTATTCTTTTATTTCAAAAGGTGGGAACTTATGTCGAAGTGGACATGTATGGTTTACCAACAGATACAATTCGTCGTGAGTTTCGCACTCGTATGGTACCTATGAACGGTTTGAATCCTGTTTACAATGAGGAACCATTCCTCTTTCGTAAAGTTGTCTTGCCCGATTTAGCTGTGTTGCGTTTTGGTGTGTACGACGAGAATGGCAAACTGCTTGGTCAACGTATTCTTCCTTTAGATGGTTTACAAGCAGGTTTCAGGCACATTTCTCTGCGTACTGAAGCCAATTTTCCTATGTCCCTTCCGATGTTATTCTGCAACATCGAGTTGAAAATCTATGTACCTGACGGCTTTGAAGATTTCATGGCCGCGCTTTCAGATCCCCGAGGTTTTATGGGTGCCCAGCAGAAACAGAACGAGCAAATGTCTTCAATGGGCATTGAAGTCACGGACAACAAAATGGACCCAACCAAAGGCGATAAAAAAGAAGAAAAGAAGGAGGAGCCGCTTGTCTTTGAACCTATTACTATTGAATATATTCGACAGGATAAGGGTTTCCAGAAAACTACTAAAAAGCAACAAAAAGAGTTTGAAACTCTCAAAAAGAAACAAAGTAAAGAAAAACTTGCCATGCAGAAAACTCAATGTACCTCTATCGATAAACTAATAAAAGGTAAGGATAAAAACGAGTTGGTGAATGATCCAGGTGTTCGAAAACTCGTCAAGGAGCAAACAATTCAGTGGAGCGAGTTGATGGAGAAGCACCGCAAGCAAGAATGGGAATATCTCCGCACGCAATTGGACGAACAGCGAGATGTACTCCGAAAACACATGGAGTTAATCCAACTGTCACAAATGAAACAACTTGAAGCAAAACAGGAGCGTGAGATGAAGGAAATAAATGCTCGACAGGCAAAAATTTCGGTTGAGACTAGTCGTGAGATCAACAATGATAAAACACTAAAAACCAAACAGGAGAAGGAACGCCGCCTGCGCGAGAAACAACAGAACAATACGAAGAAGTTCGTCGACGAGCGTAAAAACATTACCATCAAACAAGCCAAAGAAAAGGATAAGTTGAAGATTAAACATGACAAGCAATTGGAGATGTTGTCGCACGACATACAGAAATTGATTGAGATGTACAAAACCGAAGAGATCGAGTATGACATGTCTGGGAAAACGGAATTCTTCGCCTAAATTAAGCACATTAGAAGCACGCGTAGCGGACATCTCAATTAATAATTCGAATATTTGGACCAAATTACTTTCGAATTTCTAGCGATAACGTACATATATTCGTATTAAATCAAACCAAAGATATATAAAGAAATATTTGCGCCTATTTAGAGCTCCACTTAAAACTATATTTCGGCCTCGGAGAAAATTACTATTTTATTCGTCATAAATCGTCATTAATTAGTATGTATTGATATCTATTGAAAAAAAAAATGGTTGTTGTGATTTTAAACTTATATTTTATCTCGTGGATCAACTAAAATGTTATTAAGAAATATTACTAAAAGGGTAACAATTAGTATTTGACCTGATTTAATCATTGTCTTTATTACTCTGTAAGTTCATGAGAGAATATTTATTAATGTTGAGAAAATAGATTCATTATTGTGGAAATGTTTGTCCTTTATAGATATGCAACCAGTATTACGTATAACATCAAAAATATGCTTGCCAACTTGACTTTATGTCAATTTAACAGACTTTTGTGTTTCTAGAACATTCTAACTGTAGAAGACAAGTCTTTTGTATCTTTATGTTAAAAACTGATGAAAAGGACGAATTTAGGGGCTCCTGTTCTCCCACCAATCAAATCGTCGCACTAGACTTTTCTCGATGGTTCTCGAAATCACTACGCGAGCAGCGCCACATTGGTAAATAAACAATTCAGAAGAGACCATTCCGAAGTCAACCTGCAGGAATAATACACATTTTCTTGTCTTAAATCGTCAAATATTAATAAAAAATTCGTTCAAAGTTTACAAAAATATACGATAAACGTTCCGTTAGCAAGTGGATTCACATTGTACGCTTCACGATACGGTTTCGACCGTTTTTCAACGGCCGCGAGTCGATACTTTCAGAATGACTGGTGATCCTAACCAACAATCTCGACCGAATATTTTTGGAGAAGACTACAACTATCCTGCACCAAATCCCGAGTGGAATCGCTTCGCCGGCAACAATTTCTACATGCAATCGAACTTCCCGTTCTGCTCAAATTTTGGCCCTGCGCCCGTGACATTCCCACTGCACAGCAGTAACAAAAATGGCAACTGCTTTGGCCCAATTTACAACTATCAAGCCAACAGCACTAATGTTTTCACGCCGCCTGTTAATACATCCAGTTATAGTCATACAAATGCATCCCAGCAGTCTGCCATGGCCCAACAGGACAGAATCAGGTTCAAGAGAAAAACAGATTCACCATGGTATAGTAAACTAATAATTATCAAAAAAGTAAAGTTTTACTAACTATTTTTTAACTTTTAGTCACATCATAACTAAACAACATATCACTGAAGAAAAAATGGCTGAACACATGAGTAAGCTACACATAAGTTCAGAGACACCAGTGAGAAATGAAAGTGAAGCAGATCTATCAAAAAGGCTGTACATGTGTGAGGAGATGAAAAAGCTGCAGACTGATTCTATACTGCCTGAATCTCTACTGAATAGACTCCAGAGGCCTTGCACTGCATTAGTATTATGGCAACCACCACCTAGGCTTGTTCCACCAGTTCCACAACAGAATAATTATGAGAATGACAACAATAATGAAGAGGAGGTGCCTGACCAGAATCTGATGGATTTAGTTTGATAAGTTTTATGAGTGAAAATAATTTACCCTTAATTAAAATTGTTGACATTGATTGAATTTTTCAAAATCAAAATGAGTTTGTGCTTAATACTTTAAGAATGTTTGAAAAATTTGTCTATATTATTTATGTGTTTGATAATTCAGCTTGTATTGTTGCTAATTATCTCATCCAACAATGTTTGTCTTTTTAATTTAATGCTCTTTTGTACATAATGATAAAAATGTAATACATGTTTTATGCAAGTTCTAAGGAATAAAATATTAATGATAAATTTCCTTCAGGCGAGTTAAAAACATGTTAAAAACTGTTTTGGGAGTCAATTTTACATAAATTTTGACAAACAACATAAAAAGTAGTTAAAAGACATAGTTTAATGTAAAATTTAAAATACAAATTGCCATTTTTGTTTGTTATTCAATGCAACGTAAAAAACTCGTTTTTTTTCGAGTTTTGCGCATAAATATTTCAAATTTGCGCTCTATTGTAAGCAAAACTTAGTGTCAAGGACATATTTTTAAAATATCTCCTATTTTATATATTTAATGAGGAATTTAGCTTACAATTTGTAAATTTTCTTTGTTATTCAAGACAATGTGTAAAAACTCATATTTTTACATGTTTTGCGCATAAATTTTGCAATTTGCGCTCTATGTGGCCGAAAACTAGTGTCAAGGCCATAGTTTTAAATTTTCAACAACGCCTTTCGACACAAGCACACACTGATAGGCTAATGATCAGCGCGCTGCGGTCCGCATGAAATATTACTGATATAACACACTAACCAAACCCGAGTCTTGTAGTAGCGCGGCGCGGCACTGCGTGAAGATTCGACAATGTGTGCGGTGCCGGGACCGCAGCACGCAAGCGCGCTCGCGCGCAGTTGCTGGCCAGCTAGCAGCGAGCACCAGCATGGCAGCTGGCGCGCAGGGTGGTGTAATAACTTACACATATTTTATTATTTATAAGCCTCCAACTCGGCGCCAAGACGAAAACGGTGTGCTCGTGATGTCGTCGCCGTGCGTTTCCTGATCGCGTCGTTGTCCGGCATTTGCTCAAACGCGCCGAGATGTACGCTAAAAGGTGAGTGTCGAGTGTTTTTCTCACATTCAATTCACAATGCAACAATGTGTATGTATACTTCCATGCACACACACACACATAATATACAACTTTGTCACAAAACCGCGATACATTTGTTTACTTTACATCAAAATGCGCTGCGGATATTAAGTATGCAGTTATGTTTTAAAAGTTTTTGCTTCGTGTGGGGCACGTGGAATGATTTTTTCGTGGGCTCGAAGGTTGTGTGCGTAGGTTAACCGATTTTTTCTCGTTTGTATGTTATGCGCTCAATGTGTGGTGCGCATAATAGCCGGGTTTATGTGTGCACTGTAGGCTGTGTCACTTGGGAGGTTATATTTGACCTACATAAATAATTGGCTCTTTTTTGTTTTGCTTCGCGTGAACATCTTGGTCGTGTTTTTTAGGTGCACAGTTCCGTGTGAGTGAATATTATGAGTAGCATTGGAATTGTCACGTTGTTTATTTAATTTGATTAGCGCCACACCCTGTACATTCTTCACGCATTCATTACCAACTTAGTAATGCACAACGCCTTCGCCTTCAACTTAGCCGATTCGCGTGAGTGTACTGTACTAGCTTGTAGCTTGTTATCGTATTTTGTATGTGGACTATGTGTGTTGGCTACTGGTTTATCCAATATCAACAATTACCAAAGGTTTCTCGAAAATTAGTGTTGTCACTTCGCACAGTCAACAAGTTTGTCGCCTCATCACACGTTGACTTATCTAGCAGTGTAAACGCGGATGAAGCCTTGTGTGGACGTGGGAATGCTGCAGGAGGCGTTCGTAAGTAAGAACAAATAAATAAGTTACTTACGAAATGCACACGCTTTTAGCGCGCCAGGGTTTCGAGTTCCACGTGTGGGAGAGACAGGCGTCGTATCTGCTTTCCTAAATAATGCCCCAATTTATTTCGCTTCACTAGACCCACTTTTTTTACTCTTTTTTTCTGTGTTTTTGAAAGTACAATTTTACTGCAGACATTATAAAGTTAAAAATTTCAGAAAATCGAACTTTACTTATTTAAACTTTTAGTATAACAATGAAAACAACAAAATGCTTATTCTAAAGGATGTAGAATTTAACTGAGAATGAATTTCTGAAAGAATTATAAGTTTAGTTCTAATAGTTTTTGGGTAATTAGCTTTTTATTAAACGTAAATTTTATACAATCGAAGTTCAATTGTTCATAACTTTTGAGGTATTAATTTATACAACAAAGTATTTATTCTGGGGATGCAGAATTTAATAAAAAATGAATTTATGAATGAATAATTAGATTTACGCTCATAGTTTTTAGGTAATTCGCTTTTTAATTAATTTAACTTTAATAGTTTATAACTTTTTATCTAATAATCTATATAACAAAGTATTTATTCTGAGGGATGTAGAATTTAATTGAGAATCTATTTTTGAAATAATAATATGTTTTCCTTAAATAACTTTCGAGTAATTAGCTTTTTACTAAAGTTAAATTTACACAAAGACTTCATCTTTTGGAAAATTAATTGAATCATAAAAAGTGCCGTTTTTATTGATACCTCCACTAAAGGGGACTTATGTAAATGCACAAATTCCCAGTCGAGGCATCAATTTCGCTAGCCATGGCCTCGGCGTGTCCCCCAAGCACTCCGTCAATTAATTAATTGATGGCAATTGGATGCACCTTTTTAACGTTATTTAACCTTTTGAATATTTCGTTATTAGCACTCTGGCACTTCTGAAATCGAATCGGCGTCGCCGCCGTCATCGCCGGCGCCGCGATATCGTCACGTCTATTGTTGTTTTCTGCATATTCATGCCACCCCTCGCCGGGGCGTCCATTGATTTCAGCCGGCGTCGAGTATAAACAATGCGGAAACGTAGGCGGCGTGTGTGCGCTAGAGCCAGCTACATTTATATAGTTTCATGGCTGTTGTATTAGATCCCTTTAATACAATACATTATGGGGGTGCTTACGGCGAGATTGCGTACTGCGCTCGGGATGCGTACACATGCAAAAACAGCGCTCGCGCGCCCTCATAATGGCCGCACAAGAATACTAAAAGCATTATTGTATACCTATCAAAAGTTTGTTAACACTTTAGCACGCCGTGTTTCAGGCCTTATAAATTTACAACTTCTACGTGCGCGCATTGTTCGCGCGAAGGGGGCGGGGGCGGTGGGTGCAGCTATTCAAAAGTGGAACTTCATTATAATCTTATAAATTAAACTTGATTAATGCAATATTTTGCGTATAGGGCTAATATTTACTTTGGGTTGTTTGAAAATTGGTTTAAATATAAGTTTTTCACTAGAATATCGCTCAATAGTTTCAGTTAATAATTAATAACTCGCAAACTAATTAAGTTTTATTATTAATTCTTTTGGGAATCGATTTAGCAGTTAATTACGAGTTAAATTGTGAAAAGATTTTTATAAATAACTATTTTTTACTCGGAATTAGAGACAAATTTGTGTTAAAATTAAATTTGTTTAAAAATCTAACTTTAATTGTTTATAACTTTTAGTATAATAATCCAAACAACAAAATGTTTGTTCTGAGGGATGTAGAATTTAACTAAGAATGTATTTCTGAAAGAATTATAAGTTTAGCTCTAATAGTTTTCGGGTAATTAGCTTTTTACTAAAGGCACATAATATAATTCCAAATACACATTGCGCTCCATCAGTTTTTAAAATTTTATCAACTTAATAGCGAGGGATTTGTCCGGAGTTAGTTAATTGAAAAAGTTTACGCTTTCGCACGCTTGCACGAGCTTGTTGTCGTCTTTTAATGGCGTTTGTTTTGGGAGTCTTTTCGACGAATGGCTTAACCATCCAGTTTATACCACCCCAATGGAGCATCTTCACTTTTTTCCGTTTGAAAAAAGATCTAAACTCGAGCCTGAAGCATATGCGCCACCGGCGTCGACGCTCGGCGCGTTCGTACACACACAGTTTGAAAGCGATTTGTTTTTAAATCGTCGATTTAGCCGACTACCCATAACGTTGTCGAGATTAGATTGGAGACGCTTCCATGGAGGGCTAATAACAAGAGTTACAACTGCGCGCGCGCCTGCCTTACGAGCGCCTCTTTAGTGATTTTTATTTGGGCAATCCCCCATCGGGGCAACAAAAATTTAAATTTAAATTAGTGCTCGTGTACTCACTTAATTTGATACGTCAACGGAAAATTGTGTGTGTGTGTATGTATATGCTTACGTTGGCGAAAAGTCGGGCCTTGTTCGCGCACTTCATTTTATTGGCTTTTTCTTTTGTTACAGACTCGATGTTTGCAACTTTTGCAGTTTTCTTCTCGTAAAACCGCACCGCCCCGAGAGCGCTGCCAAGAAAATGTATAAATAACTACGTAGAAATTTCGGTGAGTGTATTATTATTATGATTTATGCCTATGCCACCCTGCCAGTAATTCAAAGTGTGCGTCGAGCAGTTAATTGCTTCTTATTCGCTTATAATGAACGAGGGCGCGCGCGAGCGAAAAGTCAAAATTCAGTTTTGTGAGCGGCTGTAATGAGGCACCCCCTTGGGCTATTAAAAGTCTACGGTCGCAAAAACGCAGATCCGAAGAAGGACCGACCTTTCACTCGCCTAAATCAATACTGAGTTTTCATTAAACTGCTATAATTTAGGGCTTAGCCCGGCGCGTCCACCACAGGCCGTGCACGGATGAATTTTGAGTGTGCGGAGATTGTGGAAATTGTTGCTGCCGCACCACCATCGGCCGGCTAAAATCTAATAAATAAATTTTGCTCTCGCATGTCCGCCGGATCGGACCTCGGCGATCAGGAGGGTTTTATCCTCGGCAAACCTGTGCGTGGTGGGGAAAAAAGATTTATACGGAAAGTTTATTGGATTGCGATCGGATTTATTTGGTTTTTGCTTTGGTGCAAGTCTTTTCCGCTTCGGAAAATCGGTCAATTCCAACACACGGTTTATAATTTATTTAAAACCCACTCGTGGCTAGATGAAACTTGCGTTTGTGGTGATATTTAAATTTAAAAAATAGATTTTAATTCAGATTTGCATTTTTCATCATTGCCTATTCTAAAATGCAAATGCGTGAATATTTTATCGCTGATTATTATATTGAACAAAAGGCAATAAAATATTGAAAAGTTTTTATTCGAACAAATATTTGAAAGTAATATATTTTAACCCTCTTTTAATTAAAACAGTATTTATATACTGGCCGACCGCATCCATATATTCTTCCAGTTTTTCCAGTCCGCATTCATTTTGGACCAGTTGTGCTGCTGCCTGCCTCGGAGGCAAACATTGAAAAATGTCGGTACGCACAATAAATACATTGCATGGCCACGGCCACCCCTATATTTTTTTCTGCATCTAACTAACTGCGTTGCGAATGTATGCGTCCCGCATGAACCCCTTCATGGCCAGTGCGGCGCGTCCGAATAAATCTACCGGCGAAATTAAAACGCGTCCAAATGGCGTTCGCAACGGCATGCAAAAAATGTGTGAATGCCGGCTATAAAAGTGCTTTACGCGTGAACTGGCTGGACAGGTTTGTCGCGGACGCCAGCATCAAGGGGTGTCAAGCATGGGCGTGCTTTTTTGGTCAAACATTCGCAGCGTTTTGTTGCCGCAAACTTTCGACCGGTAAATATTTGTTTATCTGCTACTTTTTGATGTGAAACGTGCAGATAAAGCACGTTTAGTTAACGGGGTGTGTTTTTTTCCTCTATTCCACCTGACTGGGCCAGAAATTTGTTTGATGCGTTCGATGTGTGTGTGTGCGGCGTTATCCGCAAGACACCCGCAATTTCAAACTCAATATAACTTTCCAATATTCCCGTATGCATAAATATTATATTTTCAACTTTCAACGGCCCAACTAGATACACACACGGTACACTAGACAGCGCGCGCAATTTCCCTGGGAAAAATTCACAACCAGACCGTATTGAGAGGCGCAAAAAGCGCGACGGAGGCGGCGGCGGGAACAAAAGCAAAAAAAATATTAGCTCCCCATATTTACTTCGCAAACGAACGCGAACGTATAAATGCAATAGTAGAAAAAAAATCTACGGTACGCGTCGCTGCTGCCGCCGGTTGCAATGAAGTTTTACATACAACATAATCAACTCCCAACGCACGAAAGTGCATAGTGGTATGTGCAGCTTACGTCCTGTTGGATTCGAATCGTCGCATTAACAATTATTTGACAATTGTCGGACTGGGAGCGACGGTTTTAATTTTATCCATGCGGATTTTTAACTAGATGTACGCAACCAACATTACAACATTGAATATGTTGTCATTTTTTGTGTAAAATTTTAAATATTCTATTGTAAGATTTTATTGGTGTTGTGTGACAATACTAATGCGCTTGCAAAGGGTGAAAACTTCATTGTGAACAGGTTCACCTGGGAGCATAAGTGCTACATATGCACAATGTGCGAAATCGCGCTACGAAACGCGAAAATTTCCAATTAAATTTTTAATTAACACCATTTTAGCGCAAACAAGTGCAGTTTAATTAAATTAATTAAAATCAGAATTGCTGTGTTTTGTGTGTTGTGTGTTTCGAATGCCCGCGCGCGCAGCGATAAATGTATTTTTTCGATTTGTGTTTGCGCCGTCGAGTGCAATTGTATTAACCGGAAAATGACCGGAGCAGAACGTCACTGTTATTGATGTTGATGCACATCGCGCGCAATCACACTAAATTGTGTGTTTTAATGTTTTCAAGTGTTTAACTCTTTTTTGTGTTTAATATAATGAAATTTGCGGAAATTGCGCGAATTAAAATCAGGACTGTCTAGGGATGCATGTATGCATACAAAAATCGTTAGCACGCCGAAGAGGAGCAGGCATAAATCGTGATCGTATCACTCGGTATACGCGCCCCGAACGGCAGAAATGTTGATTGCTATCGAAGTCCTTCGGAAGCAATGTGTGCCAGCCGTACCTACTCGGCTATTCCGAGCGCTCGCATATCACGGACAGGAAATGGCGTCGAGTCCATTGCATTGCCGCCCGGAAATAGAGTCCTCGAGGTGGAGTCCTAATTTTGCCAATTATCTGCTCGTGTGTGTATTGGCGTCATAAAGCAGGACCTCTCGGAACGCTGCGAGCATTTCGATGATTGCATGCCCACTTTTAATCACATACCTGTACCTACCTGCAGATTGAAAATCTACAAAAACTTTGCAAATCCGTTGACCCCTTTACGCTTGAATGTTTTCTACCGATAATAAAAACATCTTTATACGCATCATTATATTTACCATATGATCCGGAACAATTGGCATCGTATGCAAAAAGCGATTTTACGCGTGCGCGCGCACTATTTTCTTTCTTCTCTATTTGTTGTCTATCAAAGCGCGAATCTCGACTGCAGGTAAATTACCCGCTTTGTGCACACACCGACGCGTTCAAGAGCCACTTCGATCGCACGCGCTTTTTATCAGTTTATCATAAAGGACAACGACAACGCCAATGCCGCCGCCGCCGCCTCTTTAACCCTCCGCAGTGCGTGTGACAATGCCCTCGCACGACGCCGGGCAGACACAAAGAGGCGACTTGTATGCGAACATCACGATTTTCCGCCTTTGTCGATTTAATAATGCTCCGAGTGCGCTTATATTGAAAAATGCCGGAGAGTCCTCGATTTTCTTTAGCTTCAGCTACGGCGTCGGCATCGTCTTCTTCTTCTTCTACGCTGTGAGCTTCGATTCCAAGCGAAATAAAATTCGTCTCTTGTTAATCGCCCGAAAGCCGAAAATCCTATTTGCCATGGTCGAAATGAGTTTTCCAGCGGCGGGCGTCCTCGACGGAGCGCAAGGGCCTCTTAAAAATTTTATGTTACAACAATTGAAAACGATTTTATTTCTTTGGCGTATTTTATTGCTTTTTATATTGCGCTGCGAAATGATTTTCGTATTTTGATTTTAATTATGCATTAAAATCGAATCAATTTCGTCGATTTGCATAAAGGGTTTTATGCGCGTCATTAAAATGCGCCAACGCACCTGAACCATCCTCCTACTTCATTGTAAAAGAGGGGGAGAAGAGAGGAAAAAAAAGTTTGGGGGTAAATAATGCGTCCGATTACCCCTATCGCTTATCTCACGGTAGTAAAAAAAGCACCAGGCGCGCCCCTTCAGTTCGGGGGGATGCGTGTGCGCGTGTGTCCTTTTTATTACTGCGTGTCCCAGGGATGCGAAGAGATACTGGCGCGTCGTACATCAGTCTTATCGGCGAAATTAAATTAGATCCAGGTCGCTTTGCAATTAACACACAATCTTGCATTTTGTTTACGAGTTTTTACTTCGTGTCCACTGGTTGGCTTTGTTTCTACTCGCCGGCGGCGCGTTATGACCAGTCGTAGATTCGAGACAAAACAGCTTCTTATCCTTTCATCTTTTGTTTGTGTTTGCAAGCACACTATCTGTGTGCGGGCGCGCGCGGTGAAAAATGTAAAAGATGTAGCAAAGGAACAATGTTAGCAGTCTATTGTTTTAGTACTGGGTCATTGGGTCTTCCTTTCCTCTCAAGTCGCTGTGTGTGTGTTTTTTTTTGTGATGTTTCACAGTCGGCAGCAACGTTTTCGCAACGCCAGAGTGTGTAATACCGTTTGTTATGAATCGCACTTCCGTTGTCTGAGTAGGTTCTAAATTTACGCGCAGCGGCAAAGTAACTTAAAGAGATGAAAGGAGAGAAGAAGGAAAGAAGTAGCAAACGCGCGGTGAAAAATGTCACGTCAATTAGTGACTGTCCGGGAGTGGATTCGTTCCGTTTAATAAGATTAATGTTATCCGAGCGACACGCGCCGAGGAAATTGTGGAAACGACGCTGGAAATAACACCAAATCGCGTACGAGGATTGAACCATTTTAATGACTCACAACTCGCCGACGTGCATTTTTAATTTTCATAATGCGCCTCAACTCGTTGCACCTAATAATAAATAATTGCATTTTGCGCAACGACGTGTAATTACTCACTCTGCATGCATTCGAAAAATAAAAACATGAGTAATTAGTGTTTTGCGCAACATGCGATATAATTATAGCAAATTTACATAATTCAAGATGAATTTCTTAAATGAATTTCGCCTTGGCGGAATAATAATAAATAAAATCTGTGCTTTGCCGGTTTTCTTCAACCCTCGATTTACAATTTACACAATTTACACAATCTGTTGTTAGATAACAAGCGCACAATCGCCCGAAACGTTTTCATTTTCGACTCGCCGTTGCGCTTTTTCTTTACGGCGTGCTCCTGAAGGATTTACACAACTCTCGTCGGCACTCCTTCATTCCTTCCCTCGGCGCTAAACACCAAAAACCAGACCCCCTAGCTTATAATCCGAAAGCTGATGTGTGCACAACGCCGGCCCGCGAAAGAAGAGGAGACAGATTTTTAATTAAACTTTCCCCAAAAACGCTTCACTCACTCAGCGAGCGGCGTATGGACCAAACAACTCTACCAACCCTCTTAAAAACTGGGAACGCGTCATTTTCGTCTTGACTGCTGCGTGCCGGCGCGCGCGCGCGAATTTATGGCGTCGGTCAAACGGCGCTCGGCGCGTAATTGAAAAAAGTGTCGTGCTTTTTTACGACGCGATAAGTGCGTCTGTACGCGTTTGCATTCGGGAGCGCTAAGCACGCATTCCGGCATGTCTACAATGACATTTTTGAATGATATCGGTGGAGCAATAGCAGATCTGTGCTTGGGATGGATATATGGACGCGTATAAAAAGTCTTCCTTCATCGAAATTGCGTGCGGTTTATATCCGAATTCGACTACGGATATACTTTTAAACGAATGTCGCTCACAGGGTGTTGGGATTTATTTTGAGGTGTTTTTTGTATACACTGAGTTGTTATTTTTAGTGTGACACTCGGTATGTGTATATATGCAAAATGGCTTTTTGTCACGCTTCAAAACCAACACCTCTTCTACGCGCGGAAAAACTATTCAGATCTGTGTCGCGCGCTTGTGGGGAGAAAACGAAAACGAAAGCGCGTCATAAATTCGGGCTTTTCCGATATTTTATGTGGGGTCCGCCGTGTAAGCTGCGCATAGTTTAAGGTCTTTCTTACATTTAGATAAGGCCGCTTTTACGATGAATGCGGCGCAATGCTTGCACACACATCGCATGCTGCAGCCGATATCGGCGAAAATAAAAAGAGCCACGCACACAAAAAAATAGCGCATCGTGTTCTTGCAGCATGCAGATTCACTATCGTAAGTGCCTGGGATGTGCCACGCATGTTACCTCAATAAATCAGTTTTACATTTTCATAATTTACATTCAGCTCCGTTTATGGAAATGCGGACGGTCGCAAAAAATGTTTACATTATCTTGGATTTCACAGCTACTTCATATCTAAATGTGTTTTTTCTCGGCTTTAAAACTCGCCGATTTAACTAAGCTATTAAAATTTGCAAAAATATACGTTTGAGATAAAAATGGTCGTAACTTTTAGTGTATAAGAGGAGTTGACGATTGTTTTTTGTTCTTACAAGTAGATAGAAACGTGGATTATACCATTATCTACGTAAATACTTTCATCATATTGTTACTTTTTCAATCACTTAAAGAAAACAAGAGAAAAAAGTGAAAATTTGTTTTATTTTGTGGTGGTTGGCGATTTTATGTTTACATTGCTTTAAATTCAAGTAGCACACATGTTATTTTGAGAGGTGTTTTGTCTTCCAGACTAAATATTTAAATCAATTCATTAAAACCATCAACACTACGCAGATCATTAAAGTAAAGAAGTTTTAATTGAATCGTACAGACTAAATAATCTCATTGGACAGTTGTGAATGTATCCCAGTCTGCAGAATCGTGTTCCTTACATTATTTACATGTATTTGTCATGTATCACCTTAATCACGCCGAGAAAACTCTCAAAACACACCCACACACTCAATGTGAACCTACGTACGATCTATTTACGCTGCGTGTGTCCCTCCTCGCTCAACTAATCGTGTTCTTTGCGTTTGTTTCAGATAATAAATTATTAACCGACGTCGTCCATTTAAGTCTTCAAGCTAGCGAAATCAAAAGCAAAAGGAAATTATTTATAAACACGTAATTAAATACAAACACAACAAGAATATTATTCGTCTATAAAATATATCTCAACACTACTGAATGTCTACGTCTACTACCGTTTTACTCCGACTTCTCTACTGGAAACAGAAATACAACTCGTGTGATATTAAAACAAAGTGATTATTAAATGGACAGTGAGTAAAAAGTACTATTATACTAATAATTCTAATTAAAAATCGTTAACTTTTCATTGTTTACACGCGTAATATACAAATATATAGTGTTTTAATACTTGTTATCCGATCGGACTGTTGGTGTTAATTTTCATCGATACGCGCGTATTGTTTCCGAAAAAGTTTCGGGAAAGTAAACGCGAAAGAAGTTTCGTGTACTCTGCGCGCGCGCACGTCGCGAAGGAACAAACAAACATTGTGTGTGCGCGAGTGAGGAGTGTGTTGCATTTCGAACGTAACGGACGACCTTCTAAACAAAACTGTTGCTCGTTGCACACGCAGAGTAATATCCCACAACGCGAGAGAGCGCCGTGAGTTCATTGCCTTTGCGAGAAGTCGAGTTAAGTGGATCCCCGTTTGATGCGCGACGCGCTCAAGCCCAGCGCACAGTCTGCTCAGTATGCGCGCGACGGGCGATAGGATCGTTAGAGCGTTAGGATCGGCGTCATCGTCGTGATGCTGGTGAAATCGTTTCGTTGCACCGCACTAGTATTGATTGTGTGATCATGGATCAAGACGACGATAGTCTTCCGGATCAGCGCCGGCTGAGCCAGATCTTCGATCCGCTGACGCGTCTCAACGAGTTAACGCGCGAGTCACGCTCGACGCCGAGCAGCCCGCGATTGTTGCCGCGAAGAGCGCCGCCGGCGGTACCCAGTGGTGGCGCGAGTGGCTCCTCACAAGATGCGGCGGCGCCGATCAACTGGCAGGAAAAGTGCCTCGAACTGCAGCTGGAGTTGCACCGGAATCGCACGCAGGCCACACGTACAAGGGATATGCTTCGAGATAAGGTATGTGTTGTCACGTGCTGTGATTTAATGCGAGTTCATGATTTGAGCTTATAGACAGCCGGGGTTTGTTTATAAATTTTTCATTTTGTCGCGTCGCGTCACGTCGAAGTGGCGGCAGCGGCGGCGGCAGCGTATTAATGTCTCTCGACGCTGCACTTGCATAGAAAACCAAAGGCGTCCGTTTACTTATTCATGAAGTGTGTCCTCTCCTTGGTGCTACCTGTGCGAGCGCGACGGGCGCACGCTTCGGATTCCCGGCGAGTCGCACCTTTTTATTAATAACTCAACGATTTGAGCGTACGTACATACATTATTTATCGTGTTCGTGCGATTTAAATAATTCTTGCATAAACGCCCGGCAAACACAAACAAATGCGCGAGGCGGAATGAAGTTACATAAAGCGTTTCTTGCAGACTTCACATGTGCTTGTTATGAATTACATGTGGCATGTAAACATCGACTATACATTTAGCCGAAATGTGGAAAATTGACTGTGTGCGCTTTCTATTGTAACTGTAAGAAATATTACATGCGAAATTAAGAAATTAGATAACCAGCAGAAGTAGAACTGTTATTTAATCGGAATTTGCGCGGTTTTTTAGACTAGGAAATACAATTTAAACTTGTATTTAACAAATTCTCACGCTGACATGAATCTTAGTTTTATTACGCTATAACTTGGAGAATTAAAATAGTAAAATATTGATAAATAGGTAATTTTATAGGAAATTTAAATGAGATTTATACGAATTGTGGATATTTTTGTACGTGTTGATGTTTTCAAGTGAATGCGATAAGAGCGCAACATTGGCATTCCAGTTTTAATCAGATAAAAATCGCGATAACTCTTAAACTATAAAAGATACGAGTGCACATTTTTGTGTGCAATAGTGAAATAAAGTAAGTGATAGAAATATTTACAAAATATCACAATTCTTATTTATTTTCAAGAAAACACAGATAGTTTGGTATAAATTACGTTTAAATGCTTGAAAATAAATGAAAATATAGTTAATGTGAAATTAATGCACTGTGGAAATGTACCGCATATAAATTTGAATTTTTATTTATTAAAGTTTCGTAGTTTTATCGGAAAATAAAGTTAAATTATGCCCGCAGACGGTGTAACTCGGTGCAACATTGTTAAATCTAAATTATCTCTGCAGGGAAATCATAAATTACGCCGAGTACATTCCGCTTAATATTAACGAGAGTTCTTCAAGTGCTAATTGCGACTTATTTATTTTCGCTGCGCTTCCGTTTTACATTTCGCAATCTTTTCGCCGGCCAGATTCGTGTCCGCGCGAAATTAGAGATCCGCGCGCATCTTTGAATAAAAGTTTTCGGTATGCGCGCGCGCAGTCGTAGATAATCGCATCGAGTTTACAAAACTATACACTTCGCCTTTAGTCTCGAAGATTTATTCCTCGATACAGTTTCGGCGAGCGCACCAGTATATCTTTCATTGTAAAACTTCCAGGCGCTGTATAGTTTTCCACTCGCGTGGCCCGAGAGTCGTTACGATTCGTCGTATATCTTTCACCGTTTTTACCGTTTTATTTTATTCGATTTTGTTTTTTATTCTTGCGTTTCCGTTGCTTAATGCTCTTGTTTGTTTCCAAGTGCACACGCGGAGTTATCATTGGAAAAGCCCGTTTGCTGCGTTTGCAATACTCTTTTTATATATGTGTATCGGTGAATGTGTGTGTATATGCGCTTTTTCCAAAGCACGAAAGGCCTATTCATGGTGTGTCGGATTGTTTGCGTTTGACGCTTGAGAACCGCGCGCCGCCGCCGCTTTGATATACTATTTATAGCGGCGTCTCGACACAAATATAACATAAACATAAATAATGCGTATAAATAAAATGCAACACACACTTTTCCGTATTTTATTCGCTCGTTATTTTTAAGCGCGTCGTGAATTTCGGAAGGTAGATATACATTTTTTCTCTCTCCCAACTTTTTTGCGGTAACGATGCATTCATGCTACATTAAAATCTGAATTGTTAATGTAATTAGGCCGGGCGGGACTAAAACGTTTTCAAAAATTGAACACTTGCTTCGTTTCGGGCATTTCGGGCGTATTCAGCGCGCAGGCCGTGCCTCGTTAATGTCAATTCGAATGAAAATTGAATTTGCGACGTCTCTTCGTCGTGCTGGCGCTTTTTCTACCTTTGCCACCGCCGGCGGTGGGCATGATATGAAAACGCAACGTGTAACCGCTCCAATGCGGAATGTCATTAGACCGAAACGCGCAGACGGCGCAGATGCGCGTATTTTGATTGATGACAGAATTGTATGCACAGGTGAATAACATCTCCATCTCTCTCTGTATACCGACGCGTGAATCCGTGTGTGTGGTTATTCATAGGTACGAATTGTAATTGCCGCCGGTGCTATTTTTAAACGTTTATGTAACTGCGTATAATGCACAAATGCATTATATATTTCGGTGCGTATTGACAAATTGTTTTATTTTTGGACAGTTTTGTGGCTGAAATTTATTTCACTCATTTGTCTCTGCCGTACATTTTCATATAGAAGGAAATAAATTACACGGCGATCATAACCATAGCAGAATATTAATTCTCCGATGATTATTAGGAAATAGTTTGGACTTGCGGCGCATACACCGCAATCGGAATCTACAATCAAGCATTGTTGGGGGGGTGTAGGTTTGCCGAACGTGTGTTTGTGTGAACTATTAGTGCCTACGACCGGACCCGGGTCCGTATGAGATATCGTCGAAACACGACCGCACTTTATGATGTAAATTCATTATTACGTGCCCACCGGTAGTAGGTAGGTAGGCAGCCGCAGGATCAGGATAAGCTCGACGGGTGTGTGCCCCGCTGCTTTCGCAATTAAAGCCGTCGACCATCGTATAGTTTAATCTAATTAATCAGTTTCGGAAGCTGAGCGGGTATTTATGATCGCACGGGTGTTCGCGCACACACGACCGACCTGGTCGTAATTTCGGCGCGCTGTGCTGGTACCACGACTTTGCACAATGTGCAGACTCACAATGTGAAGTGAAGTGTACGAATTTCGTCCTGCAGGTGCAGGTATGCGCTTGAAAACGACACATAAACGAGAAATATCGAACAATTTAATTAATCGAGCGTAAGTTACAAATTGGTATCGCCAAAACTGCCAGCCGAATGATACTCGCCGAGTGAAATAATACTCCGGGGAGTGGAAACCTATAAAGAGTAAATTTAAACTGTGCTGAGCTAAGGTTAGATCTAAATCTTGATCTGCAAAGCGATTTATTCAATCGAGCAGAATGATAAGTTTTTATATCACGATAGAGACTATTTATTTTGAGATAGGTAATAAATGTTTGAAATTTTCGAGTGTGAAGATGGAAGTAATTAAGTTGTAGACCTGCATCTTGGGCGCATTGGGATATAAATGCACTTGCACTTAATTATGCATCATTACATATAGCAGCGACTAAAAGCGACGCATTTCGCTTCGTCTGCGCAAATATGCAAGAGGAGTAAGTCTGTGCACTCTACGTGATCGTGCCTAGGGGGCAGGGGTCTGCGGTGGCGGCGGATGCCACCTACCTGCATACCTCGAACGTCACCCCACGGAAGCGACTCCTCTATAACTTAGTTTTACTGCTCAATTTATGGAATCTGATTAAATCACGAGGCGCATCTGCTATTACGAATAGTGCTAGTCGAGTACTTGACGTAATTTTATTTTATTTTTTCTTACAAGAACACTTTGTATATTAGTGCTCTGGTGAATAAAGCTAATGAATTGCCGAAAAAGCATCGCACGCACGAAAGCGCTTGAGCGCTCTTTGATAAATTGCGATAAAAGAACAACAACAATAAAAAACAAAACGTGCGCGTTTGGTCCAGCTCCTATATCAGTTTAATAAATTCCCTTTGAATCCTTCTGTGCTGTGCGTAGCGTGTATTTTTTTCTTCTGTGCGTGCGGTGCTTTTTGCCACAGCAGACATTTTTAGACCGGACCGAAAAAGTATCACTACTGGTTATTACATGTGTGTCGCTGTGTGTAACTTCGACAGATTGAAGTTTCCTTCCCGTTCGCATAAAATTTTTTTCGGCGCTCCAAATGAAAATCGTGAAAAAACGTCAGAAAGACCTAAAAAAGACGCACATTCATCATAAAATCATCATCATCAAATTTCGATTAGCGCCGTGATTATTGTTGCAATAAAACTCGCGTAAACGTGAATTATTTCGTAAATATGTCATCTACGCGTAGAGGTATAACTGTTTGTCAGTTGTGAATATTTTCAACATATATCTCCTAGTGGAAGGAGGAGGAGGTTAAAGTGTTATTCGATATGCCCGGCCATCCATCCTTGAAGCATCCGCGATGCAACGCATATGAATATTTGATGCTTCCGGTATTTATTATTTATGCATGCACCCTCACTGCTAGTCTTTCGGCTTTTTTTTGCAAGGCGCAAACATCGCAGGAATGTATTCATATTGAGATCTTCCATCGTTGGAACGTAATTTTGATGTGAAATATTAATGAGTTTTGTTTTTACAAAGTATAATGTATTGAACTGCCGTTAGAGGGAGCTGCATACTTTTGTTTTGTATGAAATTATTGTCACCTAAGGCGTATATATTTAGAATAATTTTCGTATAAAGTATTTCCTTCGAGAAGATGATCTTTTCCTGAATTTCCAATTTCAAACGCGCTATAAAGCATTCTTTCTTACGTCGTGCACAAAATTTACAACAGCCATAAATAATGACATTTGAACGATGTTTAAAGTTTTTTCTTCCTTTTGTGCCCCGTTACACGCTTACATGCGTATGTAGACATATCCTCTCAGCGGCACTCAACGTGGAGCGAAATCGAAGTTTTGCAAATGTATGCAGTACATAAAAATCTGAATGCCTTAAAGTAGGCTTTGCGTGTTCATTCATACACATATCCGGTGCCGTCATATCGATATTCCCGAATCGTACGAAAATGCCGCGATTTACGAACGCTTCG